ACTGTGCAGATTTGAACGAAACTTTGGATATATAAACCTAACCTCTAAACGGCGATGTTTAGCACGTGACATTTTTTTTCGATTTTGCCTTGTATGCGAGTTATACGGCTTTATCTATTCTAAAAAATTGTCACGAGCTAAACATCGCCGTTTAGAGGTTAGGTTTATATATTCAAAGTTTCGTTCAAATCTGTACAGTAGTTAAGAAATGTCTTGCTCACTGCAAATTTCGGCAGGTATCCTCATATAACTCACGAATGAAGGTGAAATTCTAAAAATGTTCACGAGCTAAACATGACCGCTAAGTCCTAATGAATACGTGTACCAATTTTTATCCAGCTACGTTCATTACTTAGGGAGATATTCCATGCTCACAGAATTCGGGGAGACCGGCCGCAAGTCCGGCCGTAAATTTGTCCGAGACGTCTCCATGGCGAGATCGCGCAAAACTGAGCAAACTACTCAGATAAGTCGGCACCGTGTGGACGCTCTAAAAATTGCAATGATTTCATTCCGACGTAAAACTGCGCAGACAAATCGTTGTGAAAACTGAGCATGTGGACCGGCCTTTATGTTATCATCTTTCTCAGTTGTGTTGTCAATACGGACAACACCTTAAGTTAAGTTATCATCATCTTCATGTGTGTTGTCATCACCTTCAATTGTGTTGTCATCGCGATATTATCACCTTTGCTCGAGAGCAGCATCGCAGGTGCAGATTGCGTTCAGCGTTCCTCCAGACAAGCATTGTATACTCTCTTATCAAGTATACTCTATTAATTACTACCCAGCAGCGGCAGCTCGTCCATTACCGAAAATTTGATATCGAAAGATCGACATCGCGGCGAATAAAATTTTAGGATCATAAATATCTATGAACTTAAACAAATCGTGTATCAAGCGAAAGGTTTTAAAATCTATTATGCTCGTTTTATCATCATATTTCCCCTATAGGATGCAATATTGAATTACGATACGTGAAAGACTGCTTCACGCCTAGACCACCGCCAGCTCAGAGACAGGCCTGATGAAACGAGCTTTATCTGAATCTGAGAAGCACCAGGTTCCGATGAAATGAGCAGGCTGCTATCCCTGATATAATTAGAGTTGAGGATCAGCAGGCCTTCGGATGTTAAGATACTAACCTTGGTGAAGGAAGCAGGTAGGTAAAGATTTTAATAAATGTTTATGACTATTTGAAGAACCACAAAATTTACCCAAATGCATATACGTATTTGCTTTGCATACCGAGGTCTGCACCTTTGGCCAAATGAACCTGTGTTTCCAGATATTGAGGAAAAGCATTAAAAGACTATAAAGTGTAAACCACGACGTAAAAGGCTCAAAAGATTGAAACCTTAGTGTAGAATCTGGGTCTTCTGACACTTATCCTGACAATACAGGAATCTGAAATTATTATACTGGTAGTAAAAGAAGTCAAATGACTTACATATTGACTGTTGCCTTTAGAACTTGTTTTCTCACGCAACAAGCCAATGTTTTTTTCTATTATTCTCCTCGTTCCAGGCTGTTAGCTCATCACTTGGTTGCATGTATGGTTGATGGCACAGCCAAGATGATAAAAAGGCTATAAATTCGTTAGCTATGTGGCATTCGGGATCGAAGCGGCCCGTCCCGCCCGCCTAGAATTTGTCAAGTCTGTTTTTGAAGGCATTTAAGGAGGGAGGCAGCTACGATTATCTGGAAGACAATTCAATGTATACGCAGCCCTCTGTAAAAACAAGCTTGCTCTCACGTTTCTTCTGCTGCGTTCTCGGCAAGCTAGAAGATGCCACTTAGCTTGTTCCTGCTGCTGTGAAAGCGAATTTGACGCCAATCCACATCTTGCGCCCCGTGAAAATACTTGAAGACATCCATCATATTTCCTATCAGACTGTGGTGTTCCAAGCTTGGCAGACCCAAGACTTCCAGACGCTCTGTGTAAGGCTTGGTTTGATGTTTTTTTTTTGCTTTTCTCTGGACATCTTCAAGGTCGGTGCAGAAGGTGTTGTGTCGCGGCTGCAACACCGCGTGCCCACACTAAAAAACTGGCCGAACAAGGGAATTGAATAGCAGGACGAACGTCGCATGAGTAAGGAAGTCGGATGAGCGTATGATGTTCAACACGATCCTGTTTGCCTTTCCAGCTGCTTGAGCTACAGGACACTTGAAATTTAGGTTTTTATCAACTATAGTACTCGCAAGGTTCTCTGATTCGCTCTAGTACAGCGGCGTGACATACTCATTGCCCAGAGCGCCCCAACCTACTGGGTGCTTCTTTTTAAATTTACTTCGGCATTTTGTATTTCATATGTGTTCTAGACTGTAGTAGGTTACATTTTTTATATTGAGCATTTGAACTACTTAGGATGTTATCATGATATTAATACTACAAATGTTATGAGAAGAGAACAATAGCCTATGACTACAACTCATATATAATTGTAGTCATATTTGTGTTGCCCTTTGTACTCATAGTTGTGCAATCAGCAACAATATCATTTTAGAACAACTTCAATTAAATATGTATCACGTTGTAGCTATCTAGTCGTTTTGAATGATTGCCACTGAATCCGTGAACATTCTTTCCAGTCATCATGCTCCAAATCCTAGAATTAGACTATAAAATCAATAGAATAGAATAGATTGGAATGGAATTGGATAGAATAGATTGGAATGGAATAGAATAGATTGGAATGGAATAGAATAGAATGGAATAGATTAGAATGGAATGGAATACAATGAAATGGAATAGAATGGAGTAGAATAGAATGAAATGGAATAGAATAGAATGAAATGGGATAGAATAGATTGGAATGGAATAGAATAGATTGGAATGGAATATATTAAAATGGAATGGAATAGAATAGATTGGGATAGAGTGAAGGGAATAAAATACAATGGAATAAAATGAAATAGAATGGAATAGAATACATTGGAATGGAATAACATAATATAACATAGTGATCTCGGCGCTGAAGCATAGGCCTGATGTGGTCTGTCGCCGATTCTTTTCCTTTTCGTGCCTTGTTCACAGAAGATCTAAAATCGTGTCATTTGACCGGATTTTTTCATGACTGACGATAGTTTGAAGTAGCTACTAGATTGGTGTGAAATAGAATAGATTGGAATGGAATAGAGTAGATTGGAATGGAATAGAATAGACTGGAATATAATAGAATAGATTGGAGTGAAATAGAATAGATTGGAATGGAATAGAATAGATTGGAATGGAAAAGAATAGACTGGAATGGAATAGATTGGAATAGAATAGATTGGAATGTAATAGAACAGATTGGAATGGATTAGAATAGATTGAAATGGATTAGAATAGATTGGAATGGAATAAAATAGTTTGGAATGGAATAGAATAGATTGTAATGGAATAGAATAGATCGGAATGGAGTAGAGTAGAATAGAGTGGAATAGAATAGAATAGATAGAATAGAAAAGAATAGTGGAGTGGAGTGGAGTGGAGTGGAGTGGAGTGGAGTGGAGTGGAGTGGAGTGGAGTGGAGTGGAGTGGAGTGGAGTGGAGTGGAGTGGAGTGGAGTGGAGCGGAGTGGAGTGGAGTGGAGTGGAGTGGAGTGGAGTGGAGTGGAGACCCAGACCCAGAGCCAGAGCAGAGGAGAAGAGAACAAAATGGAATATAATGGAATAGAATGGAAGTGTGGGCACTGAAAAAATAGGCCCGTGGCCTGTTGGCTGTTGCCGATTCTTGTACTTTTCGTGACTTGATTCCACAAGGGAAACGGCCTTTGAACCCGATCTCTCCATAACTGACGATTGTTTGAGATAGCTGCTGGGCTTATTGCTGGTCCGTAAGGTGCTAGGAATTCTAAGACTGAACATATGTCAGCTGCATAGCTTTGCCTAGTCGGTTCCCGAAGGCGTTCATACTCGGAGCGTCAACGATGCCATCGGGGATGTTTTCCACATGTCGGTGACACGAAGCAAGAAGAAATGCAGTCGCATGTATGTGTTACAACGCAGTTTTTCGAGTTTATAGCCGTGGCTTCTGATGTTGGTTCGTGTTTCAAATTCTAGCACTCCTTCGGAAATCTTGTACAAACCGTGGGTACACTTGTATACTTTGATGAGGTCACCACTCAGACGTCAATAACAGGGGCTTGGAAGCTTCGTAATATTTAATCGTTATTCATAAGGCTTGCCTTTTAATCCCGTAAAATCCTTTGTTGTACGTATTTGAACACTCGACTAAATTTGTGTCCTTCTCTATTTTTGCTGACAACACGGCGTTTTCAAACTCCAGATTTGGACGCACGACAGCGACAAACAACAATTTCATGAGTTTCATCGCATCTGCATCTAGGTATCTATGTATGAGCGTCAAATCAGTCTAAGTATTTTACTGGCTTTATTACCTTGAGCTTCAATATGCTTAGAAAATTTCAATACATTGTCGACAAAACTCATGAATTTTTAGCGCATTTTCTCATTTATGGAAAAAATGCACTAATGTGCTCGCCATGTCCGTCCGTCCGTCTGTCGGTCCGTCTGTCCGTCCGTCTGTCCGTGACCTCAAGTTTTCGTCGACGAGAAAATGCGCTCTCTGTCACTGAATCGACACTTTCGCGGACCCGCCTGCGGACTCAGCTCAACCGAAGGACTCATAACTCCTACAATACTGAGTCACTCACTGCAGTGAGTACTGAGTTATATTTTTTCCATTGTCGACTTCCATATCATAGCTCTCTCGTTGCACCAATGTCTTCTCATATTGCATGCTGTTCAGCCATGGTTCAGTGTTTATGCCAAGTTGATTACTTTAAACTTGTTTTTCGTTACGGAAAATTTTTGTTTTTTGTTATGGAACACATGACGCAAAATTTGTAATAGACTTGTTTTTTTTACATATTTTAAAAATAACTTGCAACATGTTTTTCCGGTAAGTCTTATCACTAATTGTAAAAATGAAAACTTTGTTATTCTGATACGTACGTCATAACTACTCTGGGGCTCTGGCCCGTGATTGGTTGATTCTTCTTCCATCTCTTATTCAAACCGATTCTGCCGTGCTACGGGTGTTCCTGCAAGTCTGAAACCTTACGGCTTACAACGCATCACATTTGACCAGGATTTCCGACGAGCTCAAAACACTGCAGGATTTTATTTTAATTCAAATATTCTGTGATAATTAAAGAAAAAATAATAATGTCTCAGAATGTGGCTCCACAAAGTACTGTCTCTAAAAATTCAACAAATCAGGGTCCTCCATTTGTTGACAGTAACACTGTCTCAAAAAGGTACTGATTCTTGAAGTTCTTGGACACTGATTCAGGCTATATAATTCAAATCATTGTTTTATAATAGTTCATAAATTGAGGCTTTTGGATTTGGTTTTAATTATTTAAAAATAATTTGATTTCATTTCTGCATGCTCTGCAATCTGCATCCATCTGGATCTGATTTTCTGACAAGTGTGAAGTGAGTGCAAACTGCAAGTGACAAATGCCAAGGCTATTAATATTATAAATCATATTTAGTCCTGCATGGAAAAGCAGAAGCAGAAACTTTTTCAGACACTTCCTTGATTTTTTTTTGGGGGGGGGGCAGGGTTCCTATAAGTAGCTAGATAGTTAAAGTATCATGAATACTGGTGTCACTGCATCTGCATCATTATACCTACCTACAATATTATCAATATTATTGTATAATCATAAATTCATAATGTATAATAAATATACATGGAATAGAATAATATACATGTCAAATGTTGTTGGTTGAATGATTGTACCTACATTTGTACTGATGCCATTTACCATTCCATTTTATTTTCAACTTTATAATTCCTATTTCCTATTTACTATTAAAATATTGGTCTTACTTTCAGATTACAAGGAGAGCTTATGCGCCTCATGATGAATCCAAACAAGGAAGTTTCAGCTTTCCCTGAAGGAGATAATCTTTTTAAATGGATAGCTACCATCCAAGGTCCTAAAGAGACAGTGAGTCAAGTACCTACTTACTAGTCCACAATTATTGTATTTTTTCAAGAAATTCTATTCATTTAGCCTATATTTTTTAATTTCTTCTTATTAAACCTGGTTTTTTAACCTAATAGTGTTTTATTATGTATTTATATATGTAGATTCTATATTCTTAGCTTACAGTTGACAAAATTATCTGTACACCTTTTATTTTTAATGTTTTCTTGAATAACTCAAAAATTAATAATAATTTGTCCCTAAGATTTGACTGAACTAAACAGTATGTAATAGGGATTATAGCTACATTTTTAGAAAAAGATGAAATTTCATGACATTTTAACAAGTGAAAATTCACCAACACCTTCATACTCAATTATTTGTACAGTTGGAAAAACTAACCTTTGTTATTTTGTACAGTTGGAAGTTGGAACAAATAACATTTACATAGTTGCAATTAATAATCAACAATTGCATGTCCTTTCATCTTGATTACCTCAGACAGTCTCTTTGTATAGTTTTTGATGAGATTTGCTGTGGTATCTGGATTGATATTATTCCATTCTTCAATTGCAAGTTGTTTCAATTTCTGGACATTCTTGGATGCCTGATTAATTATTGATTCTAAATTTTAATTCTTGCCAAAAATTAACAAGTGGGTTTAAATCAGGGCTATTTGATAGCCATGGATGATGGAAGAACGTTTGCCTTTATTTCATTAGGCCATGTGGTTGTGTAACTTTGAACATATGCTTCAAATCATTTTCTTGCTGAAATGTACAATTGTACATTGTAGCCTTAGGACCATAGTCTGAGCAGATTTTTGCAGGTTTTCATTAAAAATCAATATATAATCACCTTAGTTCATTATTCCATCAATTAGAACTATTTTCCTGGTATCACTCTAGAAAAACCAAAAATATCATTGACCCAACCCCCATGGACATGGTTGACTGCTGGTATTCTGCTCATTGTAAGGAAAGCCTTGCAAATGTTACGCCAAATATTGTTTGGATATAAGTAATAAAATTACTAGATTGCTTTTAAATTCCAAATATTGTTTGTATTATTAAGTCAAAATAGCTCAATTTGTTTATCCATTCCATATTGGTTCCAAAAGCCTTCTTCTTTGTCCACATAAGAGCTTATAAATGTTGAAAAAGCAGCAACATGATGTCGTTTATGAGTGGGACTCATTGAGGCCCGCATCCATGCTGGCCATTCCTGTTGAGACAACGCTGTATTGTAAGCTGACTCACACTTGTTCCCTAACTGGCTAATCTATTGGCAGTGTCCTTCAATACCACACCTAGATTCTTATTTACCTAACAACACAGTTTTCAAACATCATTCCAAAAAGTTTTAGCTTCTGTCCTCATCCAGGCAGCGTTTATGCAGTACCTACTAAACTCTACAAAGGTCTATCACTGACTGAAGGGTGGATCTTGGAATATCCAGGTGTTTTGAGACACACCCATAGCCATTGCCAGATTTGTCTAGGTCAGTAATTTGCTTCTCAAATCCACACTCAATTCCTTTATCTTGCCCATCTTGAAGTTTGCAGTCAAATCGCAACCTCATGAATGATGTCACCAATCATGTTCAACAGGATAATATCAAAATTGATACCACTTTGAATCTTGTCAAAAACTGCAAAAAGAGACAGCTGTGGTTATCAATATGAAAGGACATTCAATGGATTATTATTATTGCAACTAGTATGTTAGTATTTTCCAACTATACAAATAATTGTTTCTGAAGGTGTCAAGGGAATTTCTGCACGTTGAAATGTTTTGAAATTACATTTTGTTTTGAAAACGTAATGCTATTTTCTCTAGCTTGGACATTCTTTGAAGAATACATTGAAAATAAAAGGGTGACCGAATAAATGTTTTGCTAACCATACTACAAAATTTCAATTGCATGCACTTTTCTTGAACTAGTTCACATGCTTTCAAGTTCAGAGTTTATCAAGTTGAAAGGTTTTTTGGTTCCAATCTAAGGTCTAAGGGTATGAGTTTTATTCTTTCCCAATTTTTCCATTTCCTGCAAGAAAATGAAATGATTGTTAAATCTATGTATATAATTTATTTGTCTCTATATAAACTTTGTCTACTTGAGGCTCCTCAGCCACCATTGTACAGCACATGTAGGTATATAAGATACATTAAATAATCAAAATTTCTGTTTGCTAAACAGGAATGAACCATGCTGTGATCTTCATTAATTTATGTGCTTCCAAAATTTAATGTTAAGAATGACAGCACCAGGGTTGGCAATGATCAAATCAAAATAATTAAATCATGTGATTAAATCATTTGACTTTTTTATAAAAAATCATGATTTTCTATTTTTTTGATTTTTTGGATTCTTTTATATATTCAAATATATTGAATGGCAGTGTTTAATTTATTTGGAGGTATTGTTATTCATGGTTTAGTATAAATGTACTATGAACATTTGACAAATTGGTATATAAACTTGTTGCCTTTAGTGTGTATTAGGTTTCAATAAATTGAATGTTTTTTGGTACAGAGGCATCAACTGTTCAAATACATTGTACACAGCTAGCAGCTTAGCTAATTCTTATAAGGCTTTAAGTAGTCTTTAACTATTTGACTATTTGTTATATAGGTATTGATTACAATATACAATTTAAATGTGTTAGCTAGCTTATACAGGGTGGGGCAGAACTGATTGAGCAGTTTTGAGGTAAAATAAATGAGTAATGGAGGTACATAAAGAAGAAACCGGTCAATGTTACCCCGTCACGGCTGCCATTAGGTGGTCAAAGTTACCCCATTGGGGGGCGGCACCCCCCATTTGCAAACTATGACACCTTCCTAAAATTTGTCTTTTGCATATGTAACTAGAAGAGTTCTACTACAATGTATCAAAACCTGGAGTTATTTTACCAAAAAATAAAAAAATTGGAGGGGGTACTCCAACAGGCTTTAAATAATAGCTCTTTTTTGTGGGTCACGTTATTAATTTTTTAACCTATTAGATATGCAAACTTTTTAAATCTTTCTCTTGTGTTATGTAGCCTCAGTATTAGGCCTTTGATGGCCATTGACAAAAATTTTCTATGTCAAATCGTTTTTGAGTTTTGGGGGTTTTTGTTAAAAAAACGAAAAGTGGTCAAAGTTACCCCGCCGGTCAAAGTAACCCCAGTTTACGGTATTCTAATTAAAATATTTAATTTCAGTCTTTAAATATAGGTAGGAATTTATAATTAGAAACAAAACAATTACTATTATAAAACTATGTATAAAATAATTAAATGCAGTGAATGGAAATAAAATGTTTGAATTGTGCACATGTTTATTTCAAACAGTGTCAGCTTTTCTCATAACATTACTCTCATTTCAAGTTGTTTGAGGTTTGTTTGGTTATCGTTCAGTTTATGTTTAGTATTGGTTTATTGGTCTGAATTAAATGGGAACAGTGCATTCAGTCACTCAGTCACTACTAGTCAGTGTGTATAGAAGGTAGAGTCAGGTAGATTTATAGGACATAAAACTAGTAGATCTATTGATGGTGTTGTGCACTGTGCACAGCACTATCAATAGCTATACACATATCAGCTACCTATCTGTTGTGTGACTCTTCAATGTTTAGAAGATCTGCATTCCTGAAGTGTTTTTGTATATTGTAGCCAGTTAGATGGTCAATATTTAGCTTGTTACCTTGCTCCATACAAACTTTACAAAGCTAATGAAATAGACTTATCAATAATTGTTTACCCAAAAATCCCAAAGTGGTAAGCACCACCTTGGCCTGTTGACCATTATTGAAGGCAATAAGTGCCCTTTTTAGCCATCCATTATGATCCGTATACTGTTATTGTTAGTAGGCTAATTGCAACATAAAAAATAACCTTTCAAAAATACAAAAAAACTTGAAAAAATAAAAAAATCAAGTAAATAAAAAAAAATATTGTGAATAAATATAAAAATTATTTATTTTTTATTTGAAAAAATAAAATTGAAAAAATTGCCAACCCTGGAGAGCACTCAAATGAAAATGATCTAGGTAGGTACATATATAAAAATTATTTAGAAAATGATCAGGGTTTGTACCAGTCATGGAAAACCTGGAATGTCATGGAATTTGATTTTTCATTTTCCAGGCCTTGAAAGTAATTGAATTTCATTTCAGGTTATGGAAAGTCATGGAATTTGCAGATAAAAAAGAAAAAATAAGTTTTTTCTATGCCGCATGTGTTAAACTGTTTGTGCAGTTTCTTGTTTCCTGCGTTCTGATTGGTTTTCCAATCATGTGAGCTTGGTCACTGAGCCCAGATGCATTGGACAACTTTTTGATCTGCAGTGGCAGTGTTCCATCAGTGTTCCATCTTTAGCATGCAATTTCTACATCACTATGTCTGGAAAGTGTAAATTTCATGACTTGTGGTTAAGAATAGAAGCTTATTGTGACTGGCTTGCTCGCCATCCAAAGTATGAAGGTATGGCAATATCATGTACATTGTGCTCGAAAGACTTTGATGTGTCAAATATAGGGGAAGCAGCTTTGAAGGGCCATGCCACCTTTGAAGAGCCACGTTTGCTATTTATCAACTGTAGGAGAAGATAGAATATGCACGATTAGTCTTTCAGTTATGCTAAACCTGTCGTATACAAGTCTTGGAAAATGATATTGATGGTCATGGATAGTCATGGAAAAGTCATGGAATTTTTTTTTTCTAAATACCAGTACAAACCCTGATGGTGCATTGTACATTTAACTGAATGGATGAAAATATATAGAGAAACCCTTGTATGCTTAATTAATTTCTCCCAAAATAATATAATAATGTAGTGTGGTTTCAAAAATCTTTGAAATTTGCACCTACACACCATATATTGAACAAAGTCTTTTTATTGAAGCATAAAGTGTTGCTTGGAAAGTAGGACAGTTGATGTTGCAATATGTGTATGACAATTGCTAAATATAATGATAAAATCTGTTGGTATTTTTTTCAGGCCTTTTACTCAAAATTTTTATACGTGTATTTGTTTTCCTCCATTATTTAAAGTAGTATTGAATTGAAAAGTTGTACCGTAGTACCCACTTGATATGTTTCTTTATTTTATTTTCAATGATGTAGTTTTAACCAATGTAAATTTGTTGCTTTATTTGCAAAAGCCTCTGAAATTATTGCATAATGCTCCTCCGGACAGTCAATTCTCTGAAAACCTGCTGGAAGACAAACAGCAAGAGTCTAAATGCTTTTTGAATCAATAATGACATTGTTCCTGGAACATATCATAACTTCTCTTTATTTATTTTTTTGTAAAATGCATGACTGAATTGTGTGCTCCCACTCTTATAAGAATTGTACACATATGTCTTGGATCCAGAGTTTAATATATATTTGTTTGCAGGTCTATGAATCTTTGACATACAAATTGTCATTGACGTTTCCCAGTGGTTACCCATACTCTCCTCCAACGGTGAAGTTCATCACTGAATGTTTCCATCCCAACGTGGATTTGAGAGGCAACATCTGCCTTGACATCCTTGCTGGCCGCTGGTCCCCCTTGATGGACGTACACGCTCTCCTCATCTCACTGCAGTCACTCCTTGCTGGTGAGTTGCTTCTATAGTTCAGTACTTGCCCTAAACTGGAGGTCTCTTACCTTCTTTTAGGTGATTTTTTAATTTTTCTGTATTATCTGAGGTGAGATTATCTGTACTATAAGTGGTATCTAGTATTCTAAGGATCAATGATGAGAATATATGTGAAAGGAACATGACCAATTGCTTGCAATCTGACAGGATGTTTTCCTTGGTTGTGGTAAGGAGATCACACACGTATTTTAATTCAATTATTATTGAATGCTTGCTTTAATTATTAGATAGGTACATATTCTTTCAAATCCGTGCATCTAATTTTCCTAAACTTTTCTCAGAGCCCAATGTTTCATCACCTCTGAATTCTGAGGCTGCGCAGCTTTGGCCCAACCAAGTTGCATACAAGAAGCAACTTCTTGCGTTGTACGACAAAGCAAACCGCGAAGACAAGCCCGACACGAAATAACGTCAGCTCATATTTTAGAAGATACTGGCGCGTGGAGGCTGCTCGGGTTCGAGTTGCAGCCCTGTGTTTCTCCTGTGCATGGCCGGGCATTCCATTCCTCCTCACTCACACTGAAATTTCACCTTTGTGTCCATAATTTATTCATCTTCCAGCTTACATTCAATAATATTCTTTTAACCAGCCATCTTAGCGTTTTCCGGTGTGAAATTTCTCTCTGATCTTGCTCCTCCGATTCTTGAAATAATTTGTAGACTGAATCGTTCTTGGTTGCGTTCCGTTTCTAATTCGACGTCCCTCCTTTTTTCAATGATTTTAAACTGCTAGCAATCTTACTTATAGTTTTTTTACTTTTAGTTGTAGGCTGTAATTTTAATCTCCGTGTTCATTATTTATTGCTGTTCGTATTACAGACTACACAGTAAACATTATTTTACGTGACTTTTAACTACTTGCCTTCTGTGGAGGTGGAAGTTTGTTACATGCGGATGACTTGCTATTATTTTCAAATTTCTAAATTTCAATTGTTTGTAAAAGAAACGTATTCTCATATTAGCGTTGTAGCCACAAGTGTGGGGAAGTTCGTGTTGCTGTTACAGCCGTTTGCATGCAGAAGTCATTGTGAATGTGAATAAAACTATGAGTCTCCCCATTACTTGATTCAACTCTGAACTATTCATATCTGAAATATGCGCTGCCCGTTTTAAGTACAATTTACTTTACTGACATACTAAGCACCATCATAAAATACTCGTAATTTTCTACCGTCGATTTACATTGGAAAATTCGGCCTTGGACACTTTTTTACATTGATCAGGGATTACGCTTGATGGGGATTGGGGACCAGCATGGCCAAACCCACGGTTAATTTATACAGATATCTGTGAGTTAAGAAGTTGAGGAAGACTACGCGCATGGGGGTTATTGATGGGAAAAATATATATGACTAGAAAATTACGATTAGATCTAAGGGAAAAATATAGGCAAGTCTGTTTGAGAACCAGTCTGGCACACACTCTCACGCACAGCTCTACACTTCGGTAGAAGCCGAAGCTGACGTGTGTGGCTGGAGGTGGCGGGCGAGCAGACCGAATAGCTCAGGAGTTCACTCCCGGATGACTCCAGTGCACAGAGGAAACGTTAATAACGGAAGTGCCACGGAGGATAATAAAAGTGGCCTGATGCACCGAGTTGTCTACTGGAGGTGAACTGGAAGCTCCCTCTAGAAGAATTTTAAAGACTCCTGAGGAACCTCGAAAACCCTTCATTTTTCGCGAAACCCTCAACTTCTCATTGGTCCTTATTGGTATATGAAACCCTCATTAGTTCGGCCATTACATGCTGGGACGAATTATATTGTAACCGAGACGATTAGAATCGTATTTTGACTAGGATCTCGTTCAGGTTAACAGTGCGAATGATGTTCCAGACATAGGCTAGTGATTTAATCGAGATTGCGGCACGGTGTGATGATTCATCCGCGACTCCAGCTAGTATGTCCTATTTGTAGATCCCGTGATCTTATTGAATTTCTGTCAAGTCGGGATGTCCGACAGTCTGCAGAGAAGTCAAGGAAAATTCAATCAGCTACATTTAAGAAGTACATGTAATGGACTAATGCATTCAATTGTTGAGTAAATGCCGTCGCAACAGTATCGTGTAAAGATAACGCTATGAGAGAGGTCCATTTTGGTGCCCAAGCCTCCAATCCTCGAGCTATCAGGCTCACGCAGTACCGACGAGTTCGCTCGTACGCAAATACATATACGTTTTTTTTCCGGGCAGCATATTGAGCGTTTGAATAACTTAAACAAAAAAAAAATTTAATAGAAAAAAATTCAAAAATAATTTTGTCTGCTACAAATATCATAATCCACATTTGACACACTTCTACCTGTCCAATCAATCTGAAATTTTGCACACTTGCATAAAGTCAGAGACAAGGCATGAATCATTCAACAGTCTAGGCACTGCGAGGGCTGGGTGGCTCAGTGGTTACGGTTCAGAGTAAAAAGATTGAACCAGAGAGGTGCGGGTTCGATTCCAGCTCTGTACGAGTTTCTGGGCAGAATCGGCGAGGGGCCGGGCGGTTAAGCAAAGCAAAATTGGAGCAGTGAGTTGCGTGTTCGAGGCCGCAACAAGCTGTGAACGTTACACGATGTTACTAGTTAAGAATCGTCGACAATTCTGAAATTCTGCTGGCTTAATAAATTATTTTTACTCCATCGGCGCGGTATTTAGAGTCCTCCACTGATCCAGGCGTCATCCGGCTTAAACAATTTCAATTTTTGCCTATTAAAACGGTTGGATCGAAACTTGGTCCCTGCTTGAGTATGGCAGCCAAAAGAAATGTATGCACAAGAGTCTACTAGTCAACGGAAGCGCAGTTTTGTCACTTATTATCTAAACACCTTGACGTAATTTATCAGAGACCAACCTGGCAAGGGTCACAATTCGTGTTTTGCAGGGCAAGTGTCCGCTTGAATAAATTGAAAGCCATTTTCCGTCTGTAACAGACTGATCTACTCAAGCATTTTCCCTCGACTTGTCGACCAAACTCTTAGGCTCGCCTACGAAAAGGGTTAACGATACAGAAAAGCGATGCAAGATAAACGCTAATTAAATTAAGGTGATTGAAATAGACTTGTTATATTAACACGTGCGAAATTAAACAGGTCTTATGTGCCAAGGTTTTATTGATTGTGCTAGGCACCAAACGTAATTTTGTAGCAATTTATTAAAGGCTTTATATGATGAACCCTATTGAATATGGTTTGATCAAAATATGCATCTAAACAATCAATCGGAAGATTTACAATGTACCTAACAAGGAAAATGCTGTTCCTGGTGGTTTTCCACTCCAGGTGAAGACTGAACGTTCGTTGTTGTTGTTATTGACCTTCCCCGTCTCGCTTCATAGCGCGAGGAGGGGCTTAGGCCCAGTTAAAAAACATAGGCTTAGGGTCCCCCTTTCGGAGGACGGGGATAAGTTGGCTGTCGATTTGGACCCATGTCCGGGTCGCGCTCCAACCTCAGGCAGGCCAACAGCATTTGGAGACAGACAAGAAGGGAAATGTAAGGAATCCTACCTACATAATAACTTAACCCAACTGAGGCACGCAGTCAGACACCGCGAGCTCAGCGGTGGGACGCTCAGGAACAATCCCCTTGGGAACGTGAAATCCCATAGGACTTCTGACGAGCACAGACACACGTCAGATGTCCCCTGTGAGGGGACTGAACGTTCGTGAGGTCGATCATTAACGTACACAAACGACAAGTTATACAAGTTTTCAATTGATCCTAAAGCACTGAATTCAGAAACCATTAATTCATATTGTGAGCGCTAACCATAATTTCCCGGTAAGCATAGAATTCTAGATAACATTTCAAATTTTTGAGCCACGTTCAGTCGCATAACTGCAGTTTTCTCGACAGTCGAGAGATATTGTTCAATTGCTCCAGGATGTTGATCTCAGAAAATAACACTGCAAGCATCCACACAGCATTCCTTTAGAAATTTTAAAGTTGTTAATCCTGAAATCGAACCAACGAAAATAAATTTAACGTGGCCAATCGGCCCAAGGAATTCGTCATTTTACATGGCAAACAATTTCCCTCTCAAAAGATGTCACTTTGAGAGAAGCCTGCTGGTACACTAAACCATTCTAATATCCATTGAATATTTAGGCAAAATTGATTCCTATTCTATGTGATCTCAAACAAACTGTTTAAAAATCAATACACGTAAAGATTGTGGCTTGTAAAGGCTAAATTTGTCATCGCGCATGCACATGGTTATCTGAAATCAAACGAATGGTGCTCAAACATGATATTGTTTCAATACATAATTTCCTTTACAATGCAGACGTGTTCCACAGACATTTCTATTTTCTAAATCTTACTAGTACAGTTGAGTAATACATGTTCGAGAAGCAGAAAGAGCATACTCATTTATTAAATAATTTTGCTACTACCTTGTGGATCGTTAGAGCGCTCAAGCCTGGAAATACGATGCGCGAATTTTGTTGTCGCACACAGTCAAGTTGACGCTCCCGGGTCCAGGAGTTATTTATTCGTTACGAACAAAGCAGTTATATAGATAGACAATAGACAACACTTTTAAGTAACTCCGAGCTCTAATTAGATTGTTTTCGTTCCTCAAACGAAAATAAGTAACTTTCAAGCTGCTATTAAAGTTCTAAGAGGTCCATTGATGCAGAGGTAATTAGGTAAGGACCTGGGATTAGGTTGATTTCTTCCCTACCAAGACCTGCCGTGCACCATGCGAGTCAATTATTTCCTTACGATTATAATAATGTACAATATTAAAATCCGAAAAAGATCCATAATATTGACGTCGAGAGAAATCACAAAACTAATATGATTTGGGAGAAGTACTCCGAATTTTATAAACAATTTCACTGAGTTTTCAAACACAGAAATCAGACATTAGGAAGAAAAGATCAAATATTTAGCAATAGTTCATGGTAATATTTCTAATAGCTTCCACTGTTAATGAAATTAAAACCGTAAAAAACACAATTTCCAAACCGCTGCATGAAACTTTCCAACAGTACAGATAAATGATAGCCTCTAGCTTATGACTGTGTCTATTCTGAGCAAAATAACGCGGTGCAATCAGGTTAACACGATGGCCAGATTGCTTCCTAGCCGCATTCTTCTGTATTAACTTAAGACTCACAATAATGCAATACCTTATCTACGACAAGCTTTTCACTCTTCTATGTGTCAAACAACCTCACTATTCGGGATGAACTATTTGAAGTGAATACTAACAACGTAAGAATTCTAAAATTTATTATAAATGAAATTAGAGCACAGAGGTCATTAGCAGACTAACCAGCAACATTGACCGTACCTCGACAGCATCATCACCTGGCACAGTAATGATGGCAAAACAAACCGTGTATCGTAACCAAAAAATCCACGGTATTATCGAGAGGATAAACATTAAAGAGCGATAATGCTTTAGATCATTGCATAATCTAAAAAAATCAACATATATCCAATCAAATCCGCAAAATCGGGAATATTAGAAGTGGAAAATAATGCGAGAGGAATAATCCGATCACTACAGATACTGCCAAACAATGCAGGCGTTTTGCAAGCGCCGTTAGCACCGCGGCGCTAAAGCTTCTCCTTGAGGTCGGCGAAGTTGTCGGTGTGCGCGTCAGGGTTGGCGAGGGAGGCCGTGCGCAGGGCGTCACGGATGTGAGAGGCGAATGCGCGCGTCACAATCGGCGCTTGCGACGCCTCGGCGCTCACGGCGTCCACAAGAGGCGCGCTCACTCCGGCGCTGCGCATACTGGATCTCAACGTGTCTGTAACATCAGACATTTAGTTCAGAGCGACACTAGAGTGAATACAAACTCCAATACAAACATAAATGTGCAAAGTGAACTAGGCATATTGATCGTTAAGTAATATTATAGCTTAGCTGAAAATCCCAGAAGTGTTAACATTATGACGAGTGACGCAAGTAGATATTAAGAAATTGCTTAATTTTAAGCACATTAGCTCTGACCTTAACCTTTAAGAGTTGATAAAATCACACACTAATCATCTTCAAAACTCAGCGTTCCAATGCCGTGATAAATAACTTACTATTTTAGTTTTCCAAAAATTCCTAGTAGCTTTTTAGCACGAGACAATGATCTGCGGGTAATATTCATGTTCAGAGACCTTTCTACATTGGTTGGTAAGGCAAGACTGGCGCACCTCTCAAGACCGCGGCGACAGGTCCTCTGGGCTTGTGTTGGGTGGCCAGACGGCGCCGCTTGTACGGCACCCCGCACATGTACGCGTCGCTCAGAGGCCGCACCGACGAGCTGTTGTTGCTCTCCGCCTGCCGCGCGATGTCATCGCTCACGATCGGGATCCAGTCCTATGGAACACAAGGATGAACACGGTTACCAGGCAACAGCGCTAACGATCTGGATCCAGTCCTATGGAACACAAGGATTAACACGGCAACAAGAAAACAACGACGGTAGTATAACACAAATTGGCAATGAATTCACAGCGAGATAAGCGCGAACTTTGCAATAAATTCAAGCGAGGAGAGAAGCGGCACAGTTTTATCACAACACTCATTCATCTCAAAACTTTTGATTTTATACAAATATTTTGGTATTTATTTAAAGGGGAAATTACATTTTTCCTTCTCCATAAAAATTCAACTCAAAACCTTTCCTTCACTAAAATCAAGCTCATCTGCGAGCTTCACTATGTGAAAAACTAAAGACAAATTGGCAATTAATTTGAGAGTTCCATGAGAGCACTAAGTGGACACTCAAGTATTGATGGACGAACATACCTGAGGTACGGCGGCATGCCAAGCAGGCGGGCTCGGAGGAGCGGCTGGTGCCTCATCGGTGATCTCCATCGCCTGCACCACACGCAACATCGCGGGGGAAAACATTAAAGGGAAAACATTAATAGTGGACAATAAAATGAGCAGCATACCATGTTTGATTAGAGTCAAAAATGAAGGGCGATCAGAAGGTCTGGTTAAACAAAGAACGGGAATAAGTTATTGATGTGAACTCAGTCTGAACGTCCGCCAGTTGTATATCAAAATCAAAGCTTGGCAATATACCCCTTTTAAATTATTTGTATGGATGAAAATGTCAGTGAACACCTTCTCAAACTTACATCAACTTGATGCCTGATGAAGAAAAAGTAAATAAGAAGTAATTAATAGCCGCTGCATTCGAAACTAGGGATAGTTGAATTCTCAGTTGAATGAGTACATAGTATCAGCTTCTGACCATTTACAAATAGCGGAAATATTTAGATCAAGTAGAGCCGAGTCTCTTCACGAGTTATCAGAATTCCCCATAATATCAGAAGACTATCCTTCAGCTAGTTATGCGTTGTAGTTTTGTACAACTTTAACAACAAGTAAGGAAGCTCACCTCGGCCTGAGGGTTGGCAGGAGACAGCGTGACGACAGAAGGCAGCGACTCATGCTCGGCCATCTCTACGCTCTGCTGAGAAAATAGGAACTGAAAAACACTACTAGAATAGCTTTCCAAATTGGTTATCTTCCCTATTACTTACTGTTTCAGACTCATGAACTTGCAGTTCAACAGAATTCCTTTTTCTCACATCGCAAAACGCATAATAAAAGGTGCTATCATGATGATATCGTACAGGAACAATTGATGTGCTTAGTCTCCTTATGTCGAGTTCACACTTTGACTCAATCTAATTCGTGCAAACAGATGATAAGTTAGAGGCCAAAACATAGCTGGTAACAGAAACAATCTTTTTAAACATGGATCACTCGGAGTCTGGTTATCACGAGATGATTTCAGAACAAAAATATCCGACTGTCAGTTGCTCTATTAGTGGTTAAAATAAGACCTTTCGGAGCTGCTTCCTACCATGGGGCTTGGGGCTCCATTCAGAAGACACTTATACACAGAACAAAAATTAAACTTCCTGAGCGAGGAACACACAATTCACACAGTTGTACGTTATCAAGTTTTTGAAGATTGAGTACAGGAATAAGTGTGTCATGTATCAGGAAAAATTACGCAGCTCTTCTGAACAGACCGTTAAAAAGTGTCTCTGGAATGGATTTTTGTGGATAATTTGCATTCAATTCAACGATTCAACACACTTTTGCAAAGATCCATGGTCGTTAAGAGCTAAACGCTACGTGGTTCTTGTTTCGCGGTTTGCCAAACCTGCACGAGGCTATTAGACTCGGAGGCAATAACTAGTGTTCACTAAATGGTGAAGAAGCCGTACCTCCTCGGCCTGTGTGACGTGGGGAGGAGTGGTGAGCCTCATGTTCTCATAGCCCCGGTAGAGCTCTTCCTCCATGCGTGTAGCTCGATCCTCAGTCACCAGGTATCTATGCGGCACAAAAACAAACAAAATAATTAATAGTCAAATGCGTACAACAAATCTGCAAAATGACGTCATGAAGCTCCAACCGCTTTATAAAAACAAACACACTTAACTTTTACATCCTTTTTCGAACGAGCATGGAGTCTGTTAAATCGATATTCGACATTGAAATTTGAAATAATTTTACTTTAGAATCTGATCGCAACTCTTGTCAAAGTTCCATTTGGAAGACCCATTCTAACCTGCTCATTCGGCCGCGCACGCATTTCTTACGTCAATAGGAAACAATCACAGTTGACGTTTACTTTCTAACAGCAATAGAAACGTCAACTTTTTTAACAGTAAACAGCAATAGGGTTAGCAGTGATCAAAGAAAAACTATAAGAAGAAGTATTCAACTCAAAAATAAATAAGTGCACAATACGATAAAGGCACACGCGTCTCCAAATCCTTAATCTCCTATTATGTACATGGATAGTAACTAAGTTAACAACCCTGAATTTTCCAGGAACAAAGCTGCCGCCAAAGATGTGTGAAAATAGTTTATATTGATAAGTAAGCAGCGGCCACAGATACCACAACGGGAGAGCGGCACTTTTCATGCATCACGAAAAAGTTTTAGCAACCGATGGTATCAATGATGGATTTGTTAATGAGGAAGCGATACATATATAAGGTCTAGGAGCTTATGAATAAATAATTCTATCTCTTCTTCCGTCATTCGTTCGGCTATGAACCAGACTTCCGGCGCGGATTATGGTCAAGAAACGAGAGAGTTGCTAATTATGGTACTAAGATGTCTAAATATTTCATGTTGACATGTCAGCAATTGCGAGACCAAATACAGACCCACGTGAAGAATTGATAAGTAAAAGAAACACAAACAATGGCATTGCAGAGTCACCAAGACAACAGTTGAGTTGCCATAGTTTCTAATCAGATTAATTAATTTAATGAGGTAATTTAGAAGGTAAAATATTAGCGTCTTAGCCATAGTCTCGATGAGGGAGCAGGAGGCGGATGATAAGTAAAGATGTGACAACCTGTTGGATGCCTGCAAGAGATACGAGATAACGAACAACTAGAGGAGCGGAAAATAGGAGAAGTTAACGTAAGCACCTCAGGGGCATGGAAAAAACGAGAGACACCATGACGTTGGATAATTAGAGCTATTGCAACGGATCAAAACAAGCCATAGATACAGATTAATTCCACATGATTATATAACATACCGTACTTTACCAATGAAATTGAGCAAAAACATCTACCTACGAAGTAACAAGATACGTTCCATAACGGAACGTGCAAATTGTAAATACTATAAAAAGCCAAAGTAAGCACACAGGAAGCACACAGACCTGGAGATGTGCTGCTCAGCGGGCTGCTGTCGTGCAAGCATCTGAGTCAGCAGCCGCCCTCCAGCCTGCACGCGAGCGTCTGCCGTCCCGCCCGTGATCGCGCCCATCACGTGCGACTGCAGTTCAAAAACATCATTAATCATTTGTTCTGAGTCCGACCGTTATTATGGTAGATTCAAAAGAAGTATATAAACATTTTTATTCGTGAATGTTTTTATATGAAATATGCAGATCAAGTAATGCAACAGTGTTCTCAACTTCCAGTCCGCATAACAAGCACCTACAGAGGGTCGACATAGATCAACGTAAGCTAAAGTGAAAAAATTGATACAGATCAAATATTGTGTTCATCGACCATAAGATTAGGACCGTCATGAGCATCTTGATATCAATGCATTTGAATTGCTTGCTTAAATAACTTAAATAAGACGACAGAGATGAGTTACCAAAGTGTGGGTGACAGCCTGGTCGAGCGCCTGTATGCGTTACCAGAGCTAAGCGTTACCAGGTACCGGTATTAGTTACCAGAGTGTGGGAGACGGCCTGGTCGAGCGCCTGTATGCGTTACCAGAGCTAAGCGTTACCAGGTATTAGTTACCAGAGTGTGGGTGACGGCCTGGTCGTGCATCTGTATGCGTTACCAGAACTAAACGTTACCAGGTATTAGTTACCAGCGTGTGGGAGACGGCCTGGTCTAGCGCCTTTATGCGTTACCAGAACTAAACGTTACCAGGTATTAGTTACCAGAGTGTGGGAGACGGCCTGGTCGAGCGCCTGTATGCGTTACCAGAACTAAACGTTACCAGGTATTAGTTACCAGAGTGTGGGAGACGGCCTGGTCGAGGTCGAACGCCTGTATGCGTTACCAGAACTAAACGTTACCAGGTACTAGTTACCAGAGTGTGGGAGACGGCCTGGTCGAGCGCCTGTTGCCCACCAGGCAGGAAATGTCGGCACAGCGACGTGAATTCCATCACCGAGGCCACCACCGTCGGGATCAGCACTTGCAACACCTCATTCGAGTTCTCTGCACATATCCACAGAAAATATCAAATTCAAGTGTTGCAAAACTCTTCCCCTACTTGATAATGAATGAAGTTACATTCGAAACGTCAATTTTAATAAAATGTCTCTTGGGAAAACTAATATTCGAGTTTTCAATTTATCACAAGCTTAATTCGCCGAATACAGAAAAACAATAAGAAAATAATTAATAAGAAATACTCTCTGATCTGCAATGAAACCTGCATTAGAGAACAACTTCAGCCGAACTACACCAATATGCAGTGATGCAGACTCAAGGATGTCTCAGCATTTTCACCGCCTGAATATATAAACAACCACGAAATGTCAATAATCAACTTCCATGTTAAGGAGAAACGTAGACAATTATGCAGAATTGAGATGCGTGCAATGTTCGGGTTTTGCAATAAATCGCATTCATAATTTCACAGGAGTCCATCGTAACTAAGAATTTTAAAATAAGCAAGCAACAAAAAGTTATAGATGGGCTCTTTGATAATGAAGTGATTTATAGGTGTACTCTTCGTGGCTAAGGACAATTGAGGACCTGATAGAACAAATATAAAACTTAAATTCAAACTATTTTCTTACACAACATTTCTATTTTGTACCTGTGCATAAAATTAAGGGCAAGAGAAAATAATCTTCGACTGAAGACTTGATTTCAATGCTTAAACTTTACACCGTTCTAATTTAGTATATTGTGAGAATCAATACCTAACAGCCTTCCTTCTCTTTGGACAACCATTTAGCTACGACGTCACGGTGCTTGCTACACAAGATTAACTTTCAAACAATAACAACTAAAGTATACATTAAGAATAATTCATATATTAATAATGAATGAATTCGATTAAAAGAAATATTTAGAGCAGAAGAGATAAGCTCACTGGTAGCCATATATACCTGAGCTGAAAATGGCGGTGAGGACGTCGCTGAGACGGCGCCTGAGGAAGCTGTTGATGGTGTGCACGCAGTCGAGCGCTTGTCGAGACAAGGCTTGGCTCTGCACGCAAAGTTTCAGTGAGTGTAAATAACTTGCTTCTAGTGCAGGTATTTTAAAATCAAGGCAAATAACTGCATCTATTTACATACAGTGAATGGAAGTGCACAAACAAAGCAATGTTCTAATGGACTCACCACAACATCGCGTATGGGGCCCTGCATGGTTCTAATAGCTTGCTCGACTGTGGCAGTGACGTTGTCAGGTGTCGCTTCTCGGCCCTGCAACACCTCATCCAGAATGTACTGTCGCAGAAGCCTCATTACCCCAGGTAAGAACGAGCTCACCACAGGAGTAGATATCAAAGCTGCTACCTGCAAACATAAGAAACGCGCTCATCACAGGCAGAGCAAATATTTGAGCCAATTTAATCAAATTAAAACATAGCTTATGTTTCAAAAGAGAATAATTAAAATTCATAACATCTGCTGTGTAGGTATAGAGAGCTCCTTAGACGGAGCTTGCAACAGCGAGCACAAATCATCCTCAACCGTCACCTAGTTCAAGATAATTCGATAAAAGAGTTAAACACAAAGTGTAGCTAAAATTCACGATAATTTAAGCAAAAAGTTATTGAGACAGCAACTGGCACCCAGTTAAGATAACTCAAGGCAAGAGCTACTGACCACATTCTGGATCTGTTGAGGGGAGGCAGCTCCGAGCTCGTCCAGAGACTCGAGGAAGGCGGCACTGAGCTGCGGCTGGCCCCCCGTCGCGAGCCCCATCAACAGGTCCCAGAGGCCAGGCAGGGCGCCCTGCGTCGCTTCACTTAGTTCCTGACACACATCACATATTATATTTACATGTCTACCTCTGGCCGCAGCAGGCATGATCACGAATAACGATTGGTGAGCTCCATGTTGTACTTCATAGAAAATAAAATAAACGAACTGTCAGCATAGGTATATTTTATCATATCATTTTGTAAAATTAAAAACTTAACGCGCATGAAAAAGATAAAGCGTCCAGACGCGTGGACGTGCTGCTAATACGTCGCTGAAGACTAACATTATGAAGTCACTTTCATGCGATGAAAATCTTTATGATTAAGCGAGTATATGTATATCACAGACACAGTAATTTCATGATTTGTTGAAAGTCTCCCAGCCCTGAGTTCGAAATTGGCCTCTAAACATCAAAATTAGTCAGAGCAGCATGTACTTGTGTAACAAACAAGCTCAATTTCTTCGTTTTGCGAGTAGATAGTGTGCTCCAGGATACCTAAAGCTTCTATAAAAAATATATATATATATAGCCTTAATGTAGCAATTCCCTAGTCACCGGAAACAGGGTGTAATCATATAAAAAATTGTATGATAAACAGCCACAATTGATAGATCGTAGAGCCAAATTTTTCGACTACGGTATCTTTTACATCAAAAAGATTCAGTGCAATGAACTTGCTGTTTAAATGCAAGTAAAGGAGCTATTGCCTATGACTTCATCAGTCTTTGGTTCAACATTTGAATATGATCATGTTCAACTACAAGCTGAGTGCATAACTTCGGCCTCACCTCAGGCTGAGCATAGCGCGGGTCGCGCTCAGAGCCGTCGTGCGGTCTCTGTTCTGCCGCGGGTGCCGGAGCAGATGTCGGTGCAGGTGCCGGCACAGATGTTGGTGCTGACGCAGAAACAGGTATCGGTGTAGATGTCGGAGCAGGTGTCGTTGCAGATGCCGCAACAGATGTGGGAGCGGATGTCGCAACATTTGTTGTAGTAGACGTCGCAGCTGAAGATTGGCTAGTCGATGTAGGAACAGCCCCAGGGGGAGTGGCGTGATGCAACACGGTGTTGAAAATCTCCGTGAACAACTGAATCTCAGGAGCCTGCAAAGGAAGTTTAATGTGTGAAAAAATTGATAAATGTTCAGTTCAACACAAGTTCAAGCGTTTACTGCAATCAAACTAATCTTCTATGGTTTGAGAACAGCTCATCCGAGTTAGAGGTACCAAGGAAATTAAAAACAAATATTAATACTCAATGATGCGGAAAGCACAATGGGAAAACTTGTACATACAAAATGCGAGTAATTTGCAAGCTAATAAATGTAAGGACGACTCGTTACCTGTGCGGCGGAGGCGTTAAATGTGGCGGCGCGAGGTGCGCCAGGAGCAGCAGGAGCTGCGTTGCGGTGGATGATGTTGATAGTCTGCTGACGGCCACTCTACAGGGGGCAGCATGCAACACTCCACATAAACGCACGTACTTAATTTCTTCAAACACATCACATGAACGAAGCTTCTCAATACAAACAAACTCGGCTTGCTGTGAAATGAACTTGAATGCTATGAAAGTACACTTCACAGAGGTCAGTAAGGAGCAAGAATATAGGATTCAGTTCCATCTTTGCTATTAAATAAGTGAACTAAGAATAAATGAGTAGCTGGAACTAACAACAACATTATTTATTAGTTAATATAACGCGAAATGACATATCTTGCTCCTAACGGAAATTACCAGTCGCGGGATCATATCCAAACGGGATCGGTGGGAAGATTAACTTAAACATAGAATAGCAGGGAGCAATACGGGAGGTAACAATTTTAGTAATGTAATTAACGAACAATCGGCAGCGTCAAACCTGTGTTCATTTTGAACTTTCACAACTCACGAAACAATTACTTAGTATAAATCAGTATTGGACTGCAATATTAGAAAAAATGCCGTCGCCATTTAATGACATTGCGCCTCGGAATATTATTTACAAGATTGACTAGCCTTCCTCGAAGTTGACCGGGAAGCAATTTTTGATCCTTGCAAGTGTGTCGTGGAAATTAGAGAGCTTCTTCCCCTGAACCAGCAGTGAGCGCGAGGCTTTCAGGCACAACAAATACATGACTCACTCATTCATATTTCCATCAACAGAAACGTATTAAAGCTTAGCCTCAATCCCACTCTAAGGTTTGAATCACATACCAAGACGACCCACGCTCTGCAAGTCTCTAGCACGAAACATACCGGCCTAAAGTTCGGTTGCCGGCGCCGAAGTGGTGATGCTGTATTGACGCTAGGGCCGCTGCGGTGATGCGAGTTACAAGGCAAGAAAGGATCAAACTGATTCAAGCTCAGTCCTGGCACGTTGATGGGCGTCACGTGCACGTGTGGTCGAGGTGTTACGCGCGTCTGTGTTGCGTTGGTGGTGTTTGTGCCGCCACTGCAACAACACAATCAACTCCTTAGAGTGAGCAACTCCAACTCATTTTCAGGGGTAAAATAACATTTGTTGCTGTAAATATAAGCATGAAATCAATCCAGGGTGATGGACGGAATGTAAAATTGCAACGCTTTATTAAGGTGTTTTGAGCATTACAGCTGATAGACGAAAATAAATACCTACTCAATAAAATTTAATGCCGGAAAAGGAATAAAACTGTTAAACTAAATTCCAAATGAATCATGAAATTCTGCAGGGAAATATCAGCACGGAACTTCACAGAGCGACGACACGCACCTGTTGCGGCCCGCCTGGCTGTTGTGGGTCGCGGGGCCAGCTGCTGCCGTCGCGGCAGAGCTCCCACCAGAGGAAGACGCAGCTGATGACGAGGCAGATGAGGACGTAGCAGCTGAGGAGGTGACAGGCGTGGCCCCAAATTGTCCAGCCAGATGATTCGTGAGTCCAGTCATGATCTGGAATATCTGCGCCGCCTCTGCAGGGACCAATGTTTATGTTACTTATAATCCGAGTTTACCCCAATAACTAAATCAAGCTGATGGAATTATATTAGACAATAGGTATAGAGCACTGTAATGGAATTCTATAATAACAATATGGACGACCTCAGCTTCATAAATTTGAGTGATGCAACTACGAGAGCAATATCTTGTAACCTTCTCGAGATAAGAAACAACTGATCAACGACACAACTCAATCTAAAAAATTCCCAGTTTATCTGAAGTAATTGTGTCGACAAGTCCAATTCCTGCTTTCAGAGAACAAGTATTATGAAATTCTTGAATGAATATAACCATAGTGTACAAATACACAACAGCCCTTCCAAGAAGAAAACTTTGAAATTGGTATTGCATTTACTAAATACGAAATTAAAATCAACAAAGTGTCACGAGAAGTAAATGAAGTACCTGGAGAACCAGCAGAGTGAGCAGAAGAGGAATCGATGGTGACGCCAGAGGGGCCAACCTGCATGAGTACCACACCGTCCGCCTCGCCCAGACTGTGCGCCAGACCTGCTGGCCCTCCCGCCGCCGCCACTCCTAAGCCGCCCAACAGCTGCTGCAGCTGCTCCTCTCCCACCTGTGGCATACCACGCCATGAGAACACGTCAATACCGCTACTTTATGTACCGTAATATTGCCAAGAGCTGCTGCCTGAACCGACGCGTGGGTTGACTTCCAGCAACACCCACGCGGAATCTTAGCGTGATGAGAACCGAGTTACAACAACAGTCATGCACATAAAATAATTTTCTTAGTAGTATTAGTAGGGGGGAGATTTCTAGCGCTTCAGATCATTTTCGTCTATTTCGCGCCGAAGGTGCAGTATTCAGTTTTGCAGGGTCAGGTTTCATCGTTGGTTTTAGGCTCGCAGCCTGATCCATCTGGTCTTGGGTGTATGCTTCTCTATTTCAAAGGCGGAGGTTCAATCCGTCTTCTATCGCTTCATCTCAACCAGTAATGTGATGACACGAATGTGGTGTTTTGTCGGACGTGTGGGTCTTTTCTGACCTATGTCATGGTGCCGTGCTAGATATCCGGCAGCAGGTTACACTCGATTAGGTATTGTCTAAGGTTGTCAGTTCTAAAGATGCTTCGGGGAACTTCCCTCAGCATCCTAGACAGCATTTCATTTGGGCTGAGAGCAGCAGTGTTGGGGTAGTAGTGTTGCCGAGTGTCACTGTGGCTTATGCATTCTACCACAATATGCAAGACCGTCAGTGATACCAAACAATCACTGCAATACGGTATTGGACGATAATTTTTTTTAATGGAGTACGTTCATGCCAGCTGCTTTTATGCTTCCGACCACTCAGGGACGCGTCATGACTAACAAGAAGCTGGCTGGGGTTGGGGGAGAAGAGAGGATGCGCTACCCTCTCTATGAAACACAAAGGCAGATTGTCTTCTGAGCAGCGAGGCAGAAAGATTGATATGCAATTTAGTCACTATATTTAATATCAACACCAACGTAGATCTTATTTCTAAAATTTTACCACGGTAAAATTCTATGCAAATCTCACTTCCGCGATTAAAAAATCAAGAATGATTTAGTAGAAAAACTGTCAACAGGGAATCGGCAAAATTCATTTTAAAATCAGTTTCACCTCAAGTTGTCGTTCCAAGGAAAGGTAATCTTCCTCCAGGGCAGCTAAAGCTGCAGCTGCAGGCGAGGTGGCAGCGTCAGGAGCTGGATTGTTAGGTGTTGAAACAGGCGCGCTGGGAGGGGAGCTGACGCTGGCCGGGGTAGCCGGGGCAGCGGCTGCTTCATTAGCAGGGCTAGCGGTGCCATTCATCTCAGAATGCACGTTGAATTCAGCCTGATAATTCAAGAAAAACACATTACACATCAATAATCAGGTATTAAGAATAGTAATATATACTTTAAATGCTAAATAAATATCAAGTTCACTAAAGGACCAATTGAATGATGAATGTTAGGCAAATTAATATAAAATATATATTTTCCAACAAAGAGACAATCTGTAATCTAATGAGTCAGATCACAAGCATGCCGAGTAATAAGCTATGGAGTTTATGATGAGTTTAGACCTGAAGCAGCGCTGGCTGGTGGATGATGATGGGTCGAGCCCTCATGTGGCGCGGAGGAGGCTGCCTCAGGTCCACGAGGATGTCGCTGATGCCGTGCATCGCGTGCGACATAAGGTGCATCACTTCACTCACGCGCCAAATGAACCACTGGTCCTCCATGCTGCTTGCCGGGGCACGGCCGCTGGCTGAACCAGACGTGCCAGATGTGGTAGCCTGAGCAACATGGATACGGTCAGCGCCCAGCTGTGGCATTGTAGGAGCAACATGGATACGGTCAGCGCCCAGCTAAGGAGCAACATGGATACGGTCATTGTCCAACTACGACATTGTAGGAGCAACATGGATACGGTCATTGTCCAACTACGACATTGTAGGAGCAACATGGATACGGTCAGCGCCAAGCTGTGGCATTGTAGGAGCAGCATTGAATTTTGGTGCTGTAGTACCGGTATTTGGGGTGATGTTATTCTCAATATTATACTCTATATATCTACTGTATAGACGGCATTGTGCTGTTAAGATGACGACAGGAGCCTTACCTCGTCTGCGCTGCCAGGCGCCCGAGTCGTGCCGCTGTCAGCAGGCGCAGTGCTGGCAGCGTCTGGGTAGGCCGCGTCCGCCTCCATTATGGCGATGTATCTGCATGACAGGTAAATTTATTGCAAGTTGGTGGTGGTGAAACATCACTGCCTTAATGATTTCACTAACATATATAAACAGAATCTAGGTCCCATCAAAGAAATAGTTAAAAACCTTTATAATTAGACTAAACCGTCAGAATTATCTCACAAATAGTACCTAACACAAATAAATTCAGAGCAAAAAAAAAAAAAAAAAAGTGTACAAAGGTGCAATTTCTAAAAAATGGCCTCTTTAGCAATTATGATAGGCAGGATGAAATGCTACCTGTTCAAGTAGGGCTCAAACGTTCTCTGCGTGTTACGATACAACGTGAGCAGATTTGCCATCTCAGCGCAGCTCGGGTGGTCGCTGGAGACGTTAGCAGCAGCATCAGCCTCATTGCTGTTGCTGCTGCCGCGGTTTCGGCTATCAGCGCTGCGACTGCGGGTGCTTCCCGACACAGAGGCAGCTGCTGCACCTCACAAATAAATCTACACTTGAGACCAAATCTTACAAATAGTGATGTACCTATACATTACCTATATACGATCTGCATTCCTGAACAAAAGCAGGAAATTTAGTCATTTCTCCTTACCTAAATGCTTTCGCAACATTGAGGCCACATTAATAGCAACCACTAACAATAGAAAAACAATAATATTAATTAAGTGGAAAATTCTGATTTTTTCCACAGCCAGAGTTAAGAAACAAAACAAGACTCACGAGAGGTCGTGGCTGGTCTTGAAGAGCGGGCATCAGCTGATCGGTCTCGAGGGTTCACACGTACAGTGGGCTGAAAAGCAGGACCTCCGCTGCTGTCTGCATGAAGCAAAACAGTTTACTTGAAGCTTGTGCACTTGGAAACTGAGTGTAGATGCCTCGAAATCTTTATATTCTTTCAATGACATACTCATCATTCAAGAAAATGAAGTGAAATTTGCCATATTTATGCAGATGTAGAGAGACTACGCTACTCACTTCTGTTTATGCGCATGGTGAAGCCCACGGGTCCAGACTGCCCCACCATCACCGGCATCCTGGGCCGGTCCACGTTGATAGTGCTGAACTGAACCTGAGGCCTGCGTGCAGCAGTAACTGCAGAAGCTGGAGATGTTAAATTGGGCGACTGTCCGGCGGTGCCGGTCGACGACGACGATGACGTAGCAGAAGTAAATGACGCGGTCGTGGGAGCCGCAGATGAAGCAGTTGAGGCGGCAGGCTGCGGACGCATGGCAGAGGCCATTGCAGAAGCTATAGCAGCACTGGCAGCCTGAGCAAGCCCGCCTGCTGTGTTGTTAACGAAGCTCGCCCCAGGAGCCCCCACCATCATCATGGGCTGTATGCTGTAAACCAGACAGCACGTTAAATCAACCAACTCAAATTTGCATGTCACATATGATCAATCTAAAAAGCCCCCTCAAAACTCAAAAGCAAAATTTCCTTTTCAAGCAAACGAAAGCGAAATAATCAATAATTGGTTAAGCAGACAAAGGTAACATAAATATTAGCCTATAATTCATACAATTTTTGTGGAAATACCCAAAACTGTCGCATAAATCGAGCTTTTGAAAGCAGACAGTCTTTTATATTTGACATTCCTTGAGTGGCTCAAATCAAATATTTGAGTTTTTCTTACTTGTTGAGGGAATCCATCTCTCGGTAGAAGCCTTCGAGGTCCCGGACCAGGTCTGGAGCCGCGGTGGATGAGGTGGCACTTGTGGCTGAAGTGGATGAGGTGGCAGTTGTGGTTGAAGTGGATGAGGTGGCAGTTGTGGTTGAAGTGGATGAGGTGGTAGTGGTGGTGGAAGTAAAGGTGGTGTCAGTGGGAGGCGTAGAAGCGTTGGTGGAAGTCTCACCAGCGCCTCCCACTTGCATGGCCTCATCAGCTTCATCACGACTTCGTTTACGCCTCACTCCTTCTCCTTCCGAGCCTATAAATGAGTTAATTTGTAGCTCTTTGATTCAACGCTATACACTCTGTTCAACTCTCAGGAGCTTATCAGCATGAAATTAAATTCTACCAAAGCAGAAAAAATTTGAAAGGATGGCAAGTCAACGATTCTTTGTTCCAGCAGATACGATTTGTGGCTCAAAGTACTAGGTAATTAAGGTTCAGGAATGCCATGAGGACTGACCTGAGTTATTTATTACAATAAAAGAAAAAATAAATAAAAATACAGCAACAACCACCGACATCAAACCTCCTTAGATTGATGATAGTCATGGTTTCCCAGTATGAAGGTTAAGATGGGACAGGCCACACAAAATAAGAAACAGAGTCAGATTTCTTTACTGGTTGATCCGAATATTCCTCAGAGTTGCATTTGACAGGTTCCTCATATACTATTAAACAGGTTCCTGATATACTACCTATACTGAACAGGTTATTCATATATTATTGAGCAGGTTCCTCATAAACTATTAAAAAAATTCCTGATATACTACTGAACAGGTTATTCATATACTATTGAGCATGTTCCTCATATACTATCTCAACACTGAGAGTTAACTACAACTTGGCCGAAGTGCAAAACAAGAGCCAGGGTTTGGCCGTGCACGTAACGCACGTGTAGCAGAGTCGACGTGGCGACCCAGCTGCGCGATGAGGCCGACGGCGCGCATGATGAGCGACCTGGCGTGTCGCATGCGCGCCGCAGACGCGCTCGGGGGTATCGCGCCGCTGTTGTTGCTTCCGCCCAACTCTGTAACGACGTATTTGACAGTTGAGTTATATTTTTATATAGTTATATTTAGTGATATTTTTATATTATACAAACAGTTGAGTGACATTTTCATTTGGTTACCTGATAATAATTTGCACTCAATCTTAGCAAATACTACGTTGATTGTCATCGTATCAATCTAACTAAGAAAGAATATCTTCAATTCTCAACAAAGGAAGTTTTAATATCATCAGCAAACTTACCTCTCATGACTTATAATGCTGAACTGAAAAAAACAGCATAATTAAATTCACATAAGAGAGTAGAAAATTGCAAATATATGTATATATAGTACGGTAACACAGAGAAAAAATATCACAAGACATACCTAACAAATTCTTTCAAGTTATATGAAACTATTAATCTTACCAAAAACAATTCCATCATCAGCAATGGGCCTGAAGAGAAAGTGAGAACCAGGTGCTTGGTGATGGATGTGGTGGTGGTGGTGATGGTGGCGGTGAGGGGAGCCTTGTCCAGAGCCTGCAGAGGGCGCTGCTGAGGTGGCAGGAGGAGGAGGTGACCGAGCCACGAGGTGTACCACACGCTCATGTACACCTGCATAACATCATCTGCATTATACATCACTTATTATGAACATCATCTGCATTATACATCACTTATTATGAACATCATCTGCATTATACATCACTTATTATGAACATCATCTGCATTATACATCACTTATAATGAACATCATCTGCATTATACATCACTTATAATGAACATCATCTGCATTATTGCTTATAACAAACAGTAAGAGAATTGCAACTGATACACGCTAAATTCATATAATCTTGATTCTCATTTAGTATAAATGTGCAGCATATTACGAGAATTTTGAATGATTACAATGGATGAACTAAAATCAGGTTTTAACATCAATATCTTTTTTTTTATAAATGTAGCAATAACCCACATGAAAAATCTGATATACAGTATACCCCAAACTAAGTTGATAAACGAACAGGCAAGCATGGCACACAACAACAAGAAGTGGTTATCTAAAGCAATGTGTTCTCTTCCATCCTCACCATTACCAAGTTTGGTGCAGAGCTGGAATTCTCAAGACACACAGCAACTTATTTACAGTTAGCATCAAAGGGAAGCTCTGAAGCTGTGATATAAACAAGTTTAGGAGGCTGCCTGATACTTAACATAAATAATGTGCAACTCTCACCATACTCGGCTGGTCTCTCCTCATGAGATGATATGCAGCACTCACCATACTCGGCTAGCCTCTTCTCATCTTGCAATACCCGACCACAAAAAATGAGCCTTTGTTTGTCTGCAGTGATGTTCACAGATGAGCTGATCCGAGTCTTGAACTGCTGAACTGTGATCTGTAAACAAGACGTAACACAGAATTAATAATTATGCTTGTGAGAAGAGAAAATTAATGTATGAAGCAAATGCAATGTACATACTATCCAATTGAACATAATTGGGCATTTTGTCATGAAAATTTTGTCACTGTTCAAAGTAATTGTATACTTACATCATCAGGAACTGAGAATCTATGATTCTGGGAGTCGAGAGTTTTTACTGTGACATCAATCATTGTAATAATCAATCTATGACAAAGAAAGATTCTGAAACAGATCCAGAATAAAACATTTTTAGGCATAATATTATTATTTGTTAAAGGCCTTCTCTATTTTTAACAATGCTCATCTCTAAACTTGATAATTAGTCATATAGTTCACCAACATCAATTTTTAAAAATATAAAGATCTACGGTATATGATCATTTAAAACTCAGATTCTACATCATAATATGTACAGTAAACTGGTAATAGTTAGCCCATGAAAAGTCAATAAAGCTACAACAAATGAAATTTGTTATTTGTACACTAATGTTTTATCAACATCTGGGGAGATTAGGAAAAATTACCAACACACCTATTTTCATCAATAGAGCACATAAAACATTATACTCATAAAACCCTAAGCGCATTTTGGAGCTGGACAAAAAAATCATGCCTTTTTCAGCAAATTTTTAAGGCAGTAGAGGCAACTATCAATGCGATACTCAGCACAGCAGTTTTCTTCATATATAGGTAACAAATACTTTACAAATTGATGGGCAAAAAGTGTATTCATAATATTACAAAATGTAAAAAATATTCTTCATTTCACAAAAAAGTATCCTTGAAAAAAAAAATCACATCCAATTGCTTTCCATCTCTTGCGTGGGCAGTCATGAAAAAATATACAGTGGGGGGAAATAAATATTTGTACACTTGAAAAATTGTATTTTAATGTATGTAAGTACACAAACTGAACAGGAGAAGTGATTTATATTATGTATAGAGGCACATTGTATTCAAAAATAGCATCAATAGAAATTAAATCTCAATGCAACAAAAATTAATGCAACACGTTAACTTCTTCGGGTCAAAAAAGTATTCGTACAAAACAACTTTTGACTAATATTTCACACCAGAACATTCCAGAATGTACTAGAAACATGTAGCAACTGTTAAGTTTGTGTACATACATACATTAAAATACGATTTTTCAAGTGTACGAATATTTATTTCCCCCCACTGTACGTTTTTACAAATTTCAATGATGTACAGCTAAGTCTAAACTACACCTACACTGAAACATCATTTGAACTTTATATATTTAATGCACAAATCACTGTAATTGATAAATGTATTGTATTCAAGTAAAAATGAAAGTAACTAGTCAAAATACCTGGAATTGATTAAAAATTACCTATTAGCATTCAGATCATTAATATTGATTTAACAACCTATTAACACATAAGTAGTCTAAACAGAATTTGGTAAGGTCCTCTTTTCATACAAAATGTTAAATCTGCGCGTCAGGTGCAGAAATCTTTTATTTTGCTTTCAAGACTTGACTAGACCAGTTTTGGTATGCAACAGCTTATTCCAATGCCATCCATGGACCTTTGAACTGCATTCATGTTGACTTTAGGTGGGTATGTAGCTTACCAACTGTAGCCTTCCCCTTTGTCCTACATTTGCTAATATTCATAAATGTTTTCACAAGGTTCATGGTTGGTGTTGGTCAATTGTCCTACCAATTTCAAGAGATCCCTGAATAAAAATATGAAAATCTTGCAGAAGCCACCAGTAAATTGGTCAAAACCTCATATGCTTCCATTAAATTTTACCCATTCTGGAAAACTGGGCAAAAGCCATTCATGAGTGAAACAATAATAACTATGCTTGTGGTCAATTTTACCATTTTCAAGGCCCTTGCAAAAGTTTGTTTTAAATAAGAAATAAATACATTTCTGTCTGTGATTTTCAAAAATCACTTGTAACACAATCATTTTTCCTTGCTATTTTTTAAAGAAAATTATACCCAATATTCAAGATTGGGTTCCTCTTGCCAAAAATTCATCTAGTATAAATAACCAAAAGGTATTTGTACCCTAGTGTAGAAAGTCCTACTTTTTACTGAAATATTGCAGCTCTCATAACTCATAAGTAATATCATATATTGCAGAGGCAAATGAGATAGGCAAATTTTGTCAATTACGTTTTCAAGCCAATACCTGGGTGCAACTTTTATGTAAGTAAAATGTAAGTAAAATTTTTTAATACGGCGAATATTTTTTTTGCTCCAGAGTGGCGGCCCATAGTGGCAAAGTAGAGTGTTTTTTACACTCTCCCTCAAGTTCATTTATGAGTCCTATAAGTAGACCAGTAAAGTATCCTGGATACCAGCAGTATCATACATAAGGAATTGATTTAAATCTGGGGTAAATAAGGACATAAAAAATGAACTGATTCTAAAAAAGCTGTGGTTTGCCAGTAATTGCCACAATGCTCCAGACCTTAGCAGAGGTACTTTTCCAAAATCACACTTTTCACACTTTTTCAACAATTTTTTACAGATAGGGTAAACGGGGTATATTCCGACACATTAAGGATGCATTGAGAAATGAAAAACTATAAAAAATAACTGTATGCGTTACTTGAGTTCTGTTTGCTTAACATGACTCTCAAAACACCGCACTACGCGCCAGCAACAATGAAACATCACAAAGTGTTGCCATATTTATTTAAAAGCCTTTAGAATGAAAACCTACCAAATCCCTATATTCCGACGCTATGTGTGACTAAATTTGGCACGTTATGAGACAAATTCCAGCCGCGCTTCATATTCTATTAATACGTAATTCCAATATCCTTGTGTTCGAATTCTGATTGCTGTGTGAGCTGTATTGGAATACGACACAGCATGAATTAGAACACTATTGAATATTGAACACTACTTAATTAGGCTTTTAATTAACAGCTATTAAGCTTTTAATTAAGAAAATTTTAATTTTTGCACACAGCTTGGAACGAGCTGTGTGTGTCCAATTCAAGTTGTGTCGGAATTAGTTTTTATGTGTCTAAATCCATTTCTTAACTTAATCATCTATTAATTTATTTACGACTTGAAATCAGCAAATACAAGTATACTTAAAGGATTCCTAATATATTCACAGACGTATTTAAAAGTCTCAAACGAGTCAAACCATAATATTCTTCCTATAAAAACAGTTATTCACTATTTGGTAGAGCCATGTCCACTGTGCAGAGAGTGAACGAAGATTTAAAGACCTACGGCGACGCATTATCGGCAAAATTTTTGCCTTCAGAAGATCTTGCCGACACATTTAGATTGAAATTCTTGCATTTAATATATTTCTCAGTCTTCAAGCCAACTATTTAGAAAAAAGTAAGATTTCCGGTACGTTGGATGGATTACGATGCAGCGAAGCTTGTCCGGAAATCAGTTGCGATGAGTTCCCGCAAAAAATGTAAACAACATTTTTTCGATTGCGTAGTTTCGGTCGCATTAGAGCGGTCAGACTGCTTTATTACTTGTTCAGTTGACACTTGCTGTACAACCGGACTGTTTTTAGGGTAAAATTAGTTATTTGGGGTAACACATGCATGCAACCTTGTAATAAGTTCGTGGCTTGTAAATAGTTCGTCATTACTCAGCGTAAATGGCTTTTCATTAAAAATTACCCGGCGACGCATCTTTAAAATGGCCGGCGACGCTTTGGGCTTAAAAATCCATATATTGCCGACGCTGCATCCTGCATCCACCCTCTGCATAGTGGAGCCATGTCAACTGTCAAATTTGACACATTTTTCGATGATCTCACCACGTGGCATGCATTGTCTCTCTTTGGCATAGTGGCAAACCAGAGTTTTTTTAGAATCACTTCATTTTTAATTTCCTCATTTACTCAAGATTTTAACCAATTTCTTAAGTATGATAATGCTGGCATCCAGGATACTTTACTGGTCTACTTATAGGACTCAAAAATGAACTTGAGGGAGAGTCTAAATTCTTTGGATCTTAATATTTTCCCACTAGATGGCCACAACCTAGTGTTTTTGCAGTATTTTGACACGCAAATGTATGACGTCACCATTTCAACCATCAATGAACGCATAGTGGCAAAGCAGCAATTTTTTTAGACTTTTCATCAAGTTCATTTCTGAGTCCTATAAGTAGACCAGGAAAGTATCTTGGATACCAGCATTTTCATACATAAGAAATTGATTAAAATATTGAGTAGATGAGAAAATTAAAAATGAACTGATTCTAAAAAATCTCTGGTTTGCCACTATGAATGAACGCATGGAACTAAAACAAAGCTTAATATAAAGGAAAAGCTGGAGAGGTGACACCGTGACAGAATTACCTACAATGTCGGAACGGAATATACCGCGTTTACCCTAGTAACAAATTTGGTAAAATTTGTTACAAAGATAAGAAACAACAATTATCATTCATACCATTACCATTCATACGCCAACGCCACTACTAGCCAGTCACATGAAACCTCATACGCCACTACTAGCCAGTCACATGAAACTATTAAGTGAAAAGGCATTTAACTGCTAGTGCTAGGCTGCTAGCTAAATCTTTTAAAGTCTTTTCCCTACAACTTTCAGCAGAAATTCAGCTTGCTCATCATAATCTGACAGAAACTAAATAAGCTACGTCCTAGGTTTAGTAGGCTAGAACCTATTAGACGGTTTGTGGGTTAGACTTGGAAACGTGATGGCGAGTTTTCATAAACCAAACACAACTTGAACTGTGAACATAGTTTAGTTAGGATGATGAAATGAATGAGACGTCACTCACGTCAGTGCTCAGTGACTCAGTCTTAGTGATCCCAAAGCACAAAAATACGGATCCGTAATTATTTCTAATCAGTACTCAGTATACATTTTATTTCAAAACATCATGATTGAACTAGTAATTTGTAGTAATTCAACCATGCATAATATCATCTAGTAAATACATCAAGTTATTATAAAACCATACTATTAACTAATAAATATCATTAGTCAAAAAACACTTATTCGTGCATGAACCAAAAAATGACTATGGGAATAATTATAATTGTATTGAATTTTGTTTTAGAAACCTATCCACTGGTCGATTATTTGTATAACATTAAAACCATACCATAAATTTGTCCGCCGACATTAGGTCATTTAATTCATATTAATGTCTAATTATATTACCAATATACTCGTCTTATGTTTTACGAAATATTGCCAAGGCTAACGGCTCAAGTAATCTAAAATCAATTATTCTACTATTAAATTCTTGCTAAATAGACCAACTCGCTATGTTCTTCAATGCCTGCAATATTACGTTCATCTATAATTCTATATGAAATTCAAATGGTCTTACGCAAGCCAAATTTTTAATCTGAACATAGACGAGCGAACGACTGTCCTCATTTTAGTATATTCATTAATAACTTAACAGATGCAGTCACTATATTATTTGAAATAGATTAGATGTCATCATGCCTCGCAGCCTCATAATATCTTTACGTTCACGACGAACTGGATTTCCATCATTCCAACAAAATAACATCAAATGCTATTGTTGAACAGGAGAGCTCTAACTTCGGGATAAGATTTTTGTTATCATGCGCCTTTGGTAAAATAGCCGATTTGTTAGTTCACTGATTCGTATTTCCAGAATAAAATTGAAGTTGAAGGTATTCGTTTAAGCAGGATGGAAAGTTGAGTCCTATAATGAAAGAAATCTCCCATCAACATGAATTTATGGCGCATAAACCCGACAGTGGCTCTACCGCAGAGACGTCAGAGAAAAAATTTAAGAAAATCCAGCTGGAGTGTGGCAGCTTTTGACTGTTGTTGTAACTGTAGTTTCGCCAACTGTAAAAATGGTATTCCTTTGCAGCCTTGATCTTCCCACATTGTCTCTATTTCTCAATAATTACAGCTAACTAACACGATCCAGGTAAAGCTTTCCCAGCAAATTTGGAAGAATTAATGAAACAAGAAAAAAACACGACGGCCGCTCATCCATATTTAATGCTGCGCAAATCGGAGGTGACGTCCATCCGTCGTCAATGGCCACTAGATGTCATCTCCTTGATAATTCATACCTGGAATTGAAATGATCAATTAGCGATATAATTCTTTTCAAGGCAGTTCTTCACCATCTGCCAATCTTCGACTTTCCCATCGGTGACAGATGGTGAGACGTACATATGAGGACGTTACCTACAAATGTTACTCATGCAAGAGATTACGTTGCAGCGTGGGTCGATCGTAATCATCTATCGTAGTATCATGGAATTCAATATAGCAAACTCTAATGCTAATGATTTATTTCATTCCAAGCCTGCCATAAAAATACCTATTTTATTTTAAAATTGGAACGACGTGACATTTAGCTTATATTAAAGCATGATTTATTTTAGGGAAAGTAAGTCACGAGCATTTTTTTACTACCTTCAATGAATGATCTGTAATTCGAAATAAAAACGGTATTAATCTTTCAGCGAGTTTCCAATGTTTGCAACTCTTCGCCGACGGATACATTAACCGTGATGAGTCCTATACATATCAAAAAGATCTAGAATTACCATCTGTATTAATAAAACAATTTTCGATACTGCGAAAATGTCAATGAAAACTGCACGAGATCATTGACGTTCGATAAAATCTTTCAAGGGTAAAGAAATTATGATTTAGGTGTTTAAGCAGCAGCATTAAAAAACAAACACAAACACCCATAGGGAGACAAAGCGAAGCGTTTGGATGGCCGAGACATCTACTTGGTATTGACGTTACAAGAATAACCTTGATCCACAATCACACATGTACATAACATATATTGGAGATCTGCGAAAAGATACTGACGGAAGCAGAGGTACTTACTAAAGCTAAGGACTGTGAGCAGCGCTCCAGCGCCGCGATAACGTCAGCACTGAGTCCCGACGAGCTCATCTCAGCCTCACGCAGTACTGAATAGACCCAGTGAACGCTCGGCCTGACGCTATCACGGGGAGAGGCTTTAGCTTTTCAATATAGATATACAGTACGATACCCACTTGATTACAAAAAAATGAGTTGAATATCAGATAAAAAAAACCCGCTCTATATAAATGTACGATTAATATAATTTGGTGAGTGAATTTAAATTGAACCATAACACCAACGATCCATGAGAAAGCAAGTCAGGATAAATTTCATGGAAATGCACTCGCCTTTTTTAAACGAATATAGCAAAACGTGTTTCGACAGCAGAAGAAATTATCAAGATAAGCAAGGCAACTATTTTCTGAAGAAAAGTGGCAAACTAGCGACAGCGACACAGCAACAGTCAAAACAGATCAAGAAATTCTAGAAAAATGAAATGAAACATAATTGGTCGAGTTATGAAAAGAAAGTCACCCACTGAGGACAGAGAAAGCTCGTAGAACTCACAGTTCATTCGGCGATAAGGAGACCAGCCAAGCGAACGTTGACGAGAAGAAGCGCGTGCAGGCGCACGCAGACACGAGGGCCTTGGAGCGCCCCAGCGCCTCCAGCAGATCTCGCGCGAGCTCCTGTCGTCTCGCCTGCCAGTCCTCGACGTCCTGCGCTTGCCTCTGCTTCGTCTCACCAAGTCCTTTATATTTGAATTCGATTAAAATTGCATTATAATCACAAAAACTTACAGGCATTTCTTCCCAACATATCATCAATAGCGTGTTCTTGAAGGTTTCATTCACCTGTCATGACGTTGCTGAGGACGGGCTCGATGAGCGCCAGCTTGTCGGTACACAGGAACCTCTGCACGTCGTGCCGCAGGAGCTTTTCTAGCAGCTGAGCCTCCGTTAGAGTCTTATTCTTATTATTCCAGGGGGAGTTGCTCTTGCGTAGGAGCGGCTCCTCCATTGCGTCAGCTAACAACTTGTCTGCTCGAGCAGCGGCTCCTCGGGGCAGAGCCTCCCACTGCCGGGTTCCAAGGAGAGATGTAGACGATCCTGGCAAATGTGCTGCTGAGGTGTGGCTTACCGGGAGAACTGATGAACCGGATTTTCCATCACATGTGCCAGCTGTTTGTGTTGTTTCAGAGTGTGGATGTATTATTGTGTGATTGTGGAGCTGCTCGCACCATCTACACTCGTGGTCAAGCAAGTGACACGAGCGTTGAAACTCGTCGTCTCGCAGCCACGTGTACGCGCTGGCAAAAAGCTCGAAGTAAAGAGAGACCAATTCCTGAGAGGCATTCGGTAAGTCTTCTAGCCGAGGTAACTCATCTGTTGAACATAACAGGTATTGAGGGACAGTACAGAAATGTATTGCTTCCCAACCAATTCTCAAACTGTTACAGAAAAAAAAACAGATGGCAGAGTGGTAACTTGATGGAATAAAAGCTAAATCAACCATCAAATACTTTCTTTACTAAAGGATTAGGATTTATTAAACTTTTGATGATACCCTTGAAGAATTTAAACAAAAATTGGGACATCTCACAATACAACGAAATAAATGACTGGGATGTTGAGCATTAACGCATGAATAGGAAATGCCAAGGAGGCCAAACAAACATAGAAAGAAAATTTATCTAGTAGGCTAGGAAAGAGAATTTAAATTAATACAAATGTATTAAGCAAAGCAATATATGGCTGAAATGAGAATTCAAGTCAAGTTGCCGGATGAAATAAATATTGAGACTAAATCAATAAGAAAGTCGCTGGGATGAAAGAAATGCAAGAAAAGATTCTAGAGGACAGTGAGGAATCTTCATTTCTTACATAAAAGTGATAAAGTTATCGACAAAAATGAAGTTTAGTTTAAAACTAAAGAGAGTAAAAAGTGCGAGGCGAAACTATTAATGCATTTAAAGCTTTTTTGTTTGGGTTTTGCTGACCTGCAAGGGCGCGTGTCAGGAGGTGCAGCGACCTGGAGTCGTAGAAACCATAATGAACGCACACCGCCAGCAGCGTCAGACGCAGCTCCTCTGCCTCTAGCCTACCAAAGAGAGGGACATTAGTATGGTAGCGTCAGTAGCAGCTCCTCTGCCTGTAGCCTGCCAAAGAGAGGGACATTAGTATGGTAGCTTCAGTAGCAGCTCCTCTGCCTCTAGCCTACCAAAGGGAGGGACATTAGTATGGTAGCGTCAGTAGCAGCTCTTCTGCCTCTAGCCTACCAAAGAGAGGGACATTAGTATGGTAGCTTCAGTAGCAGCTCCTCTGCCTGTAGCCTATCAAAGAGAGGGACATTAGTATGGTAGCGTCAGTAGCAGCTCCTCTGCCTACAGAGAGAAGGGGGCGCCAGCACTGAACACCAAACGCGCTCTAGACTCGAGTTCAATTTCCGTTCGTATTTCAATTTTTAACTGATGCTCATAACAGTGATCGAAAGTTTCTTCATAAAATCAGATTTGAGGTTGACAGAATATCTTGTATTGATTTCACTCACACCTTTAATGCATAATTATTTAAGTAAATAACTTCAAAGTGTGCTAATTAAATTGTTGGTATATGAAGGGAAAAATTAGGTTTTCAAATGTTATTATTTTCAGGAGAGAGAGAGGCCTATGAACAACTATATACCTACACTTATAAGTTTTCGGATAACTTCAACACTCAGCACTCATTAATACCAGCAGTTTAAAAACTATGTAGTCAGAAAAACACATTGAGCTCAAAACGAACGATTCATTTTTGGCGCGTGGAACAGCATCCCCGATGACATCGTTGGCGCTCCAAGTATGAACGCGTTCAAGAACAGACTAGATAAAGCTATGGAAAAATATATGTTCAGATTTGAAATGCCTAGCACCTTATCGAACCCGGTGGAAGTCTAGTAGCTACTTCAAACTATCGTCAGTCATGAAAAGATCCGGTCAAATGAAACGATATTAGATTTTCTGTGAACAAGTCACGAAAAGGAAAAGAATCGGCGACAGGCCACATCAGGCCTACACTTCAGCGCCGAGATCAATATGTTATGTTATAGCTAGGAGAAAATGAGAGACAGACAGTTTGGAGACAGGTAGAGACGAAAAATAGATAAAACAGTATTACAAATTTAATTTTATTACCATATCCTCACGCAAGTATTTTAGCCATACATAGAGTGCAATAAAATGTCTCCGCTGCAGGAGTAAACTCACCCTGAGAACGGAGCAGCGCCGTCGGGCGGCAGCAGCGCGCCGTGCATCCGCCTCAGCCGCGGTGCAATCGTCTGCTGCAGCCACGCCTTCTGCAGCAATTAGAGAAACTTTCAGCCGCTCGTCAGGAAACTTGTGCTCCAAAGAGTATAGCATTTGATAATGATACGAATTGACAATGGTTGTTATATCAGTAGAATAGCGGTTAAATCAGCGAAAAATAACATGATGTTTACTAAGAGAAGGTTTCATAGAATGAGACGCATATGAAAAGCGTCAGGAAACTGTGGCTTTGAAATGAGCATGAAATTGCATAACAAGACTTAGGAGCCATTCGAGTGAGATTTGTTTGGCGAGTGTAACAATTAAATCACAATTTAAATGATCCATAAACAATGCAACATTTCAATGCCACAAATGTAAACAATAAGCGAGGGATCTGTACTTTATGGCACTATTTTCCACCAGCAGACATCCTGCCGTAGCGTTCGGCTCCTACACAGAGTATCCTGCACCTATGCCAGCAGCTACGACCACACACATGGCACTGCTCCTACACAGAGTATCCTGCAGCTACGACCACACACAGCACTGCTCCTACACAGAGTATCCTGCAGCTATGACCACACATGGCACTGCTCCTACACAGAGTATCCTGCAGCTACGACTACACACAGCACTGCTCCTACACAGAGTATCCTGCAGCTACGACTACACACAGCACTGCTGCTACACAGAGTATCCTGCAGCTACGACCACACACAGCACTGCTCCTACACAGAGTCAGCAGCTACGACCACACATGGCACTGCTCCTACACAGAGTATCCAGCAGCTATGACCACACATGGCACTGCTCCTACACAGAGTATCCATACGACCACACATGGCACTGCTCCTACACAGAGTATCCTGCAGCTACGACCACACATGGCACTGCTGCTACACAGAGTATCCTGCAGCTACGACCACTCACAGCACTGCTGCTACACAGAGTATCCTGCAGCTACGGTACGACCACACATGGCACTGCTGCTACTGAGTGATAAGATAAACAGCTTTTGCACGGACGCAATACGCGTAAAACTCGTCGATGTGAATGACTGAGTCAGGAGCCACCTCTTGAATCACACGCGAAATAAATGTAGTGTCATGGCTATTGCAATCTCAGCAAACCTAACTTCATGATGTAATTTGGTCGGAACACGTAATTGCTAAACTGATTTAAATGCCAGTAACATATAATGCATTTTTCAGCATTTATTAGTAAATAAACTCAAGAACAAACTTTGTTATAACTTCAAGTTTAAGCTCACCTGAGCAGAGTGTGTGCAAAGGGTAATACGCAGCAGCTCCAGCAGCCGCAGCTCACATAAAAGCCTTTTTAGGTTTGGCTTGACCCCTGCACACGTACAACAGATTTCACATCAATTCAAGGGATCATCTCGATTGAACAATCGACTGCACCGTTTGCACGATATTCTCATGCCTGAACGGATGTGGCACATTGCTCTCATGCTAACAACTTTGAACAGAGGGGAGGTGACTGACTTCATATTCGAAATAAGAATGAGCAAGATACAAGAAGGACTTTCAGATAAATCATTACCGTTAAATGGGGTAACTTAGACCACTTTTTTTTTTATAAATGATGCCATTTTTTTACTAGCTAAATTAAACTTGAATTGAAACATGCAAAATACAGGTCTATACTCTAGCTTCACTCACCATAAATTGCTGGCTCCTGCCTCTCTTAGTCTTTATGTAATTTCAAAAAAAATAATGGTCTTTGTTACCCCAGCTCTTGGGGTAACTTAGACCGGGTAGTAAAATCAATTATATTTTTTGGTAAAATAACTCCAAATAACTCCAGGTTTTGGTGCATTGTAAGTTATGTAGCCTCAGTATTAGGCCTTTAATGCCCATTGACAAAATTTTTCTATGTCAAATAGTTTTTGAGTTGTGGGAGTTTTTGTTAAAAAAACCAAAAGTGGTCTAAGTTACCCCGCCGGTCTAAGTTACCCCGCCGGTCTAAGTTACCCCATTTTACGGTACACAGCAAATCATTAGTAAGTAGGCATACTCTGAATGTTCTATCACACCATGACGCGTGACGAACAACGTTCAAACTGCGAAATTTAGCTCTACTACATTCTATTTGTTGCTTTAATTGAATCCGAATGAACAGCCAGTAATTCCAAAGCACCTCCAATTATCTACAAAAGTCACCACTAGCCGCACTCTGAGGCAGATCAATACTCAAGATCTATTGCCTCTTTGTTTGCGAGACAGAACATAGGGAGGGCAATTCTCAGATCTTCAAGTGGCAGTCGTGGAACGTTACTGAGCCGACACTAAGTTCAAACCTTGCCTGATGCGTTGAATTCAGAACGAATAATATACATTTAAAAATTACTTTTTAAAGACAACACTTCTAAAAAATCCAGTGTCTCCAATGTAAACATTTACAATGAATTTCTAATTTTAATTTTGAATACCTACTATTAAAAAATTAATTGTTTTATTGTAATACATAAAAGAAATTAAATTTTCAAAATTATTTATTCTGTCAATTGATTCATGCATTGTCTCCAATTTTACGCAAGCGTACAAAATTCCAGATTAGATTGGACAAGTAGAAGTGTGTTAAATATCGATTATAAGATTCGTAGCAAAAAAAAATTATTTTTTCAATTTTTTTCAAATTGAATTTTTTTATATTTATTCTGGCAATTGGTTCATGCATTGTCTCCAACTTTACGTAAGTGTGCAAAATTTCAGATCGATTGGAGAGGTAGAAGTGTGTAAAAATCAATTATAAGATTTGTAGCTGACAGACAGACAGACAGACAAACAAGAAGTGAAGTTAAAGAGAAGTGTTGTAAAAATGCTGAAAGAAATTGAACGGGTTCAGCAACGTACGGTCCAAGCGCGATCTGGAGACCAGCGAAGGCTGAGGAACATCAGAGGACAAAATAACAGCAGTGACACGAGCCCACGCAGCTGTGCTGTCATCATCCTCGCTCTGGCAACAAAAAAAATATAACTCAGTATTCACTGCAGTGAGTGACGGAGAGCGCATTTTCTCGTCGACAAAAACTTGAGGTCATGGACGGACAGACAGACAGACAGACAGACGGACATGGCAAGCACAATAGTACATTTTTTCCATAAATGAGAAAATGCGCTAAAAAAAGACAGAACTTTCCACAACAATCATTACCACTTCTTGTGAAGCTCTTGCCAAAATCACCTAAAATTGTACCCACAAAATCAAGTGGAAAAATCTCCTTCAGGCAAAAGATGAAGATCGCGATGAAGCCTTATGCTGCAGAAGCCTACAAGTACTGTTTTCATTCTACCAAGTTACATTGTAGTAATGCTAATTACTTATCTGATGCTAATGAATGAGTTATAGCAGTTTCTGTAATTGTAAAGCAGTTTTAATATGGTCCATTCTGTTAACACGTGATGTTAGCAAAATGTACTCATGCTATTACAAAATAATCCATGAACTAATTGATCATGGCTTATGTATTTGGATTGGATGGAGACTTGAGAACGTTAAATAAAACAACCACGGAGATTAGGCAAGCAAAAGTGGCGTAAGAAGGCTGATCATAAAAAGTGGCATCAGAAGGAAGCTAGGAATTGATTTATGGAAAGATATATTCAGCTCTGCAGAGGAGCAGCAGAGCCACTCACCTCTGAGGCTGTTTTAGCCAACACTCGCAACTGCAGCAGCTCAGCAATGACGGTCATGAGCAGAGAAAGATTTACAGCCTCCGAGCCTTCAGATGCACTTATGCTATTGTTACTTCTACTGTCAGAACTATTGTCATTCGTAGTGTGTTGTTCATTTCTTTTTTTCTTAGAGCTGTGCTTCAAGTTTTTAACGTTTTCAGTATTACGACGTTCGAGGTCCTCAAGCCAGGTTCTCCAGCGGCCAGCTGCGACGGTATCGCTCATCTCGTCAAAAACACATCCAAGGCTCTTCCACAGTGTGTTTCGACTATGACACTGAAAAAGCAAACAAGATTGCATAAATGTGAGGTATTTTTACAACATTTAATTCAATTATCAAAATTTTTCAACATAAATTAACACAATAATCTTGTTTCTGAAATGTTTTCAGATGTTGAATGCAGATCAAACAACTGTTAGATAAACATAAGAAGTTGTAAATAATGACCCGCAGAGCCAGAAGGGATAAGAGCGGAGGTGCCAGCATGTGTGAGCAGGCGCGCAGCAGCTGAGGAGCAGCACACAGTAGCTGCTGCAGCAGACGCACGGTGTCAGGGGCAGATGTAGGGTTGGCAAGAGCTGAGCTCAGATGATCACACAGTTGCAGGGTTGGCAGGAGCAATACTTCTCGGCGAACCTAGAGATGAATAATTCCTATCACTAAACCGTTATATAAAGTAAATAACCTAATTATAAACATATAGAAAATTGTGAAGTATTATATTGTTGAAAGAAAAAATAGAATTTTTACACCTAACGCCATGAATAGTAAAATTCAGGAATAATTTATTAAAAATTAAAGAATGATTGCATATCAATCAAAATTCTACCACTGAATAACCCTTATTAGTGTTGACCTCCCAGCATGATCTAATGCAAATACCGGTGTAGGTTGTTGACCGAGAAGAGTGCAGTGATTTTTTGTAAAATATACAGAAGTACAAAAACTTGACCTTGTTAAAGAATGAGTGAACATAATACATTATTCAAAACAATAAAATTGTATGTGACTCAGAAACTTAAATTTGAATGCATCCAATAATGAAAAAAAATTGGGTGGCCTTACTAGAAAAGTTGGATTATTATAATTTCAAAGAACAAGAACTATTAGATAACTGCAATACAGTAGAAAAAAAAGATCATTTCTCAGTACCTATCACAATCTGTCATGAAATAAAATTATTTGCTACAAAGAACATAACTTTGTACTAAACAAAGCAACAGCTACTCTGCAAGATTTCCTTACAATTGCAAAGCATTTAAATTCGATTTTTTTTATACAATTACATTAGTGCGCTCAATCATAAGAACTAATTTGGCCTTAACCATGCAAATAAACTTCAACACATGATGGAATGAGATTAACATGATAACATTAACATTGATTAACATTCTGTGAACAAAATCACAGACAGCAACGCATTTATAGTGACATTAAATAAATATTGGTAGCAATAATGAAAGAATACCTTGGAAGCAATAATGAATAAGATGACTGCAGCAGCCTGACGCAGGGCTGCAGCAGGAGACACCAGCAGAGGACACACAGCAGGCATCAACACTGGCAGGGCCAATACAATCTGAACAACATTCAAATTATACACAATAATGCAACTTTAGCTCTCATATAGACACTTGAATTTATGCAGCAAATTAAAGGCCCCAAAAATATTTTCATAGAAATTATCAATAAAAGCTTTTACTTTATTGTAGCATAGAAAAGTTGTTCATTGTTTAACCATGTGCAGATTCTGATTCTGCTGATGACAATCAATTTTAAACAAATTAACAAACAACAAGAAAAAAATCCTGGAATTACATACTTTACACATACAAATCTTCAATATAAAAATTTAAGACCTGTTCACACATGCCTGAATTGGTTTTAGATGACAGAAAAGCTTGTTTAAACATGGGTGGTTAATGGCCAGGGAATTCATTGATTCAAACTTTCCTTGTCAAACAATATTTTTATGTGACGTTGGTTGATCAAAATGAAGGTTTAAGAAAGTAATTGTAATCTGTTAATGACGTTTCAAATGTAACATTCACTTTCAATTTACCTTATAGGAAGCATTGAATACATAAATTTTTGTGGAAATAAGTACATGATACACATGAAAATGACATAACAAAAAAATTTGGAACAGTGAAAATAATTCCAAAATGATCTTAAAGTTAAAAAAATCTGGCAGTTTTGAGATAGATAGCTGGAATCCAAGCAAAGGAGATAGCATTGCAATTGTGCAACTTCATCTCAAAATCTGCAGTGAGTTCAATGGGCTCCATGACACTCTTAACAATGTCAAACTCCACAATGAGTATAAAAAAACTATATACCCTTGTCATTAACTTTTTCTTAAAATATTTATTGAAATCTGTACTTTGGTATTAACTACGGGTATCAAGTATATATATATATATATGGCAAGTTCTAAACAAACCATCAGCTGCAAGCAGGTTTCCTAACTGTACCAACATTCATCAATCATCAATGTAGTCATTTTACACTTTTTATAGTTTGTTTTGCTCCTCTTGTTTCTGATCAATAATAATTGCAATTTCAGTACAGTCTATGTGCAATTCAACATCTTCCCTTGGCATCCTTATTTCACTGAAAAGTTCCTACATTTTCTGCATTGTTCTAAGTAGGTAGAGATCAAAACAAACATTAGCATTATTTTGATATAAAATACAACATCTATATAATGATATTCAAGATATTCAGGTATAATTGCAATATTACCATGTAAACTTACCTTGCATTCAAGGCTAGGAGTAAGGAGAGTGCGGATGCTGGAACAAATTGGCAGTGCATCTTCAGTCACACGAGCTTCTTGAAGAAGCTGACATAATTCCTGCTCAGATATGGCAGTGACATAGTTAAACGTATCACCCTTATTAATACAAATGCATCTTAGTGCATTACTTATGTTCACGCTTGAAATGCACATACACAGAGGTGTCAGCATGTAAATAGCCTGCTTACAATTAGTTATAGCTAATTTTCACCTCGTGACCTCAGCAAGTACTAATGAAAACATAAAACTTCAACATAAAATTATATTGATTCAGCAGATGGCAATGATTACAACATCATGCAATAAGTACAAAGGAAAGCAAGAATGGTCCAGCTCCTCAAGATATCTATGATGGTAAATGGTAATAACAAACATGCAAAAAATATACTTCTCACCTCAAGTAAATTTGATATTTTTGTAGAAGACCCAGAAGCATAGTTAGCTCTTTTTGCACTTTCCAGCTGGAATTCATCAGTAAAATCATCTATTAATTTAATTTTAGGCCCAAGAATATGGGCTTTCTTCTGACGGCCTAGCACGGTCCTAGTTCTGACCTTTCCCATATCCTAAGAAGCTTGTGTCTGACTCTGAATAGATGGCATACATGAGAGTAGTAAATAAATAAAATTTATAAACCTTCTAAACCTCAACTAAGAAAATAATTTTGGGTTAAATGGTCTTGCAGCCATGATTTTGGGTGTCCCCAGAGTAGACCAATGTTCATGTGCATCATATAGCTTGAGAAACAAACATTATTATTATTCTGCAAAGCAATTATCATGTCGCCTGGTTCAAACAAACTTTGAGGGCACATTAAACAGTGATAGAAATAGTAGGTTGGCTTTGATTCATTGTAGAGCACTGACAAATGCTACATGTATATTCCATTAGTGTCATTGTCTGAAAATTTATCAAATTGGTAATATAACCAATGGATAATAACTTAAAGAGTCGGACGTCATGTGTTTTCTTGCTAACTGCATATGTGGTGCACTTCTTCAAACATAGCCCATGCCCTCTCACAAAATTGTGATAATTATTTTTTATGTTTCACACAATGATTTTCCCCCAATCACTCTTGCACATTGTTCTGCAGCTCACTAATGGGAAGAGACATCCCTATTTTCTCCATCCCCATGATGCAATTCACAATAGTATGCTAAATTTATCTACCGTCAACCGGGGCTACTCGGGACAGGCGGGGCTACTCGGGACAGGCCTATGACACGGCGTAAAACTGTTGTAGTAGCAAAACTAATTGGAATATCGCAAAACTAAAAATAATGGCATAAACGTAACTATTTTTCCTATCTATCTAGTATAAAGAAAGTCGAAAAATACTACATTTACTTGCTTTGAAAAATTCCTGAAAAAAATGGTGAAAAACTATGTTTTGTAAAGTTACAACTGCTAAGGTATGTAGCAAAAAAAAATATTCGCCGTATTAAAAAGTTTTACTTACATAAAAGTTGCACCCAGGTATTGGCTTGAAAACGTAATTGACAGAATTTGCCTATCTAATTCCAAAAAGAAATGGCAGCCATTTCCGCACGGCGGGGCTACTCGGGACACCCCCCCGGGGCTATTCGGGACACCCCCAAAAACGCATTAAGGGTAGAACCTCAGTTAGCAAAGGCTTCAATTAAGAAAAAAATTGATTAAAAACAAAGAATATTGATCACATTTTCCTTGCTCAGCGAAAAAAATTTCACTTATCAAAAAATTAGTGCATCATCAGTCATCTTAAAATTGTGCATAGCATGTCATGTATAGAATTGTGCACCAGACATTATAGAATGAGAAGTAATTGACTTAAACTATGATTTATTTATCCAAAAGATAGGCTGGTTGTCACTAAAACATTCCTTTCAGGAAGTTAATGATCACGCAAAGTTAATGATCACGTGAAGTTAATGATCAGGGGAAGTTAATGATCATGCAAAGTTAATGATCATGGGAAGTTAATGATCATGGGAAGTTAATGATCACGTGAAGGTAATGATCACGCTAAGTTAATGGTCACGTGAAGTTAATGATCACGCGAAATTAATGATCACGATTCACTTCAGTCAGCTCATTGCATAGCGAGCTCAGTTTGTCACTCAGCGAGCGCACCATCTCACTCAAGGGGTTTACTACATCATTCAACAATTTCGACTCATTGCCGTGCTCTTCCACCAACTCCTCTCTTTTTTGAGCACCAAGAGTTGGTTTTTCGCAATCACGGCAAAACCAATGAAGCAATTTAGATTTCTGGAGAAATGAGTACTCCTTAGAGCTCAACTTTGAACAGCTGATACAAATAAGATCTTCACATCATTCACAGGTGACTGTCTGGACTTCGCTCAGTCTCAGAGAGCTCTCTTTGCAGTACTTGCCCGCAAACACTACGTGCGTCCTCGATCACTGCCAGAACTCAACAACAAAACGATGAAACAAATAACAAAACTCCAGACCAGAGCCGAGCAACGCGTCCAGCCGCAGAAACGACAGACGTTCTACAAAATGCAAAACACATAGTGGGGAACGCAGCCGTGCACCACAAATTTTGTACACCAATAAGCCCTGAATCGAACACCTTGGATCTTTCCGGACATCCACCAATCAGCCGTGAATGGAATCTGCTATCCGTAACAGATCATTGACATCCTTCTGCTTTGAATATTTTGAGCTCCACACCCCCCAGACACGAGGTCGAATAGCCTAGGGTCGAATGGCCGTCCACCACTGAACGTTGCGTCGAAGCATCACTTGATTCACTTCATACCCTGGCCACTGCTCGAATTGCAACTTGCGCGCAACAGCCTGCGACCACTTGGATTTGCCCACCTCCGGCCTCGCATAAAACCTGCCGTGCACCACCAGGCCGTCGGTCGAAAGAGCCGTGCGACTGGCTGAGTCAGGTTAGGTTAAGTTAGGTTGGGTTAGCACTCGGCTGAAGCGTTCGACCCGCGGGCGTTCGACCAAGGGCTGGTTCGACGCACTGCCTAGATACGGACGGCTTGGTGGCGGATATCACATTCGCTGCAAGGGTCCGGACTCCGGCGCGCTACGTCCGAGTGGTGTACAATTTTTTCGCGGTACGGTGGACGACGCTAGGCCATTCTATCGCCGGCTGTTTCTCCTGAGGGCTGATTGTTCTGATTCAATTGATTCGTTCTGTCTGGTGGCTTTCGGCTGCCTATATGATTTTCCAGAAGTGTTGAAGGCTACGTTCCGGAGGGCAGGAGTCATGATAGTCCATTACATCCAGGGCAGTGGTGGTCTTCAGCAGGCTTCCCCACGTAGTGGACATAAGATCCATCGAGTGCGACGGACAGTAGTATGATTTCGTATTTTTTTAGAATCTGAAGGAGCAATAGAATGTCTCTATATAATATAGCATATATCACTGGCGAAATATGAAACACAACCAGTAATATTACATCTCTAAGTACCTAAGTGTGCTTGAATAACAAACGATTGCCATTGCATTAGGTGTAACATGTTGATTGCAGCATGGTGATTTGAATTAATAATATAGCGGTTTCAGCGTTTATTATGCCGGAAGCCTGTCGCCGATTCTTAACGTTGCAGAGCACCCATGGTTTTATTATATATAGCACCCACAGCATGTTGCGGGATTGAACTCGCAACTCACTGCTTCAAATTTTCTTTGCTCAACCGCCAGGCCTCCTTTCCGCATGGTTGAACTAATACAAGGTTGGCCCACGCGCAGAGTCGGCTTATATGTTGCTAGCTAGCTGCGTACTGAGCGCAGAGATTTGCAAAGCGCATATGGAGAGCAATATGGAGAGTTGAGTACTGTCAGCTTCAGGCATATAAGGAGGTTCGCGCGTAATACAGCAGCTCGAGACGCTGGATGTGTAGCCAGAAGTCTGTGATATTGGAGGTGTAAATATGCCATGAACATATACTACGTTAAAGAGTTTGACAGCGTTTCACATAGGCGCTTGGTGGCAAAGATTGATGGCCATGTAATCAAGGGGATAGTGCTGAGATAGGTTCAGCTTCAGGGTTTCCTGGCAGGCTGGCAAACCCAAATAAACGTGTGTTGGTTAAGGGGCTAGAGTCAAATTCATCTGATGTGGTGAGCGTTCTGCCCCAGGATAGCGTTCTTGATCCTGTATGCTTCGTTCTGAATCAACGCCCCAACGCACTAACCATGTATGTGGAGCTATTTGCGTACGATATTGACGGGCTCAAGATCGAGGCCCTTTAAGGTGACCTGCAGGGCAGGCTATACGAGTGGTTGACGAATTTCTTACTCCGCAAACTCGCTCAGCAGTTCAAGGCATTTAGTACTGCCAGTTCTGTAGTAGAGGCACTCGGTAAGGCAGCCGCGACACTAGACCCTAGGCTTCGACCTGAAGGACGTCGCAAGAAGAGCGACAAAACTGCTTTCTCTGATGACTGCAGAATACCTTCGATATCAGACTTGGCCGATTCGGAGTGTACCGCCCAGCAGGCCTCTAAGTGCTATCACTAGCCAACTTTAACTTATTAAGTCATCCTAGTTCAATCATGAGTCATGACGTCATCTACCTTGGATGCAAGTTCGTGCAACTAAAAGTTAACATGATAGGTGACCTCCTGGACATAAACGCGCTGGCTGGACAATAGTCGACATCACCTTTAGGTGGTCAGGAATCTATATACCAAGTTTCATTGAAATCGGTCTAGTACAGTGGTTCCCAAAGTGGGCGATATCGCCCCCCTAGGGGCGGTGGAAAGATTTTTGGGGGCGATAAGGAAGAAGAGTGGTGGTGGCCCAGTGATTACAGTTCAGAGTACACAGATTGGCGCAGAGAGGCGCGGGTTCGATCCCAGCTCTGCGCGCCAGTTTCTGGTCAGAATCGGCAAGGAGTCCGGGTGGTTAAGCAATAAGCACAGCAGAATTGTAGCAGTGAGTTGCGAGATCGAGACCGCAAAATGCTGTGAATGTTCTGCTATGTTAAGAATCGGCGACAGGCCTATACGGCCTTATAAACGCTGAAACCGCTATAAGAGGACGGTAGGGTGGCGATAGGGGGGGCGGTAGTCCGAAGTCAATGTCAGAAGTTTCAACGTTTATTAGACGATTTGTACACAACGCGTGCAGGACATGACTCCCAGCGATGGTTTTTTTCTGTTTTTTTTTTTAACCTAGCTCTCCTGGGTTTACGACTCGGACAAATTAACGGCCGGACTCGAGGCCGGTCTCACGGCCAATTTTCAAATTCAATTATCGAGGAACAAATGAACTTAACTCGATGAAACTTAGTATACGTATTCATTAGGACCTAACGGTAATGTTTTGCTCGTGAAAATTGTTTGGATTTAATTTTGCCATCGTTTGTTTTTGCCACAGTTTTATGGCAATACGGGCCGAAATTCACAGTGATCCAGTAATTTCTTCCAAACTACTGAACAGATTCGAACGAAATTTTGAATTTACAGTCCTAACTAAAAATTTTTTCGATTATGCCTTCGTTCGCGAGTTTTTTTTATTTCACCTTCATTCGTGATTTAAATAACAATTCGTGCTTAAATTCGCAGTAATCAAGAAATTTTTTCCAAACTACTGAAAAGATTTGAACGAAACTTAATATTTAAATACCTAACCTCAGCAACGGTGATGCTTACATTTTTAGCGCATTTTCTCATTTATGGAAAAAATGCACTATTGTGCTCGCCATGTCCGTCTGTCTGTCCGTCCGTCTGTCCGTCCGTTTGTGACCTCAAGTTTTCGTTGACGAGGAAATGCGCTCTCTGTCACTCACTTCAGTGAGTACTGAGTTATATTTTTTCTTTTTGCCTTCGTTTGCGAGTTATACGGCTATACGTATACTGATTCTGATTTATAGAAGCCATCGATCGACCGGTTGAAAAGCCGGTCGTTCCTACTTTATCTGTATAACTCGCAAACGAAAGCAAAACGAAAAATTGTCACGAGCTAAACATCACCGTTGAGAGGTTATGTATCTTTATACAAAGTTTCGTTGAAATCTGTTCTGTAGTTTAAAAGAAATTTCTTGATCGCCGCGAAAATTACCCGGTGTTATGGGCCGTATATAAGGAAGTGTGAAATCAAGAATGACGGGGAAATGAAAAAACTCGCAAACGGAGGTAAAATCGAAAAAAATGTATGAGCTATAAAATCACCGCTTGGTAGTTAGGAATGTATATTCTAAATTTCGTTCAGGTCTGTTCAATAGTTTGGAAGAAATTGTTTGATCAATGCGAATTTCGCCTGTTTCGCAATACACGCGCAACTCACGAATGAAGGTGAAATTAAAAAAAATTGCGAGCTAAACATCACCGTTAGGTTCTGATGGATACGTGTTCTTAGTTTCATTGAGCTGCGTTCATTTGTTTGGGAGATATTTTCTTGATAATTGAATTTGGAGATTGGTCGTGAGACCGGCCACGAGTCCGGCCGCAAATTCGCCCGCGACGTCCTTGGTTTCTAGTGCTGAAACAGTTGAACCAGCTAAAAAATATATTTGTTCACTAAATGGGGTTCTATATGTAAAATACACATATGTGTTTAGCCTTTATCTTTTAAAATTGCAGCGTCCTAAATTTCAAGAAAGTGGCGTATGTCTGTGGGGGTGCTAGAAATTCACTAGGGAGCGAAGGGGGTGCCAGCCTGAAAATTTTTGGGAACCACTGGTCTAGGTAGTAGTTTGGAAGATATTCAATGTACGATGAATTTCTTGTGCTACGGTCGTGAGACAGGCCGCGTTTTTGTCCAGGAGGTATATAGGTGAAGATCCAGAGTGTCTATTCCACCAAAATCATCAGTATCAGGATATAAAGACCATTAAATACCTATAAATCAATGAATATTGCGCAGAAAATTAAGAAAATTGAATATTGAAGAATACATGAAATATATATGTTAAGTAATGGAAAATTCCTGATATCAAATGTTTATGTGCTGACAATGTGTGAAAATTTTACGGAAATTAACGCTCAATTGATATAAATAGTCATATCGTTAACGAGAAATAACGTTTGTAAATAGAAATGAGAATTGATCCAATAAAAAATTATAACTATGAAAGTAAAGTAGGCTTTTTCATTTAAATTTCACCACATGAACTATATCACTCATAGTGCGTTTGTGTCGGGTACTCCAACTTCTTACGCATTACGCCGCATTTCATTCTCTGTCAGACTGCAAACTGATCAGGGTCTATAATCTTGCAGGCTGGTGTGTTTGGCATACCTAAGCAAATAAAACTGTTTAAAAAATGACGCTTTCTGGTTTTATCTTCGACTTCAAAATTTGTTTTGTACCTGACTAGCTACCTGACCGTCCGATGGAACTTGGAAAGTTGGAAGAGTCATTCAGTCGTAATCTAATTTCTATCATCTGATATAAATTTTCTATAATTAGGATATTTAGGATTTTTTTAGGCATACCTAATAAGAAGCAAAATATAATTCGAGTCAAATATGTAACTCACGTTTATAAAAAAGCTTGTTATTTATACTCAAATTTTACATAGGCCCTACATGACTTAGGTAAGTTAAGCAAACAATTTTTCTATAAATCTCTTTTCTAAATTCTAATCATTTTGTTAGCTATTTATTATTTTTTGTTACCTTCTGGCTTCTTCTCTTGTCTCATGAGAATGCAACTTAGGTAAGTCATTTTATTCATAACTCATTTATACATATTATATTAGTAATCTAAATCTATGAGTTCAGGAGTCACAACTCACAAATGTGTTAGCCTATTTTGAAAATTGATCTTAGCTATCATCTCTGGAGACTGGTTCTCTGCCTAGGTAGTAGACTAGTAGCTACTAGCCTACTACTGCTGGCTTGACAACCAGGATTGGAATGTTCCTACTTGATGCCAGTGACGCCTGTGACGGTAAAGTGTAAACCCTATGCGTACCAGCGTACGCTCTTGAAATTTCATTAGGATTTAGGACTAGGGCTAGTTGGAATAAACAATCAAATACAAATGAAAATTGGACATCAAGTTTGTTCCTGAAAAGTTTAAACAGACATTGTTCACTCTTTACTGCTTATGCTTAAAAATCAATTTTAAAAGAACTGAACTTGAACTCGAACTTGTCAGATGGAGATGGTTGAGGCCCAATGGCCCATAGTGGCAAAGCTGAGAGTTTTTTGGATTCATCCTCAAGAGGCTCAAGTTCATTTTTGAGTCCTATAAGTAGACCTGTAAAGTATCTTGGATACCAGAATTATCATACATAAGAAATCTGTTGAAATCATGAGTAAATGAGGAAATCAAAAATGAACTGATTCTAAAAAATCACTGGTTTGCCACTATGTTGAGGCCTCTATCTGCATAGTGTTATGATAGTGACAAACCAGAGATTTTTTAGAATTGGTTCATTTTCAATTTCCTCATTTACCCAAGATTTAAACCAATTTCTTATGTATGATAATGCTGGATTGCTGGTATCCTGGATACTTTACTGGTCTACTCATAAGACTCAAAAATGAATTTGATGGAGAGTCTAAAAAACTCTCTGCTTTGCCACTATGTCTATCTGTCTATCAAGGCCTGTTCATCTCTCCAAAGTTGAAGCCAACCCAATTCAATGCAGGCAGCAGAACCCTAATTCTGGCATTCTGGCTTATATAGTGATGGTGGGTCCAGGTCCCTCTGGGCCTCCAGTGATGGTCAAGTAAGTTTTTAAGAGTTCACAGATGCAGCTGTGAGCTGAGACCACACTATCAGGCAGGTCATTCCACGAGTCAACAATCCTGCGGAAATGAAGTTTCCTCTCACGTTAAGTTGGTATTTGCTCTTACACAGCTTCATGGAGTGACCTTATGCACTACAACGTTATGACCTTATGCGAAAATATGCGTTGTAGTGGCCTTAATGAACGTTGGGTGCTGAACTCTGTAGTACCCGACACCTGTGCAGGTATTTGTAATCCTTGATCATGTTTGATATTGTTGAGGATTACAAATACATGCAAATACCTTTAACCCCTTAGCGGGCAAGCATTGAAATATCCAGAAATTAAAATTTCAGAAACCATTTCAAGAAAGTAAGAAGTATTATACAATATATTTATTTCTATGAATTTTTGCAAATTTTGCCTATTGAAGGTTTAAATTGCACTTGAAGAATTCAATAAATGCGATCAGTACACAAAATTTTTCTTTATAATTTAAATTCAGTTTATGCAAATGAAAAATTAGAAACATAAAAATTGAATTTAATTAAATTTAATCAAGTTGCCAGAATAAATAAATATATATATTGATACTTCCACCTTTTGAAGAAAATGCGGAAAGAGCGTCAGTTCCATTGTCCAAGTCAAAACCTTCATTTAAATGCTCATATTTAAATTTGTAGACTTTGCAGTTGGTGATGCTATAGATAGAATGATAGTCAGATCATTAGTGATTGACTGAGGCATTATAAGGATGCCTCAAAAACAAACAGGAAGCCGTGGTGAGGCTTTTTGTTATGCAATTTCAAGTGATCATATATGGTCACCTACCCATGAAAGGGTTAATGTTTTCACATTTTAGATGAAATTCCACCCTGGCCAAAAAATTGGTTATTCATTTTCTTGACAGCTCAGAAAATTCACTAAAATCAAACAGACAGACTAATGATTGATTTTTCAATACCTGTGTAAATAACAATAGTTTATCATGCATTCTAAAATTGGCAAACAAATCAATCTTGTGAAACAACCCTTATCCACCAGTATTTGTCTGTTCTACAGCACTTTGAATCTTTGATGATTGATTCAGTTCACTTAATTTTAATTCATTCATATCAACTGGTCACTCTCAATCATAGTGGCAGACCAGAGATTTTTTAAATTGGTTCAGTTACAATTTCCTTAACTACTCAAGATTTTAATCAATTTATTATATATGATAATGCTGGTATCTAACCTATGATACTTACTTGTTGGTCTAGTACTAATAGGACTCATGAATTCAAGGAAAGACAAGAAAAAATGATCTTCATTGTCACTATGCTCTCAGTCATTCTGATAATTAGGAATTTATTGATAAAAGCTACTGGTCAGTGTAGCTTCATGAACACAACTGAATGATTGGGCTGATTTGCACTTGATCAATTGGAATATCTCAGGCAGATATATTAACACATTCCTTGTGTATTGGGCCATATGTGTACCAACTATGATATCCCACTTCTCTGTATTGGGACACCAGTGTATGTACCAAACTCAATATTTTATGCAGTTTCCATAAATCATGTGTAACTTGAAATTTTGTTAAGAAACTTTCTCTTTTTGGAATATTCATTTTGACTGCCAGCTCTTACAACCTGAAAAAACACCATTAGTCAACAGAAAGTAAATTATAGTTTATAAACTCTGTTTGTTGATCTGAAAGTGAATTTGAAATAATTTATTATTTAGTTGCATCCAATCAAGTAAAATTTCTAGATGTGCAGATTGCTGGCTCACAGTGAATGTCCCAGTTTAGGTTGTTTGTTTAGCTGAGATGAGTATACTAAGTTGTACTATGAGTGAAACATTCATTTGTTTGGGAGTAAAATAAGATTACAGTTGTTATTATGAGTGAATTATTATTTTTAGAGCTTGAGTGGTGTTAAACTAGGTTTGTGCAAGAATAAAGGTGATGTTATCAGACTAAATATTACAGTATTAGTGTTTGAAACAGTTCTTTGAGGAAATGTAGTGTGATGTGCATGATGTGTGTTGTTTTCTGGGCAAGATTTGGAGGTTCTTGATGGCAAATGTTTGGTTCATAATTACATGTGAAATGTTATGTTGGAAGGTTATTAAGCATGAATTGAGTCATTTTTTTAGTTAAAGCAATTGTATTGGGTTAGTTTGTAATTGTAGTTAAAGCAATTGGAGAAACCTAACAGCTGAAATGAAAAAATTGTGCAAAAGGGTGAGAGATTCTGAAAACAATTAAAAAAAGCAAGTCCCTTCTCCAGTTGTAATTTTTTTGTTGTTGTTTGCAGAGAGTGGATGTAGATGTGAAGAACTATGGCAGATTGGTAAGATCTAGAGGTATCTCCAATCCTAGAATTCCACCATAAATAGAGTAAATATGAAGGGTATAAATATGCCTGGTGGTTGCTTTTTCCTTTTGAACCATTGTGACATGTGTTGAATGACTATTGAGCAAGTTTTAAGACCTAGTAAGAATTTACAACAAAATCTGTCCTAATTGTAAGCCTGTTACAATTAGAATCTAATAAACTATGTAAATACATCTACTTTCCTAATTTTTCTTTTTAAATTGTCAAAATATATTTATCTTTTTGTTTCTTTTAATATAGGTATTAAATATACAAGCAGTGACTCCATTTTTCACTCCATATTGGAATCTAATAATTAAAAGATTTGACACTGCAAGATTTCATTAACCTAGGAAAATTTCAATCCTGATATAAAATGTCTTAGATAATTAAAGAACCTAAAGTTACCTATTTTCTTTACTGCTGGCAAATGGTATCTATCTACTTTAGAATTTATTATAGGAGGCTATAATTTTTATTGTATTTAGTTGATTATGACAGATTAAATTGTTGATTTGATAAAAATATTTCCAGAGAAATTATAGTACAAGAAAGTCATTAAAGAGATAAGAAATTCTGCCAAGCAATTTATTCATCTGATTCAAATTCATACAATGAATCCTGAAATGACTTGCATCGAAAAATCCTTCTCTAACATGACAATGGAGAGCAAGACTGAAGTTCAAAAAATGTAAGTGCCTTTTAAATTGCTTTCTAATAAGCTTATGGCCAATTATAATTAATGTCTATGTGCACATTTTCTGAAAATGAATTATTTTTTGTGTGAAGAAATATTTATTTCTGGATTTGCTAACTCTGGAAAGCATTTACTTTACCATCAGTCACCAAAATTTTGTAAGGATACCTAGTAAAAGCTAGATGAAATAACCAATACTGATCCCTTTTCATAATTTTATCCTGAAATTAATACCAACATCACAATTCTTTACTATTCTTTAAACATTGTATCATTTTATATTTTTTGACAGAGAATGGAAAGAAAATGGTGATTTTCTGACAAATGCCATCAACAAGTCCGTGGTAGAACTAAAGGTTGGCAGCCCTGACCACAGCGCTCTTGGTTCATCTGCTGTTGTCACCAAAAGCATCACTGACTACCCGTTCATGATGCCCAGCCATAGCTGCTCTGGAGTAGCCATCCACTGCTCTCGGCAGTACATTGCTTATGCCATCAACAGTGAGTTTTTTTGGTTTTACTTTTGAATTTGCACCATAACTGTTTTGTATTATTGTTAATGATGATGAATTGACCATGTTTTCTGTAAAATAAGTACAGTATATATAATAGAGAAATCATTCTATTTAGTTCTTTCACCTCAAGAATTTAGATATGGTATTTTACATTCAAAATATTATTTTGTAAAGAAATTGAGTTTCATGTTAGGTCTAATATGTTCTATCTATTTCATAGAAGCCAACTCCAGTGAAGAAATAGGAGGTGTTGGCATGGTGCGGGTTATGCATTCTGCCAATGGTAAGCGTGGACTCATTCGAGAGATAAAAGGTCTTGTGATGGACATGTCATTTGCTTGGATGCAAGGCTTGATGCTGTTAGCCTTCACTGACACCAGTGGGTCTTTCAGTGTGTATCAGATCACATCTTCTGATCAGGATCAACAGTTGAGGTTTGTGAAAGTTCTTTTGTAGAATCTCTATCCAAATAACTCTGGGTGTGCTCAGCTCAGTTATCTATAAGCCTTGAATTCCTCTACATGCACGAAGAAATTATTTTATATAATTTTCCTGTTTATTTTTCCAAGTTTCTTATTGTAGTCTATTCAGTTTATTGAATTTTTAATTGCTTCAATCTCCTGTCCAGCTTGAGGAAGGTCTTAGAAGTGTCGGATCCCCCAGCAAAGAGCCAGTTCATTTACAACTTGTCTAGTGGAAATGAAGAAGCTCTGAACCAAGTGTCCTGGTGTCGCTACATCCCTGAGAATCCTGCTGAGCGACTGTCTACCAATAACATCCCATCTCATTTACTTGCAGTGGCTACAGGAAGAGTGGTAAGGAATGAATTTATAATCTTCTTTATCCGGTCTTCAGCAATTTTATTAATTGTATCTAACTCTTGTTTCAAGGAAGAGTAGGTAGGTATTAATGCAGTTGGCCTTTATTTGGGCTATTTGACTTGAGTGAGGCTGAAGAAGCGCATCATACAATGATTTATGCATTCTTTAACTGATTAAAATTGAACATTTATTATTACATTTGATATTTTTCCAGGGTTACATTATTAGTGTGTTTTAAATCAGTTCTGTTACCACTTACCAGGTTGAACTATGGCTTCTGCACCACTTGTGTGGAGGCCCTGGAATAAGCGTCCGGCGTAGTATAGCATCAGAAATTGCTGCTACCAAGGCTCTCAAGTTGCGGATTGTGTGCAATGCTAACGTGACGGCCGTGTCTCTGAGCCCTGACAGTACCTGTGTGGCTGTCGCTACTTGCCAAGGCAATATATTATTCTTTCAAGTATGTAACTTGCTTTTTCTCATGTTTCATGATTATTAATTGTACCATAAAACATGGAGAGCTATGATTGAAATTTGAAATACTTGGCTTGTTTTTAGTCATTGATGAAAGAAAATTATAAAAGCCTTAGACGTGCCTTTGAATAATATTATGTTCATGTTATATCCTAAATGATTTTTTAGTGAATGATTTGTGCAGCAATAAAAAAAGAGCGTTCATGTATTTTGCAGTTTGAAAGTTTCAGATCGTGCATCAGGGTCCCCAGTGAAGCCTTATTTTTTACTTCCTGCTGATTGTTTTCCATTCCTACAATTTTTTCACTCGTACAGATCTTTCAATATTACTGAGAATGTTTCAACTTCTTATAATTGTTTGTTGCATATAAAAATTTTTCCCCAGGCTGATGTTTTATTAGACATTGATGGAGCTGAGGAGAGTTCTTCACTGACGGTGCCAGAGCAGAGCGAAGGCGACTGTGTGCATGACTGGCAGCCTCATGACGGAGCTGCCGTGTCCTGCCTCCTCTTCCTGGATGATCACACTCCTGCTGTTCATGAGTTCGTTAAACTCATACTTGAATTTATATCCTCAAGCTTGATACTCTAACTGTTGCTCAGGAATTTAAAAGCAAAGAAAACAGCCAAAATATTAACCATTTCTCAAGAATGAAAAACTTGCGCATCCTCCTCATTCAGCTGTGTGTGTCCATGCCGAGCAGTGCAATGTTCCGGTGTCCGATAGTGATTTTAGAGTTCTAGCTTACATGACCGGTGTTACTGACCTACAGATTTTAGAATCCCTGTATATTTTTAAACAGAAACCTCTGTTAAATGCAGCCTTCAGCTCCTATCACCTTGAAATTGTAAATAGATAGGCCTGTCTCCTTATGTGTATTTGCTTCTATTTGTCAATTTATGTTTTTATCTTCGATGTGAATTTAGTTTTCTAATTGATTCTGATTTTCTTATAGGTTTTGAACTTTTGAACTGACGATGGAGTTGGACTTTTCATTCTTAAGAAATGTTTAATATTCTGGCTGTTTTCTTTGCTTTTGAATTCCTAATAAACTTGCGATTTAAGCAATCTAGTAATTTTAATACTTATATCTACTGATGCTGTATGATCTTTAGCTAGTATGGCACTTGTATTACATAAAATTTGTTCATTGACAATCGAATCTTTTTGTCATAGACTGATATGCTTCACATTAATCCACATATGTAACACAGATTTCACATAGCCTGCTACATCTGCCCTCTGAAGTTGACTTTGTGAAGTTTGCTACCCAAACATCTGAACCCTAAACTTAGTCTCTACTCCATTAAAAGCAGCACCAAGGAGAAGAAATTTGATTGGCACAGTGGTATTTTCTGCACATAAATTTTGAGACCCTAATAAGCAGATCACTCTCGTCTAGAATATTTGAAAAATATTAAAGAAATGTAGTATAATCATTTATTTCTTCTTTCATTTAGTTTTGTCCTAACAATGCTAACATTGTTTATTGAAATCGGTTTTATTTATCATCTAATTTGCTCTTACATCTGTCGCAGTGATCCTGCTGGCTCCTTCTGGGCGTTTGCCCTCACCGGCGCCCACAACAACACGGAACTTAAGATTTGGAGCTGCAAAACGTGGGATTGTTTACAGGTTCAGAGACATGCTCTTTCAAATTATGATTTGCTTCTAATTATTTTGCTTATTTGTGCTAATTCGCATTTATTCATGGATTATGGTACCAAGCTTTCATTTAGTAATACACAAAATATACAATCTTTCATTGTCATATATACCTGTGATATACATCTAGTGAAATGAAATGTCATTGGTTTCCCCACATGTTTTCATTGCTCAACAGTTCAGTTGGTATTGTGTCGCCATAATGTCTCTCTTCCATTCAATGTTTATCAATTTGCTTCTCATCTGTACAGTATTGAGTCGACAACTAATTCAATGCTTGTTTTATTCTGGGCCCCCATCAATTTGAGTCTTGCCTCCAATTCGAGTGTCGGGGAAACTCAAAGTTTGTAGATCTCTTCATTGACGAAGTTACAGGTTAACAAATGCACAGAAAGGCACAATTTTAACTGACAATGTGGATTGAGCCTGCCATGGACAGGTTACCACTCTTTTGGATCACGTTTTTCCATGAAAGAAATTGTGTTCATAAAGTGTTGCAAAATTTTAGAAATGAATTTATACATTAAACGAGTAGTGCAGGAAGAATCAAGTATTTGGTTTGCATGATTTCAAACTATATTCATTTCGGGAACAGAATGCTCTTTTGATGCAAGATGAATTTCAGGTGTTACGGCTGCTGGTTCCTTCACCGGCGTGTGATAAGATGCTTCACTCTGCTTCGGCACCCCCCTTCCCCCGCCCTCCTTCAGTAACTAGTCGCAGTGCCTCGCTATCTCCCTCCCTCACCACGCCCTCCGCTGCCTTCAGGAGCCCTCACCTGCTGCTCGCTGCTGACGACTCCACCAACTGCATCATGCTTGCTGACCAGAACAGAAAGGCATGCCATCTAACATTATTTATCTCATTTATATAGCAATTATAAAGCATATTTTTTGAATGACAGAGTTAATAAATTTAGCTCGTCTGTGCCACTAGTGATTTTAGTGATGCAACCGCAACTGGGCTCTAATTATTAAAATGTTTATCAAATTAGTTTGCTGTAATTTGGACCCAAAATGTAAAAATCATTACATTTATAGGTTTGAGTTTCCAGCAAAAGCAATGGCTGTCAAGCATTTCCAACTCAACTCTTACTTTGCCGAATCGTTTTTGCCTCTCAGTAGGTATATTGTGTGAGTAGTATATGTGTCAATAATGGAAAACATAAAACTCTCAATAGTGAGCAAAAGTGTGCATAATCTTGATCAGTTAATTTTTTATTTGTTTCAGGTGTTGTATGCCCTGCTGCTGGACCACACCAAAGCCTTGACCAGCGACGCTCCCTGCAACCTGAACGGTGATGTGGCGGGGCGCTTGCTTGGAGCGCAATTCTTACTCTTTTGTGCATCAAATCTTATTGTGTTGTTTCTGATCTAGGAACTTGTATTCATTTCGTACCTTTATTCCCCATTCTACTGCTCCTCCAGTGCATCAAATGAACCCTTTACAGTCCATTACATTTGTGTATAGTGGTAAATTTTGGCCTCTCCATCGAACATGAGATAGTAGTCATAGTGAAATATAATCTATAACTGGGCATTGGAATGAAATATTGAAGAATTGTGTTCAATTTCAGGTGAAACCTCACGCGATTCCAGAAGTGGTTGCAATGAAAGAGAAACTGGAAATTCTACATCAGGCGACCAGGTCATAAAACGCATTGTTTCCATATCTGAAATCCCTGTGCAATTCGTGCCATTTTGCATGACAGTGATTTCGGCCAAGATGAAGACCTACCAGCGCTGGAAGCATCACTCGCAGCTGGATGCAGCTAACAATGGTGAGACATTGCACTCTTTGTTGCCATCAATCACAGCTGGATGCAGCTAACAATGGTGAGACATTGCACTCTTTGTTGCCATCAATCACAGCTGGATGCAGCTAACAATGGTGAGACATGCACTCTTTGTTGCCATCACTCACAGCAGGATGGAGGTAACAATGGTGAGACATGCACTCTTTGTTGCCATCGCTCGCAGCAGGATGGAGGTAACAAAGATAGGCCCATGTAATGATTTTCTATTGTTTATCGACGCCGTCAGATGGTGATGTGGGCACTAACGGTGACGAAGCCATGGTGCGTGGGCTGGTGGTGCACTCCAACGTTCTTACCAACAAAAGTCTAATGCAGTGCTCCATACGCCTTCAACCCGCCCTTCCTCCCTCTCATCACTTCGCTGATGCGGCCGTCTTCAAGAAATACGCTCCTATCTTCTCGGAGTCTGAACTGTGCTGTCCGCCTCTCCCGTCCAGTCGTGACGTTTCCATGGATTGCTCTGACACGTCCTCGTTCAATGCTTCGTCTGTCTGTTTAAAAGGTTGGTTTGTTGTCATTGCTTCTCACTCAGCCGTAGTGCGTACAGCTCTTTTTATTCTGTAAATTGCTGTGTCTACAAAATTACCTGGTGCTCTTGTACAAATGTGTCGTGTGTCTCATGATGATTGACAATCAGCAATTGTGAATCGTTTAGTTGTTTTATTATAACTATTACCAGATTTAAATGTTAAATTGAGCGTTATTTGAGTGGCAGAGCAGCCAGACCATATCATAGAAATATAATTTTTTCCCCAGACGGCCTGTCAGATTTGAACATATTGCTCCCTGGTGCTGCATCGAGTGATGCAGAAGCTTCTGCCAACGGTGTTAGTGACGCAGCCGTCAGCCACCCATCCGTGGTCAAACATGAGGTAACTTCACCCCTGATGGATATCCATTTCTGAAAAAGCGATAAGTAGATTTAGCCTTTTTTCAATCAACCATAGGATTATGTCTTGGCGCAGAAGTTGATATTTGTGAGTAAAACTGTTATTCTGTTCATTCACCATACGAGTATTCAGTCTTTATATAAAAATTAACCATTGAATTATGGTGAGCTGATGAAGTTTTATGCTTGTGATTCCACTTCTGTCAAAGCAGAATCTGCAATGAACTTTTGAAATATCGGTAAAAATGCCTCATCTGAGGGTATTAGTGGAGTTGCATTCTTTACGTTTTCATAGTATCCTTAGTTCACCTTATAATCGCAAAAATAAATATGATGTCTGAGCCATAATATTATGATAACAAGTCCACGTATCCCTCATAGATCCCTCTAGGTGCGCTGCTGCCACCTCACCACTTCATGACACCTTCTGCAGCGCCTGCTGCGAGTGCTGCCGACCCTCAAACTCTGCTCGCCTCCGCCACAGCCAAACTGCCTGCTCCTCTCGCTGTGGGTGCACCTCTTTGTGCAGCTGTTGTCGCTTTATGCTGTTCCTTAGCTCTTGATAAACGAAGTAATCATTCTCAGCACAGGATCGATCACAGTGAAAACATTACTATTGGCTTCTTTGGTGATCTATGCTTACTGGAAAGCTTCTATGAAAATAGTTTTTCTACTACTATTACGCTCAATTTCCACTAGCACAGCCAGTAATCGCTTGCAATGTACATTTTATCATTTTATGACGTGAAACAGGAGAGTATCATAAAATTTCAATTTATACACATCTCAACGAATGATACTAGCGTGTGAACATCGTGTGATAACTCGATCATGAAGTATTTCCAGTGGGAGACAGGAAAAACTAAATTAGATGTTAATTTACTCTGCTGATGCTATGCAAGTTACTAGTTTCGTAGTTGCTGTTGCCAAGAGTGTTGAGTATTTAGGGCAATGCTGACGTGTGACTACGAAGATGCTATAAATTTTCAGGTGTCACCGCCGCTCGACGAATCCATGGACAACAAACCGAACGCAGCGCTGGCGGCTCTGCTCATGTGCCCAGATACGCGACAAGTGAGCGCCCTCATCACGGGCGCCTTACCTTCAGCCGTCACGCCCCCCAGACACATCGTGCGTTTAAACTTTGAAGTTGATATTGCCTTTTTTTATTTACTTAGAGGTGAATACGTAACCCTAATGTACATCTCTCTCCCATTATCAATAATTACGCGAGATACTTCGCTTTCAATACCAATTTATTAGAATTTAACTCTGATCATTTTCTGTGGCAGATTTAATATACTATGCATATAGATTTTTGTCGCCTTAGACCCGAGTTGTAATTTTGTTAACAATTCCATGTTTCGCACGGTCATTATTTCTTGACCCAACGGCCGGGGCCGTCACCTATGTCCGTAGATCTAGCTAAAGACCATACTTGCGTGACGGTTACAACGGAATAACATCCCTTTGGCGTGAATTTTAGTGTCCTTGTTTAGGCAGTCGCTCCGCGCACTTCAGCCTTCTTAAAAGACGCCGCGCTCTTAACGGCAGTTTCAAGTTCCCCTTGGTTAGCCTCTGCGATGCCCACAGCCGATATATAACTTGTATTTTCTAGTTCACACGTTATGTTACACCAATTCTTGTGGTTAAATCATATGCTGCATTTATTTGCTCAATGACTTTTTGACCACTCAACTTCTTTGCATAATACACATTCATTATTTTAATATTAAGTCAAGTCGAGATTAACTATACGCTTTATTCAGAGAGATCGATATTCGGGCAGCCAGTCATTTTCACATTAGTGGGAGAGCATATATATAATATTTGAGAATTTTTGATGAATGCTAGAATTGTATTTATGAATCAAAAAACAAATTAATTCCGTGAACCGTCAAGGCTTGAATAGCTTGGTGAGTTCGAAATGATCTAAATTATGAAATGAATATTTGTAGCTAGGAGAGCAAGCGTTAAGAGCCTAATGTTGTTGATAGAAAAACTGGCCAGTGGGAATATATGACGGTTTAGATGACTATCATTTAACAAGATAATTTATAGAGAAGGAGCGAGCATAGTGGATGATTTATGTGTTTAAAGTGTTAATATCTGATTGGTCTGCGCTGGTGTTGCCGAATGGTTGTGACGTCACGCTTGTTTGGTCGTGAGATGGCTTTGTACGTGCTGCGCTCTGATTGGTTCGGGGAACGCCGGTAGCCTACGTGGCGTGGGCTGGCTGTAACGTGATGCAAGTTGGCGGCACTGCAGTTGGGGAAAGCAGTCTAGCGTTAACCATGATATGGTGAGCATCTTGCGAGCGTGTGCTATTAACATAAAGGTTCTATAAAATGCATCGCACAAAACAGAGGGACTTTCCAATGTTGGGCTGAAAAATTGTGTGCCAAAATCCAGAGTCAACTTTTTTCTGATAATTCAAAATTAGTGTTGATGTTTGTAGACATGATTCTTGAAGTGGACATGTTTCACCGCCAGCTACCGGACGAGTCGTAATATGTCAATGCTCAGCGTCAAACTACTTTATTTCCATCACTTTAGTATTTCTCTACCAAACTCAGCTTGAAATTTAGTTGGAATTTTTTTCCCCTTCAGATTGATCCGCCCAGTGAACTATCGCCCTCGTCTATAATGGCTTCGCTCCTCGGAATTGAACAATCACCTCGAGACGCCAGCACTCCTAAGGCAATGACTGCCAGCAGTTTATTTATTTGAAACATTTTTAGGAATATACTCGTCTTGATTTTAAGAAAATTGATAGTTCCAAAAAAATAGTTGTGGAGTTAAATTATGCCAATTAAAAAATTCATTACTGAAAGCATCAAACTAATTTTGAAAGTTGAATAATTTGATCAGGAGTTAATTTGCATTTGGTTTTTTAGATCACATTTCTTGTATTTGTTTCCGAAGGAAATATTTTTTATTTCCCCAGCGTTCCTTCAGTCAAAGAGGAAGGAACGCTGGGGAACTTTTTTTCCTTTTTTCCTTGCAACTTTCATGTCTTGGCCGTAAAGTATCTAACTTTTTGAAAATGCACTCGTATTTTTGCAGGTTCCTCCTGGTATTATCAACCCGACGAAGTTGACCGCCTCTGACCCCGCCGTGGGTTCCATGGGCCCTGTTGCTAGTAATGGACTTCCTCTCGCCTCAGCTTTAGGTGCGTCAGGACTCCAGAGTCAAGCCGTTGCTAATGCCGGTGCCAATGCCCGGCTCACTGATGCAGTGGTCAGTAGTGCCTATCCAGCTACTCAGTTCATCGATCCTGCAGTGAGTGCTGCGAGTTTACTGGCTGGACTTTCCATTTCGAATCCTGCAGTTCGCCTTGCCATAAGCGAAGCTTCCTTCATTCCTGGCTCGTCAGTGCGCAGTTCATCGGTGCCGTTGAACTATGCTGCTGCTGGCTGCAGCTCAACGTCATCTCCTTCACTTGAGATACAACAAATACTCCAACAAAACGATGGTGACTATTTATTTATCTTAACAGTTCTATATTGCTAGATTTAGCGATGTAGGTATTTTAATACGCATTTACAAGTACCTACATATTCTAAGTACATGTAACGCTTGTAGCTATCTATGTAATTTGTTGATGATCAAAAGAATCAATTCAAATGTATATTAGTATCGATTAATTTATTGATTGGAATACTAAAGGCTCGGTAATAATTGAATACTTACTTTGATGACAATGGTGCCTATCTTTTGGATTCCATATTGTAGGCATTTGTATCATTTAGTAAATATTGCCTGTCCAATAATGTTGCCATTTGGCTATTTCATGAATGACATTATTCTGACAAATAATCGTTAACAGACTGGATCTTTTTGACTTTCTCGTTAACTCCAATATCCATATTTTATGTTTTTTTTTTTTTTTGCACTGAGATGAGAGCCGTGTACGCGACCGTTAAAATGCTAAATAACTTGAAAGGACCTATTTTTATATTAGTTTAAAGAATGCCTGATTGTTTTCTTCCTATATTGCACCTGATACGTTTCAGGGAAGAGCTCGTGCTCGAGCAGTGAGAGCAATAGCCGCGGCCCGACGCAGCTGGAGGTGGCAGAGGAAGACTCGCACCTGCCGAGCGCCTGTGAAGAAGATCAGCCCGAGGCTCTGCGTGAGGTTGCATCCACCAGCACTGGATGCGTTGTTCCATCTTCTGTTGCTGAAGTAATCTCTGCTACCTTCCTCGCTGCTACTGGTGGCTCTCCTGTCATTACATCTAATGCTGACTGCACAGAACAGCAAACAACTGCTCCAGCCTCTATTGCGCCTGTCTCCCTCTCCAGCTACGTGAACATTAATGCCTCTGCCGACAGTGCAAGTTGTGAATCAGCTGCCGTTCCTGCTGGCTTAACATCACCGAATAGATCTAGGGCTGGCGAACAAATAATCAAAATTTCACGAAGTTTACCTGCCATGTGCCCATCCGAAGAAGAACTACAGCGTCAGGCCGTTCGTAGCGTTCACCATAAGCTTCTGGAAGAAGAGTACAAAAAGGAACGACAGCTCGAATCCAATAAAAGCGCAGAACAACATCAATATCCTATCGTGCATGACAGGAATCTTTGTAAGGATGATACTTTGCCACCTTCTTCTAGTGATCCTTATAGCGCGGTTTTGCGAGCATTTGTTGGTGGAAACTACGACAGCAGCGACCAGCTTGCTAATGTTGGGTCTCCCGCAGCTCTCCGTGACATGTGAGATGTCTTGTTCTTAGTGGCAGACTAAACGCTGTTCTTGTGAAGCTGTGTAGGCTAAAACAGGGTGTGGAGAAGTGCACTTTTTCTAGTTGGTTGCAGAAACTTTTATATTCGGTCTAGTCATTGTGCTGGAATTCCCTTGCTTTGTATGTCGTCTTGACACTCATTTTCCATCATTTAGCGGTCTTGCGACTATGTTTCCTTCTAGTGCGCTTTCAGTTCACTCTATGTGGATATCTGAGCATAATTAGTATTACAAATTTAATTTGAAGCATTTTCCATGATTTCTATAAATTTATACTTTATATTCCGAATTGAGCCAATACAAGTAATTGCTTTATTGAGTTAATTATGTTGGCGCAGGCCGGTGGGTGTAGAGCGCGGCGTGCACCTCACGTGCGAGCAGATCGAGGCGCGCATCAAAGGGAGCCCCGAGCCCTGCATGAACGGCGCGCCGCCCCCAGCACCAGAGCCCCCCTCAGATCACTCCAGGACCACGCCTTCAGCTGAGCACACGTTACCTCAGGCCCTCAATTGCGACCTTCATATCGGCAAACGCGACGCGTCTGACAGGAATAAGTCTTCAGATACCAGGTAAAGTTGGCAAATTTCTTTTAGCCCCGAATTTTTTTAGTTGTTAGATAGACCTGTTGGTGGCAAGATCTTCTATATAGAGGATGTATTTTTCCCCGTTGCTCTTGTGATAAGAACAGTTGTAACGTGGTTACAAATAAGCTGTTCAATACAATCTGCTTCTGATGCCCCAAATACATTTTCACTAAATATTATAAAGCTTTATTTTAAAACGCTTGAGGATTATACTATTCGTATTCAAAGGTAAAGAAAGGCTTCGAATTTTACGAGCCAAAGTTTGGTAATAAACCATAAAAATTACTTTGCTTTAAACTAGATAAAGTTCTTCATTTAATTTAGTGATTAAATCTTGCTGATGTAAGAGGCTTGATCGTGTGTACTTGGTACCTACTAACTATACTGTTGGTTTTACGCTCGGTTGTTACCAGAGTGGTCATGAGGAGATATACATAGCGTCACTCAATGAACATGTACCTTCTTAATTAAATATACGTAGCTAAGAGTGATCACTAACTAAAGCTGGGCATGATCACTTACTAAAGCCGGGCATGAAACCTAACAAAATCTGAGTATTTTATGCACGTGAAGGAAGCGAGTGCTTCTCTCAACCCCTCATGTTTCTGCAGTTTCCACCGGGATAAAAATTACGCGTCCTTTACCGCGGTTTAATGCGCGTGGTAGCTCTACAATTGATTTGTACTGGGTACACTATCTGTATATTAATGTGCCGGTAATCAATCGAAATTTCTGAATTAATCATATTTAGTAATGCAAGGGGTCAGCAGGTAATTTCGAACGGACATTTCTATGGTTTTCTTTCTTTGTCAAATTTGACTTGTTATAATACTATGCTTTGTTTGACAGTGTGTCAATATTTGGAGTGATAGTTTGATTTTCAGGTTCTTACAGCTAATAACACTTTATTTTTCTTAAATCTTTCTTTTATCTTAAAATCACTATCTTTTATTCACAAATAGAACGATTTGTTGAATTTTCCATCAAAACAGTTCGTGTCACACAGTAATCATTAGACTAGAAATATATAATGTAGCCAATTCTAGATTAATAGAAGCCTGATGGCCTTTATAAATCATTAACGTTACAAATTCATTAAACTGTTTGAACCTAAAGTTCTGTTTCACTGATGTAGCAATAAAATGTACGACTGTATTGAGCATTAAAAGAGCATACGGTACCGTAAAATAGGGGATGTAACCTAGCGCAAGATGCGATACCTCAGCGTAAGATGATAGTAACTAACAGCACTAGGTTGCCACTACCCCAGCTTATGATAGTAACAGCACTAGGTTGCCACTAACCACTTCGTAACTAACACCAGCACGCTGAGTGTGGGGGTACAGGCTGTGCCGCTGCTCTCCCCTCCTCCCACGGTCGTCTGTAAACATCCCGCCAACAGGTGTGCTATGGCCCGCCTAGTGCTCACTAGACCTGTTCTGCAATTTCTTCCTGACTTTCCTTTCATTACCTTCTCAATTTTCATGTATTAAAATAACCTAGATAATTATTTTGTGTTTTTTACTCATTTTGTGCTTGCTGATTACAGAAATTATATTCATTATAACGTAGATTTATTATTCGTCTGTTTTGTGTGAGCAAAATAGATCGAAACTAAATGTTTATGAATAAAATTAGTGTTAAACAGCAATAGTGTAGGTTTAAGTATCTGTCCTAGACTTGTATTTAATTGGAATAAAGTGCATGAAGTGATCACCCTTCTGAGGAGGGCGGCTAACCTTGTTCTAGGCATCGAAAATTGCAACTACATACAAGAACTTAGTGGTCTTTGGATGATGTCAGTTCTCTAATCACTTGATTAGTATCATTGACTACATCGCGTTATAATTTGAAGTCTGTTCACATCTAAGAATCAAATAATAGAGACAAGATGGCTGGCTTCGTTAAGTCAGAAGGTGGAGAATAATAACGCTTCATTAAAATTTTCCCACTCGAACTGCTCCTGGAGTGTTGCAACGTGTTCTTGTGACAACTCTCTTGCGAAATATTTCTTCGTTTAAATTAACTAATATTTTTCTTTTCAAATCGTCTCATTCTTGGGTATAACGGCTGAAAAATTGTGAAAAGTCAACCCTTGTCATTATAAATGCTTTGAGCACGAAGTCATCTGTCCATCAAAAACATTAATTCTGATGCTGAAAGCAATGAATTCCGGAACCATGTTGCGCGCTTTATTCATGCCACTGCCTTAACCAAAACCAATTCTTATGATACGTCCACTGATGTTTTTGGTCTCATTTCCCTACATTAATGACTTTTCAGCATTTTCTTTCAGCACTTTTTATGTCTTTCAATTTCCTTTGTTGTTACTTTCGTTTATTTCGGGGTAATAAATTTGTAAAAGTAATATTGTTATTTTTGCATGCATATCCTCCTACTTCTATGTTTGTGTCGTTCTTCTATACTGGAGCCACGGGGGGTTTCCTCCAGCTCTGTATGTGTGTTTGAACTCCAGGCATGAAGTAAAACCTCAGTGTATTAAACATCAAGTTTATTGTAGGAAAAATCTTATTAATATTGAATATTAATAATGTTCAATTCTCAATAACGAACTACCGCAGCTTAACTCGAAGAGTTAATCGTATGTGCAGTTTATGATAATGTTGCTAGATGTAGTATGTCGACCGTTATAACTGTCACTAAATTCAATTCAAAATGTTGATCTGGCAACAAATTCTTCCTGGAGACTTGATATGTATGTGATTTTATTATCTTGTTAGGCTTACTAAAGCAAATTGTTGTAATGTGAATAAACCACCATTTCAGATTTATTCCTGCAAGAAAGTAAAAACTATGTAACATTTTCACACACTACGTAGTCAACCAAAGTGATTTGTTCAATCATTCATAACTAATCTCTAGCATATTCATGGCTTATGCTGATGATATTTCAACATAACTGAGCTGGTTATCCACTGTATAATAATTGGATCTGTGTTGGTCAACTTATGAAGACGCTACTCTCTTTAGTGTCTACTAATACCGTAACCCTCGTAGGAATGTGAATCACTATTTTTGTTGCCAAATACTATAACAAGATTTTTAGGTAAGTGAATTTACCAGCTTTTTCAATTTTTCAAGATTTTACCAATTTTAGGCAAGTGAATTTACCAATTTTACCTATTTTTGTTGCCTAGGGCTTTGACAAGATTTTTAGGTAAGTGCATTTACCAATGTTTTTATCATAATGCCCATCCATCATGTGTTGGCAGTGCGACGGAGCTGCGCGAGTTGCGGTCTCTGCTTCACTCGATGCAGCAACAGATCAACAAACTCAACAAAAAGTGCGTTGAACTTGAGCTCAATTTTTCTGCGAGTTGCTCTCGTGAATATGGCGTTAAAGTTAACAATCTAGTGGAAAAGAGGGCATTACAATTTTCTACACGCTGTCACCACAGCTTTTCTTGTGATAATATGATTAGGTATTAGGTAATTACGTTTATACAAAGTAATTGCACATTTGCTATTTTTCATTTTGCAAACCTTGGTTTAGATTATATGAAAGTATTGGTCTAGCGAGTTTATAGTTCTTTCCTCTTTTAATACCTTCACAATAGATTAGTGTTAGTGAACAAGCTTGTAACGCAATATCTTCGCAATAGATTAGTGTTAGTGAACAAGCTTGTAACGCGTTCATCTTGTAACGCAATATTTTCACAATATATAAGTGTTAGTGAACGAGCTTGTAACGCGTTTTCACTGCCTAAAAGTGTGAAAGTTGATGTTGACGATGGCAGGGTTGACGAGCTGAGCAGCAACAAGAGCCTCAGCCCCCAGGCGGTGAGCGGCGCCCTCAGGCCTGCCATCGAGACCGCCCTGCGCTCTGAGATCAAACAGACTGTGCCTGCGTGTGAGTCCTGAATAAGTGTCGGCTGTAAGAACAGGACGTTGCTGTAATCAAATTGCCTATGAATATTACTTGTAAATATTTACCTATCTTACTAAGGCTATTCAAGGTAAGTCGAAAGTTTGCATTGGTTGAAATGAATTATTGACCAGCTAGACACGCGATTAACGAACTAGATGCATCAGCCCTGTACAGGCGGCTTAACCAATGCTGAGAAAGCTAGCAATGTCTTCTGGGAGCGTAGCTAATTTTTCTTTTCAATACAGTAGTCTTGGCTTTTCTCACTATTTCTCTATTGATTTCTGATTTTCACTGCGCGAAACATTAGGAATTTTTTCGAGTTGTATTAAACTTTTCTGTCATTCCGAAGTAAATAATCTTACGCCGCTATTACCATAACAAATGACGTGCGCAGGCGTGTCGAAGGCCGTAGAGAACGCAGTCAACCAGAAGTTGTCCCAGGAGCTGCAGCGCTTGGTGGGTGCCACCGAAGTGCGTCTTTCCGACAACATCTCTAAGATGGTCCATTCCAGGGTGAGGCAAAAACTGCACCTGGTCAAGTGATTCGACTAAATAAGTAAAACTAGTTTAAATTCCCTTTGTGTATTTCTCTTTGGGACTCTGATTTGAACTATGTACACTTGCTTCATCATGAAAAGAATGTAATGCTGAAAAAAGATGTTCTTACTTCAATTTTGTTTTGCTTCTTGATCACCTGGCAATGTGATGCACTTTCTCACCCACAGAACTTTAGCCAAGCAATCGGTGAGAGCGTGGCTGGCGCTGTGTCATCCTGCGTCACGGCGTCGTGTAAAGATGCTTACGCGAAGCTCGTCTTGCCGGGCCTCAACTCAGTCACGGCCAGAACCCTGCAACAGTTCAATGACCTCTTCCACAAGGGCACCTCCGAGTATCTAGTGCAGGTCAAGAACGAAGTGTCAGGCGTGATGGCTTGCATGGAGAGCAGCAAGACCAGTTCAGTGCGAGAGATGGAGGCTGCCAAGAACAACATGACAACCATCATGAAGTTGTTGCAGGAACAAATGCAGCAACAGCAAGCAGCCCTTCAGCTCATCACAAAGCAAGTTCTCACAGAGGCGGTGGTGCGACGCATCGTTTCCGAGGAGGTGACCCGGGCCCTTTTAAATCTCCCTCCTTCAGTCGCGTCCTCGCCCAGCCCCTTCTATGGCCCCGACAAAGCTCAAAGTCCTAAACAGACGCAGCTGCAGCTCGAACAACTCATCGCTGCTAAACAATTCAACTCCGCTTTCAAACAGGTATGAAGAGAGCAGTCTTGGAAGTTAATTTTATGCTTCTCTTATTCTAACAATAAAACGACAATGAACTGTTACCTGGGAAATTATAAGTCTTTTACTTTATTTTTAAAATCCCTGAAATGATAATGAGTAACGACGAGTTTGGTAGCTACGGAATTGGGTCCTGACATTAGATTGCTCCAATGCATAATTTTTGCGAGAAAATACCTTACACGACTTGCTAAAGTTCGAGCTTAGCTAATGATCCCAGCGTCTATTCTGTCTGTCATTTAATATTACACCATTTGTATTCACTCAAGTCCTTTGTTGTATTCAGTTCCCTTCTTACCAACGTGATAACGCAGATTTCAAGCAATCCCAGCAAACGAACCGAGACGGGTTTTGTATTCGTCATGCAATGCCGTCATTTATTCCCTCTATTTGCGCTCTTCTGGCTAAGGACAGAACCTTCAAGGTGTTGATTATGTGTCGCAGGCGCTGTCAGCGAACGACCTGAGTCAGGTGTTGTTTGTGTGCGAGCGCGTCAACAGAGAAAGCTTGATGGCGGCGGGCAACAGCAAGCTCTCGCAGGAGGTGCTCATGTCACTAATCAACCAACTCTCGCACGACCTCGGCCAGAAAACCGATCTTAAAATGAAGTAAGTTGTAGGTAGTTCATCTATCGAAAAATGAACCTTGTTGACATTATTTCAGCACTCACACTCGTTCATTGTATTATCTCTAATATTGTTCCACTCTTAATCGCTGAATTTGTTTAACCTTCAATTTATTTCTACCTGTACCAATTTTATTTTACTTTGATGTCATCGTATATAAATCTCCGTTTTTCCTGATTCTTGACAGTTAAATGCGGGTTATTCTGAAACATGAGGTACAACTCATTTGAAGACTACTTAAATCTATGGTGTCATGAATATAGGAGTTGCTAGCATGACCAAATCAATGCAAAATTTGTCATATTGAAACAGCTGGACTCTTTAAAATTACATTATACTATCGAAATCTTCCAACAATAAGTAATATTTGCGTGCAGATTTTTAGAAGACGCAATGCTGTGCATCGACACCTCTCATCCTGTGACTCGTGACCACATCTGCTCGGTGGCGTCGTGTCTGCAGCGCAACCTCCAGATGTACCTGGACACGAACCCGCCCCTGCAGACGCAGAACCGCTTCCGTATGTTGCTTCTGGCGGCCACACACCACGCTACCACCTCAGTCTGATCCCACCACCATAGTTTACTCTCAGCAACGTACCTTATTCTATTATAAGTTTTGATTCCCCTTAAACTTGGTTGTGAGCCTGACCTGGTTTGAAACTTTAAATCAATGGAGACATTTGCTGCTTCATGTCTCATTCGGACCGACTCTTGACCCCTATACGAGCTCTCGGGGACATAGTCTCGGATTCAAATTTGTAAATTAATGCGAATGCTTTTCTATTTTCCAGTTCCGTTCGTTGATTTTCATTGTGGTCTTTTATCGAGCGAGGTATAAAGATTTAAGTAGTAATTATTTTTACGACAAGTCATACATGGCAGCTTCAATTACTGATTAACTTCATTTTCACACTTTTGGAGATTATGAAATTTGTTCTCAACAAATCATGCTCTGTCAGTCAGCTTCCACACGTGTGATGGAAATAGTCTTTTTCATGCCGAATATAAGATCTTGAAATATTTATTGCTGACGAGCAATATGAAATAAAGACTTCAGCTGTTGCGACACTTATGTGTTGTAAATATAATCAACTCCGTTGGTTTTCTGTATTCTAAAGGTGCGACCCATCAAAAGGGCGTTAACATTTTGTTGACATTCAATCCTCATTTTTTATGAAGGTACTGAATATTTTGAATTTATCATTTACAATATTTTCGTTCGATAATCTTGGACTGTGCTGGAGACGATTGTTTGAAATGCCGCTTTCCTCCAAGTTTTTTCCACGATTTACTGTTGGTATAACCATGGACCTGCTCATGGTTGTTATAAGCTTAATTGTACGTTATAAACGCAAATTAACAAGCGATTATTTTGTTCTGGCCATTACCATTTACTCTTGCCTAGTGAAAAGTTGGATGGTGTTGCTTGGTTGTACACTCGCGCAAATGAGCTGTGGTGAAATCTTCCTTGGTTTTCAGGAAAGGGAGTTGAGTGTTATGAACCTTTAGTTGAACGACGTTCAACCAATCGACGGCCTCCACTACGCTAGTACTCTTAAAATTTTTTGAAATGCACGCTTTTTTGCATCTCACGGATCCATGCTCGCTACACGCGAAAGTGTTTCACCAACCCTAGTAAGATGGTGTATCGATTTGTATATTTTAGAAATGGGAAGAAAAAGTGACGATTAAAATTTTGTTTTAGAACCTATATTATTCATAGATGTCTAGGCGCAGAAAAGTGGCATTGTTATTAGCAGACAAGAAAAATTTTCATGATAAGAACACTTCCAAGGACACATAAGCTTTAATGTTATTACTTACAAAGTATCCCTATGAACAGAAACGTAAAGATACAGTCCTCACCAGAAAATAAAACGGGTCACGTCATTGGATTCAGAGTTTAGCACACAAAATGAGCATTTAAGTAGCTGAGAACGTACGTCACCTATCACAGTATGACTCACAGCTGCGACACACTACCCATGCACCTCTACCCCATTTCGATATGATTAGGCAGCTTCACGTCGGTTCATGCACAGTTTTCGTTCCAGCCCAACTCGGCATAAATACCTCAATTAAAGTTCTTAAAAACAGAACACCGGACACAAGTAAGCACAACGATAAGCTTGAACACAACGAGCTTCACCTATTTTATAATCAAAATTCAAACGTTTGAGCGAAAAATACTCTTTTTGCGACTGCAGGTGAATGTTACTGAGCAGGTAAAACTACCATGTGTAAATAGGATAACCATGCGTTTGCCAGTTAAAAATTTCTCTTGTAGACTTTGTGGTAATTTTCATTTGGAAAGATGCAGTTCTGGAATATCAACTTACAAGTGCATCAAAAAATACCTTTTTTACTGTATAGTGAAACAGAAAATTTTACACGAACATTACCATTTCGAGCTGGAACGCCGCTACAGGCGCATGTTACCCAACAGTTTACATCTCTCAGATCACGATTGTCATCTTACCGATACTTTCCAAAAACAAAATTATCGAGGAAATTGTGCGCCTAATTAACAATTGTGCACGAGATGAACCCCACGTTTTATTTTGCAGGAGTTTCTGCTCAGCACAAGCAGGTCGCTGTCACAACGTTTAAATTCAGTTGTGGAAACTGTCAAGTTAAGGAGTTAAGGAGTAATTTTCCTCACCAAGTGTGGCCACAAGAGTAGTGAAACGATCTATCAGCAAAAGACACATTTTAAAAGTTGAAAAAACTCACTAAAAAAAGTGATGCATCAATAAGATATTGAAAACGATTTGAGAATCAATTTCCTTAAACTAATAAGAACAAATTCAATAATATTGCCAATAAAAGTTGTAAAATAGCAAGCCTTGCTGCCCGCTCGACACCACGCTGAACACAAATCATTCACATCATAACCGGTCATTAAATCAGTAAGGCAGTATTTTTTGTGTACCTTGGGAACTTTCAACACGTCTCATCCCTTGTGCAAGGCGCACGGCATCGGGAAACGATTAATTTGAAATATATTTGCTAAAAATTCAATCCAGCTGCGAGTACATCTGCTACAAAAGACTCGATATTTTGACATTCTACAGTGAAACCTTGAGAATTCCTAAGATATTTACAAACAAATAAATGAAAGTGAGCAAAAATCGTCGAACTGTGCCATTTAGATTTTTAAAGTCAGGCATTGTAAGAGAACATTCCTAGCCTAACTTGAAGCCGATTTATTCAATGCATTGCTCCATAGAATAATCCTCCAACTCTAAAACTAGTTAACCAGCTACCAGCCAAATTTCACTGCACACTTTGATCCCTATTACACTGAAACGGCCACTTCATTTTCTGTGTCGTCATTCTATCAATCAACAATCCTTGGACCTACGGAGGCCAGATAATAGTCACGCTGTGTGCACTCTGGTCTTTTATAATACACTTCCAAATAATACGATCACACAAATCAAGGCAACTGTAATGTTACTTTGTCATGTACAACGGACTGCTGTCATAACGAACCGGAAACACACGCGGTTTCAATGTTATTTGAAAGAAAGATATAATCGTACCCATTTTCTGTAGCGTCATCGTAACACAATAACGAGAAGAGCTCAAAGGCCCTTCAGCACCTCCACAACGTTGAACATAATTTCGAATGATCACAAGCACCACAGATACCTTCAAGAACGGCTTTCTTTATCATCTTTCCACAGCGTTACGCAAATCGCTGCGTCTCCGAGAGCATAAAATGTTAAGATAGATGCGCGTGGTGTCTTGGAGTGATTCCTGCGCATGAAACTAAATATTTCCAAAAAGATTGCACACCATCGGTGCATTATATAAAAAACTATCGCTAAAATTTTGACAAAACTTTGCGGAGCTGATATCTCCGAGAGCCAATTTAATGGCAATAAAAAATGCACAACGCAATCGATTCACTTAGACAAGACAATGAATACAAAATTAATTCTAAAAGTATGCACGATTAGTTATTGAATTTTTTCCCAATAGATTTCTCCATTTCCACCAGAGCACAGAATTCTGGTGAATAGCTCGTTATTGAATGAAAAAGTCTTGCGTATAACTGAGAAAAACACAAATTAGCTTAGAACTAATTTTCAATTGGTAAAAAATTACACTGAGAAATAAGGCTAAATGCTACACAGTATGTAACGAGGTTAGAATAACCTGGCGGCTGAAGATGCGCACGACCAGAGAGCGATGAACTGCATGCATGACGGCATTGCACTGATGTAGCACTGTAGCACAGTGCACTTGATTGATCACCACATTGTAGTAGTTATGGTACCAACACTGCAGCAGCACTAGTGGTGGTGGCGGTGGTGATGAGTGCTGCGGTAGTTATGGTATCGACACAGGAGCAACAATATCGATGGAACTACAACATTGGCATTACAGTTGAGGTGGCAGAGTTGATGGAACTGCAACACTGCCAGTGCAGTTGTGGCAGCATCAGTGCTGTGCGATGCCTCATTTGATATGAGCGCTGCGGCTCAGTTGTGTGGGTTATGGAATTTGCAGGAGTAAAACGAAGAGAAAAGAAGGAGTATGAATGGAATTATGATGGTAAACTTCGTCAACCAAATGAGGGTAATGATCACTAAAGAGTTGATAAGAAGAAATATGCTGACTAATCCATTAGACGACCAATAAATAGAACTGATAATTTGATGGAATGAAAGGAGATGAGCAGACGAGATGTGTGCGAAGAGGTGCTTGACATTTGCTGGGTACATAGAGAAAAGGTATAAAAGTGTTTGAGGGTAGAAAAGTGTTCAGAAAGGACAGCATACGAAGACGTGGTATTGAATGAACGATAAACAAAGGACTCTGGACAATATAATAGAAGAGATGAAGAGCAAGGCCAGTTACATTAGAATAGAACACAGTTATTCAATATACGCCGACGTCCTTTTTGACCGTGCTTCTCCCGGCCTTTGCGGTCGCGCTGCACAAAACAAAAAAAATATAACTCAGTACTCACTGCAGTGAGTGACAGAGAGCGCATTTTCTCATCGACGAAAACTCGAGGTCACGGACGGACGGAGTCGGACAGACGGACAGACATGGCGAGCACAATAGTGCATTTTTTCCATAAATGAGAAAATGCACTAAAAATGTCATTACACGTACCCTCCCGACTTCAAGTGTTCAGTATTTATGGGTAATTTACTCGGGTAACTCTTCTGATGATAGGTAACACTTGAAAGGAGTCAGAATTTTCATCTTTACATATTAACTTCATTTGATGAAAATGTTGTTCCTCTCAGTAAGCGTCGTCAGCACATTACACGGACGTTCATCAATAAACATGAACTCTTATAAGAACTGAAAATTTGTTCAATTTCACGTACAGTGATTTGAAGGCAAATATAAATCCGTGATCAAAACTTGATCAAGACTTCCATGTTAGCACGAGCCGTATGATCATTTAAAAATTGTCAAATTAGGCGCGAAGTCTGAGGACGTAAACATAAGGTAGAGATTGTGCTGACAAAATACCCAAAAGCCCGCTAACTTCAAGTATATAAAAGAACTTGTAAAAATAATAAATTTGATGCCTTACTAGAAAATCTACATTTAAACAGTGGAAAAAAGCAAAGTGATGGCGTCTAAAACGAACTGTGGATAGCACAGAGATGTAAATTAACGAGTCAAAATGTGCACGCGCCAAATGTCATTATAAACTCAGAAAAATGTCAAAGTTTCAAAAGAAAATAACAAAGTCATACATAAGAATATGCACTTAAAAAATCCCCAAAACAAAAAAAAAAAATAATTATTATTAAAAGAAAACAAAAAAGGAAAGTGCTTTACCTTTTTGGCACTCACATCTTTTCGGATTTCTCTGATTAATGTGTAGAAGGCGTCGTCAACACCCATCCTAGTTTTGGCGGAGGTTTCTATGAAGGGAATGTCGTAGCTTTTAGCCACTTCTCGAGCCTGCTGCATGTCCACAGCCCTGGTCGGCAGGTCGCACTTGTTGCCCACCACTGCAACACATCAGCACATGAGGAGCACATTACACGGAACAGAGCACATTTATTGCCCACCACTGCAACACATCAGCGCATGAGTAGCACATTACATGGAACAGAGCACATTTATTGCCCACCACTGCAACACATCAGCACATGAGTAGCACATTTCATGGAACAGAGCACATTTATTGCCCACCACTGCAACACATCAGCACATGAGGAGCACATTACATGGAACAGAGCACATTTACTGCCCACCACTGCAACACATCAGCACATGAGTAGCACATTACACGGAACAGAGCACATTTACTGCCCATCACTGCAACGAATTTTCTAGCCCAAATGATAGTCAGACACACTCAACAGGATACTCACAAACCATGGGTACGACGTCTGCATCTTTAACCCTCTTTATCTGTTCCCTGTAGGTGCTAATGTCTTCAAAGGATTTTTCATTGTTGACGGCAAATACCAAAAGGAAGCCTTCACCCGTTCGCATGTACTGATCTCGCATGGCACTGAAAAAACACTTTATTATTCACAGGAAGCAAATACAAACTAATTTATTAGAGTGTAACATTTTTGGGATATGAAAACTTTTTTGCCTTACACTCTTACATATGAAGAGGCTGTTACTGAACATGTCAAATAGCAATCAGTGCAACCTGCAAAATGAAGTGCACTCTCACTAAGGTTCTCTGAGTGCCACCAGTCTAGTGGTGATCATTTACATTTACTATTTTTCTAAGACCTTTCCAGTTACAGAACCTTCTTCCCTTTAGAATCTGGTCAACTCACTCGAAATTTACGTGCTTGAGTGAGGCATACAATGATCTAACAGGCCTTGAAGCAGACAATTTATGAAAAAATAATAAGAATTTCCTGATAGTCACCTGCCTTATTAGTCCATTTTAATATGAACTCTGTTGCAACTTTGTACTAGGCAATTTAATAGTCAAATGGTTCAATTATAAGCTAAGCAAATAATTATACATTTGTGGGAGTTACGTAGTTACGTATTTCCAAACAGAGACATAACCTGTTTGGAAATGATTTTTGGTGGACTCATGAAGTCCTGTGAAAATCGGAGGAGCTAGGGTTGAAAGAAAATTGAGATTTCTTTTTAGTAGATTAAACTTCAAAATCACTCTTTGCAACGTGACAAAAATGGAAAGGTAATCATACATATAAGATCTCGTAATTAATTACAATGGTATTTGGGAAAAGAGTTTTTAGGATAATGGGATTTTGAACAGTAAGATTTTCAAAAATATCTCAAGCAACACCTGCTCAAGTACTACAGTTTTCAAAGCTTTTTAATTTCAAACAATTTGCAATTCGTCTGTTCAATCAAAAGTGGCATTTCATTGACAAGTCATGATTTGACTATAAAACTAGTGACTTAATGGGTATCGGTTATGCAAATTTTGACAAACAAACCTGGCTTGCATCATGTCCAAGAGGTGTAATAAGAGATCTGTAACAGAATCTAGAAGTTGTTAAGCCATGAGTACTACTGGGAGCTCCAGGGACTGCATTTTAGTTGTTAGCACTGCCCAATACGTATCACTTTTATATTATTCCTATGCGCTAACAGGTATTGGGGCAGTGTAGCCAGTGAAGTGCTAAAAGCAACAGCACCACAGCCAGTACTCTTGTTCACCTGAACAAAAATAATTTCAGTGGTTGTAGCAAGAAGTAGAGTGGAGTAAGATTGTAGGTAAAAGAGGGCATTGACTGCAGCAAGGTGGGTAAGTTTGTGGGCAAGGTCGTGCTGGGGTTGTGCAACCGTGGAGATGATGAGACTGACTTGAGAAGTGGCTATAAACTTATGATACAAAGGCTTGAAGCTGTTCCAAATTTGCGTGGATTGCATCATTTCTATTGTGGTTGTGACTTTGTAGCTCATTGGTTAAATTTATCTGTGCAATTTTAGGCTGAGCTTCAGTAAAATTGTCACCAAGAGTGTGCACTTAAATAATGTAAAATATGAAATTTAGACATTTCCCATTTATAAAAGCTTTATCTGATGCCACTTTTGTACTTTGGATAATTCTAAAAAGAATACAAGTTGTTTCTGCTACAAGTTTCTTTCTATGAGTGGTTTCAGATTGAGAAATTAGACAAAAATGCTATATCAAACAATTGTATAACCTAAATATTAAATCTGAACAAAAAATTTCAGTTCTTTGCAGAAACAAAGAAAAAACAAAAGAAAATCACAACATTAATGCCTGCCAGACTTGATAATGAGACAATAAGCAGATAAGACATTTTCTGACCAGTGAGACATTTCTAACTGATTCTATGAGTTATTTCTAAAAGATTATTCTAAATACAAATATCAGAAATAGAGGTAAATTGATTAAACTTCATTATTGCATGTGGAAAAAATGTTCTGGGGGGGGGGAGAAGGGGTTAAGGGGTTTCTTCTTCCAATAGTTGGACAAATAATCCAACTGTAAGTAACTCGAGACATTTAACTTAACTAAAACTAGTTCTGATGATCACTGAAAAGACTTCCAGATAAAAATTTGTTTGAATTATCATGCTAACCATCTGGCACAATAATAAATGTACACCCACCTGTACTCTTCTTGGCCTGCAGTGTCAAGAATATCTAGTAAGCAGGTCTCTCCATCTATGACTACTTGTTTGCGGTAAGAGTCCTCAATGGTAGGGTCATACTCGTCAACAAAACTGCACAATAAAAAACCAAGTAAGTAGCTTCAATTCTTCCAAAACATACAGCAACAATTCACCTTTAAGACAATTACCTAAGTTGTGTTCAGGAATGAAAATTTCTCCCGACATAGAACTTCATAAATAAAAAAGTTACAACAAAAAAGTATTTCCCATTCTATTACGCAACAAAAAAAATTTAATTTAATCAAGTGAAATGTTCCTTGAAAACAGTTTACTGCCTTAGTTGTCCAGATATCCAACTGATCAATGGTTCATTTATGAATATTTACTAGAGAATATAACAAGGATGAAAGCAAAAAATTTTGAAGCAGTTCAAAATTCGATTTGGTAAATATTTTGACTAGCAGCAACAAAGGTTAGTGATTTTTCTTAAACCAAGTCAAGCAATATTCAAATGACATGAAGAATGAATAGAGATAAACAATACAATTTTTGAGACTCATCATGAACTTACTGATTCTGTATGAGTTGTATGGTGAGAGCACTCTTGCCAACGCCTCCAGCTGTAAAATAAGAGATTTATAAACCACATATTTATGTCAAAACAAATAAGCAATTACTTCAGGATAGATGACCCACCTTCAGCCCCATTTGAAAAATGTGATCTGTCAAGTCTTACATTTACTCACCAAGCACCAAATATACTTCTAGTCATTCAAGGGTTATTGCATATTTTAAAGAAACTTCATCAACAGTCAGGTTCCACCACCTCCAAACATCCACATTGCCTCCTACACAGACAATGTCACAATAACATCCACTCACCCATCCGCAGACATGTACTCAACAAGCGCAAACATATCTCAACACTTTATCACAATGGCTCACACTGAACAGACTCAAGGTTGCTCCTAGTAAATCCACAAACACCTTATTGACCAACCACACAAAGAAGCACCAATACAGACCAAACATCACATTAAACAACACCCTGATCCTGCACACACATGAAACAAAAATACTAGGGGTCACTTACAACACCTCCATGACATTCGGCCCTCACATCAACAACATAGTGAACAACGCAAACATCAGACTCGACTCACTTCGGGCCCTAGGCGGTACCAAATTCGGCAAAAACAAAGATACACTAGCACCAACATACAAACAGTTCATCAGAACAGTGCTGGCTTATGCCAGCCCTGCCTGGGCGCCCGCACTATCCAACACAAACATACAGAAACTCCTAACACTACAAAACAAAGCACTCAGGATAGTCACAGGCTGCACACAAAGCACCCCCATAGAACACCTTCATGCAGAAACAAAAATACTTCCCATAAAAGCACACCTCGACATGAGAGGAACACAATTCATAGCTGCAGCCATAAACAACACACAACACCCATGCCACTACCTACGCAACCACCCACCTACACACAGACAAATAGTGCAAACCCCACACAGATACTACACCAACAAACTAGATACAGTACCCCCACCCCCAAGGCAACACCAGCACGAAAAACACTTAAACACAATTATGACACTTAGGACACTCACCACCTGACATAAGCAGCACAGAAACACAGCTCTCTAGACTGGAGAGAGTACACCTAGCCAGGCTGCGCTGCGGCCACCACCCCTCACTACAAACATACACAAACAGAATAGGCCAAGCAGACACAGACACCTGCCCATCCTGCCAGAGAGCTCTCCACACAATCACTCACATTCTCCTGGAATGTCCGCTCTGGCAGGACCTCAGACAACACCACCACATAACCTCGACCCTACAGCTCTGGAGTGACCCATTGTCGGTGGTGTCGTACTTGCGCGAGGGGGGTCTCTTGTAAAATTGAGACCGGGGAACCACACCAACAACAACAGTCAGGTTCTATATAAACCTACTAATTACCACTTGAGTAACATGTTAACAAGCAGTATTAATACAATTTTCACAAAAAAGCCTGCAAGGTAATTTTATATTGCAGTACTACAATAAAACTACCTGCATCTTATTAAAATAGTATCAGTCAAATAGTGCACTATACCTCAAAGAACCTTGACTGAGGCACAATCCTTCCCAATCTTCAATAATTTTGCCAGTGATACTGAATGATTAAAGAACTTCCTCACCAGGATTTTTTGAAAACAACCCATGTTTTCACCCAAAGTAAGTACACAGTACACCTTTCAGGCCAACTCAAGATTGGTATATACACCACCAATTCTAGTTTTTGTGCAACTTCAAGGCAAGCAATAAGCAGGGAGATGTGCTGACAGCTGGGTGCTTTGGAAATTTATCTGTTCATTTTCTGGATCTATTTGGCTATACAACACGCAGTGTGCCAAAATCTTATATGCTGAACACCAAAAATAGAGCAGAACAAATTTGTGGCTGCCTGGATGCACAAAAATGTATCAACCCAGCTATGCATGTACTGGTTTTAGTTACTGTACATATATTTTATAGCATTATTAGGCCTGTTGGCAATATTAACACTGCATGCTGACTGTCATATGTTTAAAATCATTGACACTGCCCTCAGGTATGCCAACTTTGCTAATTTATAGCTAGATCTAGTGTATTCCTAACTCAGCTAGTTGGGAATACAATAGGAAGCTAAGTATATGAGGAAAGTGAAGGAAGTGCTTTACACAAAGTGAAAGAAGCAAATTCATGTACTTTGATTCAATTAAAAATTGAGTGGTTCACAAACATATAATTCAACAAAATGCTAAGTTTTGCAGATTAGTTTCACTCTTCTGTCAAACTTCAGTACACAAAACTTTTTAAAATCTCATAATTGCAGTCATACTTCAGGCCTCCCAAGAGTCCCACCCAAATCATTGCACAACAGATTTTCATTAATGTTCTTGTATAAGTACTTGCTTTTATGACATGTCAGACAAATTGCTAGCAGCAATATGACACTTCTTAGATGAATGCCTAATAATGTGTTAAATTGTCTTGTATCAGTTAAATGTGAATCAATTTGTTATAGTAGCTATTTTTGGAGTAAAATTAGATTTATGATATTAAACCCATTAGGTTTGGATTAAACTTCCTGGGTTAACAAAAATGTTGCTGGCTTCAAAAATGAATTCATGGTGGTAAATTTGATAGATTCATGGCTCCAAAAATTTAGTAACTTGGAGAATAGATCCTTTTCACACTAGACAGTAGACTGGGCCACTTACTTTCTTTTTCCACATTCTGAAAAATCAAGCAGCAGCCATTCATGAATAATACAAAAACACCTGCGCTTACAATCAATCCATCTGTTTCATGGTTCTAGCCTCTGGCCTACTCTATTCAATAGAATATACAAACAGCACATTATTGCTCAAAAATTAGGAAAATTTCCATTAAAATGATAGTCTTTGACTGTAATTTCCAGAAAATTCTGTCTGACATTCCATATTAATACTTTTATCTGCATGGGTAAATTTTCAAGTAAAACTACCTTAAAATGGGGTTACTTTGACTCCCAGGGTAACTTTGACCACTTTTTGTTTTTTAACAACAACCCCCAAAACTCAAAAACTATTTGACATAGAAAAATTGTGTCAATGGCCATTAAAGGCCTAATACTGAGGCTAAGTAACACAATAGAAAGATTTAAAAAGTTTGCATATCTAATAGGTTAAAAAATTAAAAATGTGACCCACGAAAAAGAGCTATTATCTAAAGCCTGTTTGAGTACCCCCTTCAATTTTTTTTATTTTTTGGTAAAATAACTTCAGGTTTTGATACATTGTAGTAGAACTCTTCTAGTTACATATGCAAATGACAAATTTTAGGAAAGTGTCATAGGTTGCAAATGTGGGGCGCCACCCCCAATGGGGGAACTCTGACCACCTAAAGGCAGCCATGACGGAGTAACATTGACCGGGTTGGAAATCAAGTTAAAATTACCATAGGTACCTATACAACATATTTTATATTTGATACACCTATTAATGTTTTATCTTTATGTATTCAGACTCTACAGAGTCTTATATATGGTAATTTTAACTTAATTTCCAAGCCCGTCAATGTTACCCCGTCATGGCTGCCATTAGGTGGTCAGAGTTCCCCCATTGGGGGCGGCGCCCCACATTTGCAACCTTCGACACTTTCCTAAAATTTGTCATTTGCATATGTAACTAGAAGAGTTCTACAACAATGCAGCAAAACCTGGAGTTATTTGGAGTTAGTTTACCAAAAAATAAAATTGATTTTACCACCGTCAAAGAAACCCCAAGAGCTGGGGTAACTAAGACCATCACTTTTTTTGAAATTACATCAAAACTATGAGAGGCAGGAGCCAGCAATTTATGATGATCGAAGCTAGAGTATAGACCTGTATTTTGCACATTTCAATTTAAGTTTAATTTATCTAGTAAAAAATGACATTTTGAAAAAAAAGTGGTCAAAGTTACCCCATTTTACAGTACCGGTATATCTTCTTGAGTGTGAAGGGCATGTGCACATCATCTAAGCACATGGGCCATGATCAAACTGGTCTGGATTATTGGACAGAATTTTGAAAATCACGGATAAATAAGATCATTTTAGGTGTAACAATCATAAACAGAAAAATATCTAGGGTAAACGCGGTATATTCTGACATCGTGGGTAATTCCGACAGACCGACACTTCTCAAATTTTCTCCTTTATTTTAAGCTTTGTCTTAGTTCCATGCATTTGTTGATGGTTGAAATAGTGATGTCATACTATTGCGCGCTATACTATTGCCAAAACACTAGGTCCGGGCCATCTGGTGGGAAAATGTTAAGATTCAAAGAGAGACAGTGCACATCATGGTGGCAGGGAATTATTGTGAATACTTATGCGTTTGCAAGAGCATCGCCCGGTCCAGCTCAGCGGGGGGGGAAAGGTGTTTTACGATCGGTCTGTAAAGAAGCGTTGATCGGTTCAAAATGACATAAGAACAGGTTCTTTTGAATAACCTATGGATTGCCACCATGGTGCACATCACCCAATGAGAACATTGAAAATCGTGTCAATGTTGATAGTTGACCTTGCTCTACCAAATAGTTATAAACAGTTTGTGTAGAAAGAATATTATGGTTTGAGACTTATAAATAAGTCTGTGAATATATTAGGAATCCTTTAAGTATACTTGTATTTGCTGATTTCAAGTGGTAAATAAATTAATAGATGATTAAGTTAAGCAACGGTTTTAGACACAGAAAAACTAATTCCGACACAGCTTGGAATTACACATACAGCTCGTTCCAAGCTGTGTCAAAAAAATAAAATTTTCCTAATTAAAAGCTTCATAGCTCTTAATTAAAAGTTTAATTACAAAAATTAAAATTTTTATTTAAGCTTGTTCCGACCTGTGTCGTATTCCGATACAGCTCACACAGGGTGTCGGAATTCTAACACTGGGCGCCAGAATTACAGATTAATAGAGTTTGAAGCGCTGCCGGAATTAGTCTCTCACTCTCACAATATGCCCAATTTAGTCACACACAGCGTTGGAATTCAGGTATTTTGTAGGTTTGAATTCTAAAGGGTTTTAAATAAATATGGCAACAGTTTGACACTTCATCATTGCTGGCGTATAGTGTGGTGTTTTGAGAGTGACGTAAAGCAATCAGAACTCAAGTTGCGCATACGGCGTCACATAGTGGCAAACCAGTGATTCTTTAGAATCAGTTCATTTTTAATTTCCTCATTTACTCAAGATTTTAACAGATTTCTTATGTATGATAATTCTGGTATCCAAGATACTTTACTGGTCTACTTATAGGACTCAAAAATGAACTTGAGGAAGAGTCTAAAAAACTCTCTGCTTTGCCACTATGTACGGCAATATTTTTATAGCCATTAATTTCTTGAAAGCCCACGTCCTTAATGTGTCAGAATATACCGCATTTACCCTAATTTTCCTTTTTTTAATAAAAGAAAGTCATCAAAAATCATTGAAAAGGATGAAGTCAACATCAACTGCAAGCCAAACTGGAAATTTGGGCAGAAGCCATACATGAATCAGACAAAAATGCCTGTGAATTTGGATAATTTAACTTGTTCCTATGGCCTTTTCCTAATTTTGAGTTTTTGACCATCAAAAATTTAAAAAATGGCCTATTTTTAATAGTCATTTTTTACAAACCCATGAAACACTTGTTTACACCAGCAATTTCTTGGCAACATGAGGCCAAGATTTTTGTTTAATGAACTGCCTCTTACCTGTTACTACTAAATATCCTGCCACAAAATTTTAAATGTTCAAAATTTGTCAATTGGATTGGGGGAGCCTGGGTTATGGGATGATCCCATATTTTGTTTTTGGCTGTGCATTGCCTGTTACCTAGTAGCCGTAGGTCTTATTCTTTGTACAGAGGTAGGTACCTACTCAAATAAAATATTATTCTTGAAGTAGGTAGGGTTGTAGGTACATGTGGTCACTTATCACAAAATTATTATATTAATAGACTAAAATTTTTCTGAAACTCGAGGTGACTTCAGAAATGTCTAAATTAAAGAAGTCAAATTAACTTTAAATTTAATAGATGTAAACAAATAAAAGAAACACTTGTCCAGAAAATCATATCTCACCTCCAACGACGACTAATTTATATTCTGTCATCGTTATATTTCTGACTAATATCTAACTATACCTAATACTATCAAATCAGTTGGCTAAATCGATATTAATAACGTGGTTTTAAAGTTACAACTCATAATATGAAACATGAATCAGTTTTTCAATCGACTCCACACCCTGTTTCTATGCATCTATCGATCATGGTTCCTATAATTTTTAGGTGTCTCTGTTTATTCGAGGTTCTCATAATATTTACGGATTTCTAACTATGATATTTGTACTACATTATAATTTTGAAAAATTTTGATGAATAATTAGGCATTATAATGAATTTATGAGCGTGAAGGTAATGTAAAAATACGTGAATAGTTTTTAAGACAATGAAAATATTTATGAGTTAAGGACATTGAAAGCGGCTGACAGGTGTTCTTTTACTGAATTAATTGTTCATGCTTGCCGGTGAAACTTAATTTCAAATAATTAAGACAAGTTTTATATTTATTCAATGAATAATAGATAATAACAGGTAATGCAAAAAATAAAATAATTCACTTGCATCGCTGACAGTTGTCCGCTTATGTTGAAGGTTTCCCACAACATGTTGAAATTTGTCATGCAAGATTAGTAAAAATTGCGCTTCCAACGAATCACTTAGAAAGGTGATAAAAATTTTATGTTCTCAATAATTTTCTGAGCAGAAGGAATGTTGTGTTCTCATTTTTAGTGGGGTGGCCCAGTGGTTAAAGTTCAGAGTACCAAGATTGGAGCAGAGAGGCGCGGGTTCGATCCCAGCTCTGTGCGCCGATTTCTGGTCAGAATCGGCATTTCGGCAAGGAGGCCGGGCGGTTAAGCATAGCAGAATTGTAGCAGTGAGTTGCGAGTTCGAGACCGCAAAATGCTGTAAATGTTCTGCAATGTTAAGAATCGGCGACAGGTCTACGGCCTAATAAGTGCTGAAACCGCTATTATTATTATTATTATTATTATTATTATTATTATTATTATTATTATTATTATTATTATCAACACTCAGGCACACATTCCTTTCAAAATTTCGCATGAATCTATGTAAACATCTATCTATCTATTCCTAACTACTTCATATGAACATATGAATTATGCACATATTCGTGATTTAATTGAATAAACATGAATGAAAAAAATTCAATATCATATCACGAAACAAATTTATCTCACGGACGCGCTTCTACGGTCGGACTAGGGACCGCTCTCCCAGTTTCAGTGAGCCTAAAATATCTCCTAAAATGATGAACGCAGGTCGATGAAACTTCAATAAAATTTTATGTGTTCAATGAAACCTGTGATATTTAGGTTGTGATCACTTTTCAGTTTCGTTTTCGGGTTCCAAGGTCCAAAATTCCAAGTAAACCTAATATATCTTGTAATTTTTACTATACATTCCTTACTACGAATACTACCTAACAGTGATATTTAGGTCGTTAAAATGTCTCAAATTTCACATTTGTTCGCTAGGTACAGTAGTTATCCGGCTATACGGAGCCGCGACCTGCATTTCTGTGGCTGAATAATTAATCAATCAATTAATCAAAACAGCTCGTTGATTAACAGCACATGCGTTCAAAACAGCACATGCGTTCAGTAGGATCTTACGGTGATGTTTATGTCTTGATCATTTTTAGCGCATTTTCTCATCTATGGAAAAAATGCACTATTGTGCTCGCCATGTCCGTCCGTCCGTCTGTCTGTCTGTCCGTCTGTCCGTCCGTCTGTCCGTGACCTCAAGTTTTCGTCGACGAGAAAATGCGCTCTCTGTCACTCACTGCAGTGAGTACTGAGTTATATTTTTTTCCATTTCGTCTTCGTTTCCAAGTTATGCGTAAAAATCTGTGCAGTAGGATAGAAATTAATTAGGCTCACCGCGAACTTAAGAGTCCATGACCGCATAACTCGCGAAATCGAAAAAAAGAACAATTACCGCTTAAATATCACTGCTATGATCTAATAAATGCCGGTGCAAAGTTTCATCAAGCTGGGTTGATTAATTTGGTAGATACTATTTCAGGCTCAGCAAATGTTACCCTCGGTCACAGAAATACAAGTCGTTTCTCCGTATAGTTGTATAACTCGTAAATGAAGGCGAAATTGGAAAAATGTTCACGACCTGAACATCACCGTTAGGTACAAATACTATTGAATGCATGTACAAAGTTTCCTCAAGCTCACAAGCTGCGTTCATTAGTTCGAGAGCTATTTTAGTCTCCCTGGAACTTGGAGACCGGCGTCGAGTCAGCCGTAAAGCTTCCGAGTGAATCGAAATGCCCGGTAGTGAATCAGGGGAAAAATGGAGAAATAAGTAGGAGCTCTCTTTTATTGTCATTTTGGCGGGCGCCAATACCTCAGTCGGTGACGCGCCTCCTCTCAAAATCGAAGAAATCACGTATTTTGAGTTTTTTTCCCCTCATTTCGTAGTCAGCACTATTACAAATCGATTGACACAAGGCTCTAGCTGTGATGGTTTTTTCGTGAGGCCGTTTTGAACTTTAATAAAATGAACATTTTACAACCATTTTTTATGAAGATTTATTTAATTAAATTTAACGCAGTAATTTTCTAAAACTTTTCATGCATATGTAAATTACAGAAAGAAGAAAAATTTTGCTCGTATTATTTTTTTGAAATAATCGAAAGAAAACGTGAAATTCACAGAAAACGGCTAAAAAGAGGGGTCTTTCAAAAAATCTATAATTTTCTAGTCGAATTTACGTGCTACAACATCGAGAGACATTACATTACCATTCGATTTATAAAGAGCATATCTATCGATTCTAAAAGCCTTTTTTCGATATTTTAGTTTTTTAGGACTATTTCCATTTTATGTAAAATTTTCCCCTTCCCCCAGTTTTTTTTCAATACATAATCCAAACCATGTGCAAATCAGAAAAAAACTTCTAGGGTTGCTGGAAATGGTTTTTACGAATGGGATTATAAATCTCTCAACACTGCATGTTAAAAACCGTTGGAGGGATAGATTTTCAAGATGGCGTATTTTGGAAATTTTATTGTTCAGGGGAGGCAAGTAAGTAAAATTTATTTTAAAAAGAAAAAATGCTAAATAAATTGCTTGATATTGTAGCCCCAGCCTTCTTTTGAGCGTACCATTACTCGTCTTTAGACCTATTCTTGTCCAGTTTCACACGAAATATAAGCTAATAATGTGATTCTTCTGATATATTTATTTATATAAATGGTCATTAAATAAAAGTTCAAAACGGCTTTACGCAAAAAGTATTGCACGCACATCCGTGGTATCAGCCTTGTTGGACGCATCCCGTTTGCAGGTTTAAAATGAGTCCAAGCACATTGAAATTAACACTGATAATGATCTATTAATACCATTTGCTGAATAAATATTTTTAAATATGTTATAAAATGGTCATTTTTAAAGTTCGAAAGGACCTAATGCAAAACTAAAGACCCCACATAAATAAAATTGTCACATTTATTTAGATGCTCGTAATTTCGAAAGAAGAATATCTTTAATCCTGGTCAGCCTGAACCAAGTAAGTATTGTCATTCTGGCGGGCCTTGAAGTAGAGTGACGTTTCAGATCTGCCATCGTTGTTTGCGCGTAGTAAAGATGGCTACAAAGTTAAAAAATAAGTATAAAACAGAATCAACAATAATGTTATGACCACTACGACACTGATATAAAAATACATAAATAACACCTAACAATGTACAAAAACTAATAGTATGATGCCGTGCTTGAATTGAGCGAGTATGGATCGAACTTCTTGCGCAGGGTTCCCCAAAAATCTGTGTGCCCAGAGGCCCTGTGGCCCAGTCCCAGGCGAGACCTGTTACTGTAGAGCGCTGGGGAAGAGCTACCAGACTCGTCACTTGCAATGGAGACGGGAAATGGGACTCGCAGTCTTCTTCTCCCGACGTGATTTCTATACATAACAAATACAAAAATTGTAATAAACACGGCCAATGCAACGCCTCCTAGAACGCCAGCTGCCATTATTGCACTTCTAGTCGCGATATTGAGAGAATTAGGATCTCTATCGTAGCGTGGGTGATCGAACGCGCCCCCTAATGGAGTACCTTCAGTTAATCCAATAACTGTGGATTCTCCTTTAGATAGAAAAATATTATTTTCTTTGTTATCAGAGGAAGTTTTACTATCTTCTAAACTAATGCGAGTCGAGTTGCTCATGTTGCTATTTTCGTAGCTTTGTCTATCGATGAGGTCGCGCAGGTCTGTTTCACCGCCGTAGTAAGCGTAAGGAGGACGAACTGTCGGTCGTCTAGTCGTGGTTCCCAGCCTACTGCTCAAGCCGCGATTATTTTTCATTCTGTCACGCCAGTTTCCCTCTTCCCGTCGGTAGGGCCGATACGTGATTTCTTCCGATTCTTTACTGATGACTTCTGCACTCGATAGATATTTTTCTTCTTTGTCCGCACTTTCAGGAGCTACTGAAGAAGTTGCATCCTTCTCAGTGACATCTACGGACGTAATGTTTGCGGAAATTACAAACTGACCTTGCGAGGTAATATCTGCAGAGGGTTTGAAGCCGAACCGCTTAGGAAATTTTGAAGTAGGTAAACTTGTAGTAGAAGCAAGCGGAGATGATTCAGAAGAAGTTGATAGACTTTCAACTGGTGATGTCCGTTCTGTTGTCGTATGAGGCGAAGTTATTTCGGTATTATGAACTTTTTCAGTGGTTATTTCTTTTCTTGGCTCAAACGATGTTTTCTTATAAGTAGGTCGAGGCGTCGTAATTATCTCATATGCAGAAACTACAGTGGTTGGCGAGAAACTTGGTAATTCATCTAATATTTCTAGCAATGTTCCTAAGTTACCTTTAGCTCTTTTAAGTTCTGCTTGCGTCAGTGAGCGTTTTTCAAGCTTGTTTGTGAACTGTTTTAAATCCATTTTGTGTATTTTTAATTGGACCAAAAACTGAGGCAATGATAGACCAATATTTTGCAGTACTTCAGATAAACTTATTGCGGTTGTCGTAGGGGACGACAGGTAAGGATGCGGTGTCTTGTCTATAGTCTGCTGAGTGGTTGCGTAGGTGCTTGTTGTGTCCGAAGTCGAAACTTCAAGCAGCGAGCCATTTGATGCGATACCCTTCCTAGAGGCTGTAGGAGTGTCAGTAGGACTGGCTGTGGATTCGTCATTTGTAATTTGACTTTCTTTAAATTTCTCACCACTTGAAGAAAGATGAGGAAAAGGCGATGGAGGCGAAGATTTTTCTAGCGAAGGAAGATTATCTGAAATTCAACAAACAAATTTATTTCTGAATGGTTAAAAGAATAAAGATATTCTTATTTGACGACGCACTATCTCAAAAAGTCTTTTCTCAAAAACAACTTTCGCTATGAAACTTGGAAAAACTTATAATTAAATTGTCGCATACATTGATAGCTTACGAAGCGGAGAACTTTATATAAAAAAAAAAACACCCACCTTTGTTAAGAGGTGCCGACGGTTTGAGGTTGTCACCTGTGTGATCATCCTTGTAGTTAAACCCATCAGGAAGATGAATTGTGGATTTTGAGGTTGTGTATATGTCACTGGGTGGATCCCTACGCGTGGGAAAATCTTTACGTGTCACTGAATCCACGTTTGCATTTTCGGGCGTGACCAATTTCCTGCTCAGAGGGGCCTTAAGTGAGGATTCTTCGCTGGCAGAGGGAGTGCGATTATATTTCGCCTGCTCGAGAGATGGATGGTCAGAATAATCTGGATAAGCAGACTGCATGAATTCTTCGTACAAACTGTCGTAGTAATCTAAAGTCGGACCGTCGTAGGTGTTGTCACCGCTGGCCTTTACTTTTTGATTTATGGTTTTAGTAATGCCGATTACAGTTGGTTTTGTTCCCTCCGGTTCGACATGAGCCACTTCTGACGAATTCTCTTTTTCTCCGTCACTGAGAACATGACGTGGAGCTGCCAATTTGGGATACGGCTGGTTATTGAAAAATAGGTTTTCATTGCCTGCAAGCGCACCACTTCGGTATTGACCACGGTTTATTTGCCGTACATCATCTGTATCATGCATTGCTGGTTGAATTGACCTGTCTGGGTGAGGTGGGTTATCTTCTTGGTGGAAAGAAAGAGATGTTCTCTCAGGAGTTGATTCACCGTGGGACACAAATGCTGAAGGAAGTCTATGGGTAGTGTCTGCTCGAGCGTCACCATCGTGGTGAAAGTAATCACTAGAGTGATACTCGCTGCTAGCCTCGCTGCCAGCCTCGTAGACTCCGACATCAGCAGCCCCTCCGTGGTCTCGAGATGAACTCGATTTATAGTCATCTTGAGGAAAATCTTGAATACCTCGAAATCGGCTTCCTAACTGGGCTATTCTTGCATCGGTTTGGTCTGTTTGGTCAGTGTGTGTTTCAAATGTTTTGAATTCACTGTTACCATCGTCGAAACCGTGCGGCGAAGAATTTTGTCGGTAGTCCAATTCGCGGATGAAGTCGTTCAGATCACGAGGGGGAAATTCTCCCCATCTGTCGTCGTGGGACAACGAAGAAGTCGAAGGATGACGACTGTGGCTGTAGTCAAAAGACGGTGGTTCGTCTCGAGCCGCGATAGGTAGCCCGTCATCCACAGGTCCGGACACGATGAGTCTGTCCAATGGAGTTCGGTTAAGCATTAAAGGAAGTACGAAGAGAACAACAATCAACATGAAAACGACTCTATAAATCACTGAAGTTTAGTGACATATTCTTTTGATCGGATTATTCAGACCAATTTTGAATGGATAATGGATATTTTCAGACAATTGGGTCTCATCCAGTAGAGAAAATAAATCACCAGTATGAAGTATATTCACTGCATTGAAAAAGCAAAAAAAAAATTAAAATTTTCGTCACGAGAAAGCAAACTTTTTGGCATTGAAAACATATCCTTGTTCTAACCTAAGCCCGGACTTCCAGTATGAATTGGGGTCGTGGGAAGAGTGAGGAGGCCTAGCCGGGTCCGTAGCCGAGAACGGAGCTCCAGCTTGACCTGGCGCCCCGCGTGAGTGGTACACGGGAGGCTGGTACTGCGCAGATCTCGGCCCCAGCTGACCGTCGTCCTGGAAATAAAAAAAGCCCATTGGTATCTCTGAAAAAAAAAAAAACAGTTGGTATCCCTGGTCTTGATAATTGCAAGCGGGTGATGAGACGAAGGAAATAATGAAAGAGCATAACTAGTATGTATTCAACAATATGTTTTATTCGTGAAGTGTAAAAAGGTCATTCTTAGATCGGAGAATTTGATTGTACAATTAATTTTTGCGTTTCATGGAGATCTAATAAATTATCGGATAGCCATAGGCTAAGAATTTGCACAATTTACGACAATTGTTCTCAGATAAATGGCAATATCAATGTGGAGCTTTTCCTCGAGCCATCGGGGTAACCACTTTTCTTCTATAAATAAATATAAATATTATGGCAGGTCTTTTTCTTACGCTCGGATTTCTTCAACAAGTTCAAAGCTTTAGATACTACATGCATAAACAAAGTGAATAAAGGATTGGTGACAATTAATGTGATCAGTCATAATCGCTTCTACATGAATAACTAATTTCCTGAAACAACTGAGAACCAAGGTTGTTTGTTTAAGCGAACAACGTTTTACTTGAAATTGATCGTTAAAATATAAATTCTTACAATTTATTTGGAAAGTTTTAGATTCCAGCGACAACGAGCTGCTGGAAAGAAAAATATGTTTTAATGTTATCCATGAGATGAAGCATATAGTTTGAAGATCAGATTCTACACTGCTGAAAACAATGCCGGTATATTTAATATAGTCTGCAAGACTATCGCTCGAGTATGTCGGAGTTACTAGGCAATAAGTCCAGCAGCTATCTCAATCAATCGTCAGTTATGGAAAGATCGGGTTCCAAAGGCCTGATCCCTTGTGAATCAAGTCACGAAAAGTTCAAGAATCAGCAACAGGCCATGGGCCTATTTCTTCAGTGCCGACACTTCGATTCTATTCTACTAGGACTGGTGAGCTGGGCTCGAGCAGCTATCGCAGGATAAGCACTGGTGTCACTAAATAAAACTGATGTTTTTTGTAACTTTGGCGAAGTTCTTGCGGGAGTAAGAAAATGAATTTTCATTTCATATAAACGTGAAGGCAAGCCGGCTGTGTTAATTCGAATGAATTGAAAAGAAACAGACAGCATCTGTAATATCATTCAGATTCTCATTAATCCTACATTGTTCAGTTTGTTCCAGATCAGAAGAAATAGAATCCGAATTATGCGTCGCCAATAAACTTGCTTTCTATATGATTTACACGACGGCTATATAATAATCGGCCCCAAAGCCAGTTTCTGGTCATAGCCTCGTCACAAAATCTCTCGGAGGCACATAGATTGAAAGTGGCGTTTCCCTCCTAGCAACGCTCAGAGACAGAGTTGCTCCTGGACGATGAACGGCGGCGCTGGATCACCGCCGCAGCGACGCCGCCGACAGCGCAGTCCGTACGCATGAGTATTACGGACACCTGGCCTTGCGTTGCTTGCAAGACGCACTCGAGCTGCCTTACTCCATACTGCTCCATGCTGCACCGCGTCGTGCTGCAGATTGCTGTACGTCTTGCCTTGCAACATGCGTTCATCTGCTGTGCTTGTGTTGTTGCTTACTGTGCGTCATTTCTTACGAAGCGCGTGCAGTGGCAGTGCTTTAAGATGAAGGACGATTAACACCTCGTCTGCCGACAAGCAATGATCTGTGCTGTACTACGTTCTGTAGCTCGTTGTGCACTTTATATCAAGACACACCTATACTAAGATTATCTTGAGCAGTAGCTGTCTATAGCAGTGGTTGTATATAATTTCCGTCTTGTCAATGGTTTGTATGAGCGTATCGCTAATATACAGGCAAAGCGAAAGCAGCGGTGTAGTCATTGCATGTGATAGTTCAACGCAACTTGCTCGGTTTCAATATTTTAAATTACTTGAGCTCGTGGTTAGCGATAAAATAATACATGTAATAAAAGCATACTTGGATGAAGCAAGTGCGATGAGATCTCTGAGAATGGGACATTGCATGAAGTAGGGTTATAGGTTTCAACGAAAGAAGTGAAACAAGCTCTGAGGAAATACAAACAATACAACAAATAAGTTATTATGTTATACAGTCAGGTCAACAAACACCGCACAATTAAACAATAGCGGTGCTAAGCTGGATTGCGACACATAATTTGCGGTTCATTCAAGCACGACGCACTGCGCGCTGTTCCGCACGATACCTCCCAGGTCTGAAGCTCCGATCGCAAGTCTTCCAATTACATGCATTTCTAGAAGGCGTCTATGGCTAACTATTACAGTATATAAGTAAAAACTGTATACATATACATTAAATTGTGTTTTTCAGAATGTATGTCAGCCACATGTTACTCTGCGCTATCATTCGTCTTCAATTAAACATAGCTCTAAGGACTTGCAAGCCATCTCGATCTACCTGCCTACAAGATACGCATCAATTAAGTTCTTCTGATGATTGCTTGTAGACCTCACAACATGTCATGCATGGTGATAAAATAGAAGCTCATCATGAATTCAATTTTATTGATGTGCCAAACTTCTGAGTAAAATTAGCTTATTTAATTCAGAATAGGCTTCTGAAGCACACAATCGAAGAGCTGCTCACGGAATTGGCTGCAACTCTTTTTTGTTGGGACTCTCGCCGGAACAATTGGGAAGCTGCTGAACCACAAGGCCTTTGTGCATTGTCAGCACATGAAGACGTCGAAGTAATTAAGGAGGTTTAGATTGTCGGACGTTACGTCACAATTAAAGGTTCACAGACACAAAGAGATCGTCAAATCCTGCATTTGAATCTAGTGCAGTTAATTTATTTAAAATTCAAATAATATAATAAAAGATAATAATATAACAATATAATAAAATAATATGTATTAAATTAGTTAATTTATTTAAAATTCGGAAATAACTATCCATTCTGGCCTTCTGTGCGACAAAGGTAATGTAATGTTCGGCAACTTGTGCATTCCTCATTAAAAAACTGTTAGATATTCGTAGTGCACGGTGCAGTCAGTACTCCACATCACGGTGAGCGCGAAGCGTTCGCATTGCATCTCATATCGGAAGGTCAGCGATGACGTAACGTCAGTCGTATTCGTTACGCGACAAGCGTCAACGATCGCTAGACATTCCAAGTTTGGGTCGCGTTGCTCGCTGCTAACCAATGTTTTCGAATTAAATTGTGTGCAGTAGAAGAATGTGAGAAGCGAGCACCATTGACAGGCTTTCTATGCTCATCAGAACCTTTGACGATGACCGAAGTAAAGCTCATTGTGTAAGAATATGGCTTTCATGGGATTTAGAGTTGCACAGATTGAAAGGTAGATGGGTTTCAATTAGTTTAAAGGGAAATTAAAACTGAAATATTTTATTTGCATGTACGATAATTGTATCGAAATTTCAGGGAAGTCTTTAAAGATGTTTTTAGCGTCGAGCTATCTCAATCAATAGTCAGTTATGGAAAGATCGGGTTCCAAAGGCCAGATCCCTTGTGAATCAAGTCACGAAAAGTACAAGAATCGGCAACAGGCCATGGGCCTATTTTTTCAGTGCCGACACTTCTATTCTATTCTATTATATTCGTGAAATAACTTCTCAAGGCGGGTAAGAGAAATGGAATAACCCGGCGCATTTTTTAGAGGAAAAATGCATTGAAAAGATTAATTTATTAGTCACATTCTTGCTCTCCTAGTGCTTATTCATAAATAAAATCGGTACAGGAGTGTCTGAGACAAAAAAAGCGGCGTAAAAATACAGATACATGACATAAAAATACAATAGAAGCTACTACTTTAGAGGAAAGAATCATAAAATTAATTACTATTAAAAATGTAGTATTGTGACTTACCGGATAGATGCCAGGTATGGATATTGCGTAGATTCTCCTGGACTCGTCTGCCTCCACAACAGCGGACGGACCGAACATCTCCTCCACCAGCGCCGCCGTCCGGCTCAAAGGATCAGTTTTTCCACCAGGGGCGTCGGACTTCCCATTAGCAGCGGAGTGAGGCGTCGAGTCATCCGACATTCTAGGATTCAAATCAGCATTTGCATCCGCGCGCGCCGCAACCACCATCACCAGCAGGGTTGATATCAAGCAGCCAACAAGGTTCCTCGGGCGGTATTGTTGTAAGTCTTTGGGTTTTTCATCACTGCTGGTGTGTGTGCGCTTTAGTTGAAGATACATATTCAGGGACGATGCCTTCAGAAAAGCCTTCTCAATAAACTGTCTATAATATAATTGTATTTCTTCACTCGTGATTCATAGGTAGATCAGTTTAATATGAAAATCAATATAATTCTAAGACATTACGAGTCTATTTGGGTCCATGACGTACTGACAGGAGTTTAACTTTCATCATCACTAACTCATCACGACTGAGTCCGGAAAGAATATCTTAGACAGGATCAATTCCGGGACAAATTTTTTGCCGTTCATTAATATAGAATGATAAAAGAAAACTCAAACGAAGAATTTGATAAACAAGTACTTTGTTAATAAAAATCTTCAAGTGGGAAAAATGACTAATTGGGAGTGATCTTTACTATATAAGGCCTATACAGTGCATATTTATCATTCGAAAGTCTTGAGTGATTTCAATTAATTTAATTTCAATATCATCTGAAAGGAAGGAGAATCTGAAACAAAAATATGTTTCGTGAGACACAGTACCTAGTTTTTGAGAGACAATTGGAATCTAAACGATTTCGTTAAAATGTAGTCTCGTATCCAACGGACCAACGTTGAATACTGAAGTGGTCATAACATTTAAACACTGGCTTAGAATTTTGTGCGTCTGTAGTTTGGTTGATTTGAAAATATTGAGTATCTCATCAGAAGTGGTGCTGACAGCCAGTCGAGTGGCGGCGTGAGTACACATATGGTACGGTGAGAGCCAGACTGGCATGCGGGTTCGACTTCCAGATGACGGGAAAGCAGACGAGAAATTTCATTATGGAATATCAAGGTCAATTGAGGAGTGAATCAGGGCACCTCGATCACAGAAGCCAACACGAGACATAAGCCATCGAACTTCTAATGGGAACGAAGCTCATAAAAAGCAATGATTTGTTACTAATGGCAAGCTTATAGCATGAAATCTAACTTTGTACTTTAGTTGTCATCAGAGGCTGAAACCAGTAACATTACTAATCATCGATGTAATGCAATTTGAAATAAGCAAACATCTTAGCTTATAATCTTCCAGATTAGATTTTTGATTTAGATAACCTTAGTTGAAGCAGGCACTATAGCAGGTGCATAGCAATCATTAAATCAATCTATTTGTCGGAATCAAGGGACAGTTGAGTTACAGGAATAAAATACGACTAGCAGTCGAAAAATTAATGAGCTTTCCATAATGCTATTGCTACGTAAAGTGTAGAGTATTGGGGCCTAAATAAATGCAGCGGGCTGAGGACAGCCCGATGAGACGTCACGCTCAGGCGCCCCTTGAGATGACGGCCGTCACGCCTCGTCCTGTGGACCCTGGCCGGACGGCGGCTGCTGGGGGAGGGTGGGGAGAGAGAAGGATGCGTGGTGGAGGATGGGGAGAGAGGAGGATGCGTGGTGGAGGATGGGGAGAGAGAAGGATGCGTGGTGGAGGATGGGGAGAGAGAAGGATGCGTGGTGGAGGATGGGGAGAGAGAAGGATGGGTGGTGGAGGATGGGGAGAGAGGAGGATGCGTGGTGGAGGATGG